TTGCTTCATGTGTTGACGACTTAAGGGTTCATTTGTCCTATGGTCGTCAGTGAGAAACCTGTCTGGTTTCCCGTCTTGTATCGTAAATGTTATTTATACAGCATGCGTTAATTTTATATCAAAATGGCGAGAAAAGATGCAAGTTTGATTTGATGACAACAGGGAACCAGTGCATTAATATATTTCGTTGTGGCGGCGCGTAAAGTATTCAAAGTTGACGAGTATAGGGCACTTTACGTTAGACACTTAAGAGTAAAATCATGAAAAATCTCGAGGGTGACTTTTTTTTAGTTTACAAAAAAGTTTTATTTTTTATTCAACGTCGTTTTTTTAATTCATACCAGGCAAAAGTTCATTTCCATTTTTAATGGGACAGACTATAGTAGATATTTTGTCTTTTGCAATGACACGGATTTATTCATCACTCAACAGTCTGCATGTATCCACTATTCAAATAAAGGTCTTTTATGACCGTTCTTGCATCATTATTTCGAGCACAAACTGACATAACGATTCTTTTATCGTTAGGTTACTAGTACGACGCGTTAATCACTCGTGCCACCATGCACTATTGTGTTTATAGAAATATTTATGGAAAAATAAAACATAAAAGAATTTCTTCTATAACCATTAACGCATAAAAATAGAAGTTTATTACTGACTTTGGTAGATAGATTCTTTTATTTGCACAAGTTATGAATAGAGAATAAGTGAAGAAAATTAATACACACACAATGTCACGCTCATTGGTATGTTTTGCTTCTAATGGTGCACAATATTACAAAATTACAACTAACACGAACATAATGGAATGACCGTATTGCAATGTCAACAATAAACCAAATAAATCCTACCGAAATTCTGACTTCTTTATGCAAAAGCTAAATAACAAACTGTGCTTTCAACTATTAGCTCTCAAAAAATCAACAACGGCAAAACAAAGCTTCAAATATATACTAGTATTGTATCATAGTTTGGGGACCTTTCTATTGAAAATGTGAGTTAAATCGTATAATGCACAGTGCGTTAACTGGAGTCAAGTTATAAGTTACCCGCACTCCAGAGCATGCCCATTGATTGGCTTATTTTTGCTGGGGGTTTACTTATTGAGACGGAAGAGAAGGAGAAAGCGACAGAAATATCGTATTCAGATGCTCGTTCATTGCTTACTTTTTCCCGGGGTTTCATATTGTGACAACAGGGAACGTGTTTTAATGTTTGACTATGATACAAAGGAGAAAGAACATCAAAACACTCGGCAATCTGATTAATACTCGGGGGCTACGCCCCCTCGTACTAATCAGATAGCCTCGTGTTTCGATGCTCTTTCTATAATTTATATGGTTCTTTCCCTTGACATGGTTTAAACGGCCCACAGATGATAGATTTAGTTTTCAAATTACTTTAATGGTATTGCTTGTGTTTTTTTGGGGCTGCAAATTAGGGATTAAACGATGATCGAGTATAATCGATAATTGATCGTTTATAGGACCGATTAGCGATGATCGAATACAAAGTTCAATAATCGATCATCGGTTATTTATCTTCTTGCTGTTACTTAAGTGACTCACTGTATTATAACAACACTTTAAATTAAAGCCAGCTTTGGTTTACCCAATAATTTTCATTTTAAAATGAATGAGAAAGCATACTGGTGACCATAAGGTTAATAGTTGACAGTGAGGCATTCTAGTTTACAGACATACTATGCTCAAATTTGAAATTAGAAAATTGCTACACAGTCTATTTGTAAATATGAAATAAACATGTTTTGACTTCAAACAAAGAAGATATGTATAAAATTATTCTACACACTAAACTAAAGATGGTAACAATATAAATATATAGTGTCATTAAAAAAACCTGGCATTTTTGTTAATGATCAACTTCTCTTGTTCCCATACATAGCTTATTCATTCCTTTATTGGAATTGAGACATAATAATTGCATAGATATAAAATAAGTTAAAATATTTAACTCAAGGATAACATAAGCATAAGTAACTAGTTTATTTCAGTTGATTAAGTGGTAGTTACACAAAATATAGAATATTAATGGAATTCTTATGAATATTAAAGCATGATATGTGCATTGTACATATTTACTTTGTTATTGTTAAAGTTTCGATTATATAATCGATGATTGATCGAAAAAGGTTGTTCGATTATTTTCGATGATCGATTATGATTTTTGTCCGATTAAGAAACCCTACTGCAAATACATATTTTCAATGGAGACATAAAAACAGTTAGATGTCTACGTTGTACGATCTAACCACTTCCGATTATATCTACAATATACATGAACATAGAGAGCTATAATAGTTGAAAGCACAGTTTGTTATAAAAAGTGACTTTATATGCGACAAGTAACAATAGATAAAGAAGTATGTTGCAACAAAATCATGATGCTTTACCTGCAAAAGCTATGAGTAGAGTTAACGGACATTTAGAACTTTTTTTAGGGATGTTGCACTTTTTCATTATCCCTCATGTGCAGACTCAATCAAACAGAGTCGACAATTTTCATGTAATTTTGCTGTTTTTAATGGTTCCGAGGGATCAATTATTTGCTAGGTATTTGAGTAAAATATTGTTCTATTTGTGTGTACACATACAAATTAAAAATATCTTGCTTTTAATGTGTTTTAATGCTTCCGAGGGATCACTTATTTGCCAGATATTTGTGTAAAATATTGTTTTATTTGTTTGTACACATACAAATAAAAATATCTTGCTTGAGGCTTTTGTTATTAATGTGTATATGCATGTTATTAATGTGTATGTTTAAACGATATGTCAACAATATATGACCTTGCAAACACCTGAAAGATGTCATTACAGTTAAATTAGTGCTGACTATTGGACACCTGGTCCACACTGGTCTCTGGTGATCACAAACTGTTGATAACGTCTCCTCAACGCATCTTGGAACCGTATTTCGATGTACTCACCAAATTGTGTCGCAACGTCAGAATTAATGATGAGCACCAGCTTTGGTTATGCCAACAGCGCCGCATAGACCTGTCAGTTTCCTTCAACTTTGGCATAGCGTATCACAGCATTTTTTTTTAAATATATGATTTTTTATCACCAAGCTTCAAACATGATTAAACGAAAGCGTGTAAAATTGTGCGCTAAACAGTAAGCAAAAAATAAAAATAAATGAATACATGAAACGTGAAAACGAAGACGTTTGTCAAACAGATAAAATACCAGTGTATCTCATGCACTAACCAGTGTAAGCGACCGAGAAGGATGCCCAAGTCTGTGTCAAATGTGTATATCCATAAAATGTTTCAAATATTTTTCTAGCCGAAAATACCACGTGGATAATTTCTAACTTCATATAGTTCATGTAGTATTCAGGCCGCAACATCATTCAATGATGTTCTAAGCTGAGCTTCTTCAGGGTTCCCACGGTCAGGGAAAAGTCAGTGAAAAATGATTTTTTTTCAAGGTCAGGGAAAAGTCAGGGAATTTTAAAATTGGTCAGGGAAATTTGAAAAATAGGCAAAAGTCAGGGAGAAGTCAGGGAATTTTGTAGAAAATAATGATTTTGTCAAACAGCAAGAAGCAAATACAGTAATAGCTAAGGCAGTTTCTTCCATTATTATGGGTATCTTTATTGTTACTTTTGATTATGAGCATCTGTTTTATTTTTATATACTGATTATGCTTCTGTCTGAAGATTTGGCATTAACAGTAACTATCTTTTAAAGAAGCTAAAAGGAGTTTAAGCATCCCTTGCCTCCTGAGCTATTTATGGTTTGTTCTTGTGAAAGAGGCTGATAATATGCTCAGGAGGCTGAAAAAAATATGAAAATGAACTTGCTTGTGAAGTCAAATGTCCAGTGCAATGCCTTCAGGGTCAAGGTCAAAGAAAAGTAATTAAAGAATCCAGTAAAGATATTGAGAAACTTGAGAAAACACTAAGTGGACTTCGATGAAGTACCAATCATTTTAGTGCCATGTTGTGTTTTTGCACACATGCATTAAACCATAAATTTGAGATACTATTCACTGCCATAGTTAGTTTTATTAGTAGTATTATTAGCTTTTACTGCATTTTGCTTTTTATGTAGCCACTTCATTACCTGGCTTATTGTTTCTTGTTTAACACCAGTTTCTATTGATTAATATCATATAATATTTAATTAAAATGTAGGCCTGTTTTAGTCAATCCTCCATTGATAACACTGCTTTGTAGTTTTAAGAGAATGAAACATCTTTTAGCATGACATGTATTATCAAATATTTTACATTTTTGATAAATGTACTCGAACTTGTTGAAAGTAAACAAGACAAGCTGCTTATGACAATTGCTCACTAATATTCATGTATTTTTTATCTTGAATAATTTAAAATAAAGAATTGGATAAAAAAGGTTGGCTGTTTTGGGAGGAGGAGGACCAAATACATGTATAAAAAAAACATTAAATGCTCTAAGATTGTGCAAACTTGACGCTGTTATTGGTCAGGGAAAAATGGTTTTGGTCAGGGAAAAGTCATGGAAAAGTCAGGGAATTTTGATTTCTCTTCTTTGTGGGAACCCTGTTCTTTGTCCGTTTTAGAGATTGTTTTCGCTTCTTGGTATTACTCTATCATACTCCTTCATGGGGGTACCCTTTTGTAAGTGGTTGATTTGCACTGTTCATTATTTAAAAACACGTGTTTCAAGTTTATTAACATCAACTTATAGCAATCTGACTCGATTAAGGTCAGAATTCTTATGTTTACTTTTAATACCGTAGCGTTATTTGGCTGATTTTAATCAGATTGAACCCAAAGCTTTAATAATGTATAATTTACAAATGCTTTTGAATTTCAACAATATATCAGTAAAGATAAAAAAAATCATCTAACATTATATGAGGCCTTCAGAATGGCTTAAGAAATGTCTAGTGGTTAAACACATTTAATTACCTGTAACAGGATTTACTCCTTTCAATTTTTGTTCTTTGGGTCTATTTTTACAGAATTAAAGAGAGTAATTTCCCTTTAGCACTCTTGGATTGTAAACAACAACAACAACAACAACTCGAGAAGCTGCAACCCGATTTACAGTATTTTAAGAAAGATGAGCGTCAGAAAACACCATCAGTTGCAAAACAGGCTTTATTTGGGTAATATATATAGACTATACACTGGCACCAGATCTTCAAGTTGCTGTCAGTTAATTATTTTTATGTGAAAGTGTATTTTTTGATGATTTTATTGTTTTGTATCAACAAACTGGAACAATAAATTTATAGAATATAGCATGTCCTGCGGGAGAACACTTCCGATTTAGGCATTACCTTCTACATGTAGAATTTTTCTTAAAATACAGGCTCATGAGACTTAGTGCCACTCATGGAGGATAAAACCATTTAAAAGTATGTAAAATCCAGTTATTTGCATGTGTGTTCTACTCATAATTTTTTATCTTTTTGTTGATGCGTTTTAAAGTGTAAATACCAGGCTACAATGTACATGTCATGAGGGTCTCATCTTTCGGGCATGGGTGATTTCTGACTTTCAGGCTTTACTGCGTTAGTTTGACGATATTACCACCCAGTGGAAAATTTTGACACCGATACCCATAATTTTCGTACTCGGATGTTGCATACCTTGTCTATAATAATATAACAGTGAAAAAAATGTTTTTTCTTGTTTTGTTCATATGTTGATATTTTATTGCATAAATAACAAGGTTAAACAGATTTTAGGTCAAATCAATGCCACTAGCAACTTTGTTTTGCATCAGTGTTACAAGTGGGGGTGGGGGGAAGGATCTGACCCCCATGTGTCTGTGATTTTTAGGAGCAGGTTACGTATTATGTGGTAATTAATTTTGCTATTTATTGTATCGTTGTTGTTTTTTTTCCATTGCAGGTGAGCTTGTAAAATCTTTCCTTGGACCATCAAGAAGGTAAATTGAATAATTCTGTTTTTTTATCAAATGTAGTTCGCAGGCCTCAACAAATGCACTCGCCCACTAGCATTTGCTAGTGAAAGTTTGGGTAGGGCGAGAAAAAGTTGATCAAACTTGCCTTGCTGGGCAAGTCAGATTCTCCCATTGCAAATGATGTTTGTCTAAACATTTATAAATGGAATTATTCGGTAAACAATCAAACTGCAGACCTCTTTTCAATCGTAATACCTGTCAAAAGAAAACTGGAAGTGTTTGGTAAAGTTTTATGCTTAGCCATAATACTGATTGCTGAGTGCATGAGAATTTAAATGAAATAAGTTGATCTATTTAGGCTGTCGAAGTTTATTTATTAAAAGTATGAAAAGTGTTATAAACAAAATGTAATTGAATAAAGCAAGTTATACCGATATAGACTGGTAAATAGTAAATTTTTGTCTTGGATTTTGAAATTGATTTTATTGTGATTTTATTTCAGAATAAAGTGTCTTGAAGATGATGGAGGCAACAGATACTTTAGATATGCTTCCCTTTTATTGGAACATCTCGATGTTGAGGTATTGGTAAACTTTAAAGAAATTCAACCTTTTATAATTTTTATTATTCAAGGGTCTATTTACAATAGATAAATGTTTTGTTATTTTCTTTCTATCTTGTATGTATTCAATTTATGGTCTAGAAATGAATGTGAAATGTGCCACAAAAAGTTGATACATGTGATAACCTTCTATGGGTCTCTTGAGCTAGTGTGGTCCTGCTGAATCTGTGTAATGGATATTATAACCTTGCTTTAAAATAATTAATCACTGGTAAAAGTGACATTATGCTCATTTTTTTTTACTGTCAAGTTGAGGTGAAATAGTAATACGGTATGCTGGCTATTAAAATGGTGATTTACAAATAATAGATAATGAAAAATATGTATAATACAATATAAAAACTGCCAAAGTTATAAAAAGACTGCCCCACTCTTTTTAAGAATTAAGCATTACCGATACATTCTAAAGGATATTTATAGAAAATACTGTTGGTTACATTGATCATTGATAAATTTTTCTTAGCAATATATAAAATTTAATACAATTATGGCAAAATGTCACATTATTTTTAGTTTTACGTATTTACTGACCACTTACATTTGGATGGGAATAATGTCTTTTTAACTTGGAATAAGGGGCCTTCATAGCCCAGTGGTTAATCTTTGCTGTCTTTAAATTATTTGACTATCATTTCTGTCTGAACTTTGTTGGCTACTTTGTGGAGTCTTTCACATGTGAGAAAGTTATCCAACCAACTCACTGAAGTTTAGTGGTTCTACTCAGGTACCCTCTTGTACTTGAATAAATGCATCAAAAGGCACATTGTCCTGTGGTTTTCCTCCACCAATAAAGCCAGAAAGTGGCCATATCCTTATAGTAATCATGTGACATAAAGGCCTGTTAAGCCCCCAAAATAATATTACTTTTATTTCTCAAAAACTATTTCTAGTGTCCTTTTAAGTTTTTCAAAAAGTTACACATTGACAAAATGACAATATAGCTAAACCATGTAACATGATGTTTTGCAATATGGAATGTTAAACACTGAAAGTGATTTATTATTATTTTTTTATATAAACACACATTTGCCCTTACTAAGGAAGAAAATACGCCTTTGAACACAAACAAGAAAATAACATTAGAGATAGGCTGAAAAGTGATTTGTTATTGTTTCAGCATCCAGTTTACCAGTATATTATCAGTGTATCTCAGGAGTTCAGGAAAAGATTCTGTGCTGGAGCTGCTGATGACCTTCTGTTCTACATACATTCCTGGTCAAGACTGGCTACACACCTACATGAAATGGTTTGTATTGGTATAACCTTTTTAAGAAAGAATTCATTGAAAAAAAAAATAAAGAAAATATTGAATAGCGCTATTCATTATTGTTTTGGCAATACATTCAGTTTTACTGCCGTAGTAAATTGTCATTTATATTATCTTTTTCTTAAATAAATAAAATTCAATTGCAATGAATACGAAACAATTAAATGCAAGACAATTACTTTTTTTAGTATCAGGTGGTTATGTCAGAATTGTTCCATTTTAGATGTAAGGGAACCTGTAAAGAATTTAAGAACAACATGAAAATATAGAAATAAAAAGATAGATAAATGGTTTATTCTTTTCTTTCATCTTTTATACAATTACAAATCATTAAAACCAACTCATACCAAGCTGAAGAAAATGTTTGATAGGTGAAATAAGAAATTGACTGTGTACTTTCTGGTAACATATACAGAAAAGTTTTCAATATTGATCAAAACTTTATACACAAATAAAACCTGGCACAGCTTTACATATGAAAGCTGGCACAGCTATACAAATGAAATCTGGCACGACTGTACTCATGAAAGCTGGCACACTACAAATGAAAGCTGGTACAGCTATACAAATGAAAGCTGGCATGGCTGTACACATGAAAGCTGGCACACTACAAATGAAAGCTGGTACAGCTATACAAATGAAAGCTGACAAGGCTGTACACATGAAAGCTGGCACACTACAAATGAAAGCTGGTACAGCTTTACAAATGAAAGCTGGCACAGTTATATAAATGAAAGATGACCTGGCAGCAGAAAGGGGCATCTGTTTAACTTGCAATTCTTGTTAGTTTGTTGATTTATCTTTGTTGATTAAGTTTTTCATGGTAACCATACCATTTCTGTTTGCAGGGAATTCCATTAGAAGTTGTCACTAGAGATATGAGAGAAACTATAGATGAATGTATTGAACACATTGACTATGAAAAGATGAATGTTTCTGAGTGTATAGAACAGTTTCAATTTCATCATCACAAGTTATCCTCTTGCAGTTACACTGACATGAGGGAAGATGTTAACAACGATAGCATTTTGAATGACAATGAAGAAATTGATCAAAATATAAAAGAAATATGTATCACAGCTTGTAAGGATGATGTTAATTTTGGGAATAAAGCTGAGATAGTAGATGAAAATCATTTGGAAATTGCTGTAGAAATTGAATCAAGTCACCACCAACACATACAATATGTGGTTAATGACAATCTCGCATGTGATATTGTCAGCAAAATTAAAACTTCTTCTAAGAATGAAGAACCAATTAATGTAAATAAAGATGGTATAGAGTTTATTCATTTAGAGATGAAAAACATGGTACAAGATGAAGATTGTGATGACACATCTTGGTTTTTTGATGGCATTGAAGATGATGAGGAGAAAGGCAATGGAAAGGTTGATAGTGTGATTGCTGATCCATGTGAAGGTTGTGTAGATCATGGCAAAAAAACAGGTGATACTTACAACAAGAAATATATATCAGATGGTGAGGAGAATTCTGATGACTCAGGGGCAATTATAACTGACATCGAGAATTTAAAGAGAGACATAGAAAATGATATTGAAAGATTGACGAAAAGTAAACAGACATTTTTAAAAGAAAAAGTGTGTGTAGCCGCTTTTAATATGAATGATGATCAGACTGACAATAATGAATTTGATAGTTGTTTTGATGAATCTGATTCTGAGTTTGAAGTTTGCTTTGAAAATAATCAAGATTCAGGTAATAGAAGAACTAACATGGATGCTAATAAGTATTCTAAAACCACAACTGATTTTGAAGAGGAGAATGAATTTCAAACTGTAGCATTTGAGTTTACTGACATAAAATTGAAGGAAAATTTGATAAAAGAAGAAAAAGATGATTTGTCTAAAAATTTTGTCTATAGTAAGCCTGAAGAAAATTGTTCAAAAGTTAATGAAAAGAAAGCATCAACATGTTCTTTTGACATTGAATTACAAACTTGTAGTAAGGAATATAGTAGGATTAAAGAGATATTAGAACAAAGTTGTATAAATCATGATATGGTAAGAGAGAAAGAAAAATCAGTTGAACCTCAACTTTCAAGCAGTGGTACAAAGGAGTTTGTGGAATCTAAAGATGTACCACAAAATGATGATAAAAAAGTTGTCAGTAAGAGTAGTTTTGAAAAATTGAATAAGTCAGTACTTAATTCTTCCCATTCAAATGATTTTCACCAGAAGAAACAGGACGAGAATTCATTTCAAAAAGATGAAATGCGGAAGATAAATTCTTTACTTGGTTCACTTGGAAGAGAAAATAAGAAGGATTCTTATAAACTAAATGTTTCTTCGTTGAAATTTCATAGTAGACATTTCCAGGAAGAAGAAATTGAAGAATTAAACGAAATGGAAAATTATAAGGTAGAGAGAAATACAGGACAGTTAGATAGTGTTGGAAACAACAAGAATATGGGCTTACCAGGTGGTGGAACCAATTTATCCAGGAATGAAAACACTGTACCAATGAAGCAAAATTATGATTCTAGTTCTGATAAGTTGTGTTCTGATCATAAACCAGCATCACTGCCTGATGAAGATATAGTTGCTAATATGAAACAAACTCCAGGAAAATTAGATCTTGAACGTGTTAACAGTATGTTAAGAGAAATAAACAATATATCAAAACAAAATAAAACTTGCGATGATCAAAGTATTGAAACAAAAGTTTGTCCGTTTAAAAGTGGAAATGATTTAGATATTTCACATTTTTCAAATTCTAGTGCAAGCCATGAATACGAATCAAATGATGACTATCGAACAATGCATAGTATCAAGCCGAAATTGGATGTTTCAAGTGTAGGAAAGGATTTAGCATTGAAGGAGTGTAAGACAAGGAGTATTAGTAAGCCTAATGTTTTCTTAAGAAGTAGACATATGAATATGGAAAGTGAGATAAGTGGGACTAGCAATGTTTTAGATACATGTGAAGTTAATCAAAATGAACCAAAGACTAACCGTATGGAAGCAAAACAGATTCCTGACTTTGATAATAGTGCTATAGGGCAGTTAATACATAGTCATAGTGAAGAAGCTGAAGAATTGGAAGTAGAAGTGAGAAGCTTGGTTTGTGGTGTGAATCATGATGGAGATGAAAATATTAACAAAGCTGTATGTGATGTCATTTTGAAGCAGAGCAAGGAAGGGAAACTCAGGTTTTGTTTCTTTCTATTCTAAAGCAAACAATCTAAAGTAAAAGAACTTTTCATTATTGTTATAAGTAACAAGATTTCTCATAGAATAATTGCCTGCAATTGCTTTAGGTGTTATTGAATCCAAATAGTCTCTTTTTTCCAAGTTGGGAATATCTTTTACTTTATCATTTGCATACTGCACTGATACTGATTATAGGTTGAATGAATCTAAATATTCTCTTTTTTCCAAGTTGGCAGATTATAGGTTGAATAAATCTAAATATTCTTTTTTTTCCAAGATGGGAGATTATAGATTGAGTGATGATTTTGAAAATTTGGTGCAGTATGCAAATGATAAAGTTAAAGATATTTAAGTTTCATTATATCAGGTTACACTGCTGTCAGTATCTTATTATGAAACATTTACTTTGATAACATGTGAATACTGCTTAAAAGTAGAAGTAAACCAAAAGAAACAGTGTACAAATAATATTCTTGTTCTACAACTGATGATTTATAATCCATTGTTCTTTTAGGAGACTGTCAAGCTTTCTTATTAGATTGTTGATATAATAAAGAATCTTGGGGAAAGATTCTATAATGCAATTGAACTTGTTTGAGAAATCCAGAACCATTAGCTCATTATCATACCAAGTGATTTATAGGAACTATTACTGTCATAACTGACAAGATTTTTAAGCTTTTAACCCCTTTAAGTTACTAAAGATTGGTGACAGATTGTTCAATTATATTCATTAATGACTAAATTCATGCTCAGAACATTATTTTGTTTGCAGATTGAACATAGACTTTGTAGATTGTCATTCAAACATTGGGGTAGGTAGAGGCTCACCTGAGGTTATTGATGGCGTTCTTGTACAAACATCTGTAGATAATATGATGATGTTGCAGAAATTTCCTGAAAGACAGTATAGAGCATTGGTAGTGTATTAATTCCTTTTGGTAAATTTGGGTCTGTCACAGACATATACAGTATAATGTTAGTTTGTTTTATTTGGTTTTACGTCACACCAACACAGTATAGGTCATATGGCGACATTCCAGCTTTACTGGTGGAGGAAGACCTCAGGTGCCCTTCCTTGCACTATTTCAAGCACGAACGGATACCTGAGTAGAACCACCGACGTTCCGTAAGCTAGCTGGATAGCTTCCTCACATGAAAAAATTCAAAGTCCCTTTCGGTATTCGAACCCACAGTGGTGAGGGGCAAGTGGTTTTAAGTCAACAACCTTAACCACTCAGCCACGGACGCCCCAATATTATAATGTTCTGTGAAAATATTATTGAATAAAATGATATTTTCCTCACTCTATTTTTCATGATAACGGTCTTGCAGTCACTTTATAAATCTTATATAATTCTGTTGATAAAGGGGAAAAAATGATAAAAGAAAAAATGGTAAACAGAGAATATTGAATTAGTGTAAGTTCAATATTGAATTTATTGAACCTGCATGAATATAATATTCTTTTTAGCATGTACCCAAAATAATGGAAAAGAATCATTTTCCATTGACGCACTTATAGTGTAACGCTAACATTATGTGCGTCTTTACACTATGTTTGTATAAGGCAAATGACGTCACATCAAAATATATGCACAACCATGCAATACCGTTTCTACGACTCGCAAAATCGGCACGGGTATATGATAAATTCTGGTATTACACCAATGACGTCACATTAGATTTTCATAATGAATATTTTATTTCTACAGTTGGTTAATGGAGACCTTACAATGACATTCAAGCACAAAGGATACAAACCAATGAAAACAAAGCAATTTACATCAGTAGACAGATTTAAGTATGGTAAAACTGAACTTCAATGTTGGCTTGAGGATATTATTGATACTTTGAAAGAGGTAGGAATTTATTACATTTAAAGTTTACAATTGCAGTCATTTTATGATCATTTTTAGGTTGTCTGTTTCAAAGGAAAAGTTGAGCTGTTATAACCCCTGAATCGTCATTGTTGTTGTTCAAAAATTTTAATGTGGCCCATTATTCAAACATTTTAAATGTTATCAACATTAAACTTGGAATACTTGATTATTTTCACAAGGCACAGTTGTTAGCCAAGGGGTATAATTCTTAAAAAAACATATTTTTGGAATTATGCCCCTTTTTTATCTAACATTTTTGGTCATAATTGAACAGATGAGCGCTTAAAATACATGTGGTGCTCTTGTATTCATCATCATCTAAATGATTTCTATCACACCCAGTTTTGATATGGGTATACAGGTCAATTTAGTTCTCTCAAACTTGGACCTGAATTAATGACAGTCGGCGTCAGTACCAGCTGATGCCAAAAATGATGGCTTTATTACCATACATGCTCTTCTGTTGCAAGACCCCCCTAACCATCCCACCATATGTTACATTATGATTGTATACTAGAGCTGAAGTGATTAACATGTAATTACAAACATACAACTTTTTTTTTGGACTGCAAAAAGTAATTACCGGATTTAAATACCAGTGTTTTCATTTATTTTCAGCTCAGCATTAATATGTTACTAGTGAAAGGCAACATATCTGAAGATATAATGTGTTTTTGTGAACAACATGATATAGTAACCATGGAAACCGTCAGGTATAAACAACTTATTCAACTCAGTGAAGCAACAGAGACTGATATGGTAACATACGTTACCTTAGCAACAGAGGTTAGTTTGGACAATTAACATCCTGTGTTAAATTGCATCAGTTTATTTATAAACAAACACGCCACACAAACTTGAACATTCAGTCATTATTAATTGCAGACATTTTGGCTAGAATGCCTTCATAAGTGCAAAACATAATAAAGTTCTGGAAGCGGCGTCATGCAAAACATGCGTTAGACGCCCAAAACACACAAATGGTTTAGACGCCCAAAACACATTTTGTGTTTAAGCAGCAAAAATTTGATAATAAGTTTATTTATGATAGTATATTTTCAGTATTAATATATAAAAGTACATTTCAATCTTGGTCACTGTTAACAGAACGGAAAATGTTTAATGCATTAAAAACATGTTTATAGATGTGTTCAAAGTAAGTGAGAATAAAACTATATGAAAGTTCTTTCAGGTTATTAATTTAAGATAAAAATACATCATTAGTGCATGTGTTCAAATTATTATAATAATTGAAAACAAAATTATATGATATGAAAGTTCTTTCAAGCTATTTATTTGAGCATAAAAATACATCATAAATACAACGGTTCAAGTCGAGCGACAACAAAATTATATGACATATTAATTTAAGCATAAAAGAAACATTATTAATGCATGTAATATGATCTGTCTTAAAGTGATTGATTTTAACAAATTATTTTAATTAGTTAATTGATTGATAAATGTATTGATTAATTACACATAAGAATATGTCTTAATGTTTTCCAGGAAAATGTTTGTAAAGGAATTTCTATTGCATCTCTACAAAGTAACTGGTGTAATGAAATGGCTAGCAGTTGGAGAGACAATGTGGCCGCAGTTATCTCATTGGCTGAAAATAATCCACAGGTGTGTTTTATTTACCATAAACGTGTATTTGTAGCATGTATACAGTTATATTATATAAGGTTATTTATATTTATATAGTTACTAACAACTAGACTAAAGTGTTTAAAGCTATATCTCTGCTGCCTGCAGTTAATTTTGTATAATTTTTAAAATGAAGAATTACAAAAAGCCTGTATGAAAAAAAATTTTGGTATACACTCAGAGGCACTTAAAACCCAACACTTACATTTTTCTGCATGAGGTCACACAAAGTATTAGAACTAGTTAAATGATTCAGAGACTTTTCATTTTGTTACGATATTTACAGCCATTCTGTGATTTTTCATTTTGCAGTAGCATATTTGTTTTGTTATTTTCTCTATTTTCTTGTCAATGAATTGTAAATAAAATGCTAAGTAGTAAGTATGATATGTTGAATTTTGTATGGTCCAAAGTTGAACAAAATCTTTTCACAAATAATCAATTTATATCGAAAAATGTAAGTGTTGGGTTTAAGTGCCTCAGAGTGTATTCCCTTGTAAAAAAATGATGCAGACACAAAATCATTGCTAAATGGTTAAAAACCTTCACATCTCTCTTAAACCCTTTGAACATTATTCATGAAAAAAGGTCCATTTTTCGTGTCATTTAAACTATTTACAATTCCACAATTTAACTTTTTCATAGAGTTGCATATCCTTCACAAATTGTATATGAAATCAAAGTCTGGCACAATAAGTTTTTAAAAACTTCTATAAATGAAATATTGTTTAAGTTCCCTCAGAAGAATTGTCCATCGCCCAAATATGGGTGTTGCGACCAGCATGGATCCAGACCAGCCTGGGCATCCGCGCAGTCTGATCAGGATCCATACTGTTTGCTATCAGTTTCTCTACTTGTAATAGGGTTGGTAAGCAAACAGCATTGATCCTGAACAGACTGCGCGGATGCACAGGCTGGTCTGGATCCATGCTGGTCGCAAATGCACTGTTGGTTTTGTCGTGATGTGGCTCAAATGAACTTTAACATGATTGTAATATGTTAAATGATCTTACAGACTGTAATATTGCATGGCGTCTCACCAGAGATTGTGGACTTGAAAGAACAAGAGTTGTTGAACTGTCTTCACCATGTTTCCAGTGTGCTGCATTATGGGAACGTGGTACTAGGTGCAGGACAGTCTGAGGAAAAGTGTAGGGAGTTTCTTAATGAAAGATTAGGTAATTATAAGCTATTGATAGGCTTTTATTTTCAAAAATTAGAAATCTGAGAAATAGTAAAATGTTAATTTCTTAAAGCATATAAATATTTATTCTGTACCAAATTATAAAATTAATGAAAGTGGTCTGTTATTATTTTCCCAAAATAGTAGTTGGAAAAGGCCCTGTAAGTAGTTTTTTTTCACAATGCTTAAATCATAAATAAATTTGACAGTTATTTACTGAAACAGAAATTCAGTTTTTTACACTCATACGTTGATGTTGTTTGTTTTTTCCATTTCATTAGAAATGTTGAGGAGAGACGAACATTCAGTGACCAATATTGACTTACAGTATATGCAGGTAGTGACAGAGTCTGTGATGTCATCATTCCAAGAATATTCCAGGTTATTCCAAGGTAACTTCTCAGGAAAAGTATGTGCCTTTGAGGGTTACAAATCTAAGATAGAATCATGGAAACTTGCCCTTGAGACTGTTGCTATTATAACCAACATAGATACGTACATAGAAACGGGTATAACAGACGAACAGACAAATATAGGAACATTATAAAGTCATATTCATACAATCATGCTATGTGTATTTCAAGTCATGCATATATATATATTTTTCTAGGAGTTGATTCTTTCTAGGTTACAGGTAAGAATTTACCCAGATTCTATAGAACTTGATAATCATTCTTATAATTTTTCTTTTGCTTAACTATTTTCTGTCAGCAAATTAATGTGTAACAATTGTAAAATTTGCAACGTTATACATAGATATACTAACTTTTATTTGATGAAATGTCATTGTTGATATTATTTGCTATGATTTTGCTTGTATACGAGTATACTTGATTAAAGTCAAAGTGTTTAAGTAGATGCAGTTTAGTTGTTTTTGTGTACTAAACAGTCATTTGTTTGTTTGGAAAATATTTTATACTATTGAAAGTCAGTTGTTTTAGTTATATTTTGGATAAACCAGTCCAAACGGGGATTAAAACCAACAAAAAGGGAACTCAGAGAAGGGAAATAACTCTTTTGGCGTCAGTGTTATCTCCCCTTCAAAGTTGAATATGTGTTAGATTTGCTCAGTTGATAACTTAGCAGTACTTAGAACGAAGACAGCTGGAGTATATTCTTTCTATCTGGACATCATCCAAGTTATATATGGCATATTTGTGAACTATTTTCAACATCATTGTTGAAATTAAGTAAATGAAATGAAGAAATAAAAGAATAAGGTTGTAATTTTAATGTTGTTTATTTATGTCAGAACATTAAAATTCAAGGGCAATTGTTTTAAATGGAGATCAGCGACTTCCATTATTTTTCACTTCAAATGTTTCTTTTGTCATATATTAAGGTTATGAAAAGTTTGAATATATTAAATCCTATGAAACAGTATTTGTTCAGTCTATATTTCATAGCTAGAAAACGTCTGTAAGTCATTGCCAACTGATGTATTTTAGTGTAGTAATTGCTTTTAACCTAAAGAAATAAACTATGTAATTCAATTCAACCAATCGATGGAATCGGTATTGAAATGATGTCTCAAATTTAATCCAGACAATCGATTTAACAGGTATCCGAAAATAAGTTTGACTTCATTTGAGCTGCGTCATGACAAAACCAACATAATGGGTTTGCGACCAGCATGGATCCAGACCAGCCTGCGCATCCATACAGTCTGATCTGGATCCATGCTGTCCGCTATCAGTTTCTCTACTTGTATTACGGTTTGTAAGCGAACAGCATGGATCCTGATCAGACTGCGCGGATGCGCAGGCTGGTCTGGATCCATGCTGGTCGCAAACGCACTATGTTGGTTTTGTCATGACGCAGCTCATTTCAATCATTGCAATTAAATATAAATAATGGATAAAACATAGAACAACACTACTGTTTGCAATACCAGAATGTTAGAAGAAACACATTTCAAATTTTGCCTGATCTTGAAAATAACAACAGCAACGTCTTGATAACACAGAAGCAAGTTGAAAAAAATGTATCCAGAAATAAGAGGAAAAATATATAGGTCATTAGCCAGCAAAATATTTCTAAAAATCAAAACAAACTAATATACATTGTACATGAAGCATATACAATCAGATATAACACATCGCTTACAGCAACGACATGTAACAAGTATACTTAAAGTAACTACCTTATATGCATAGTTTAGGGCAAGGGATGAGCAAAAGTTTCAACCCAATCCAACTAATCACTTATATAGAGCATTTCATCAAAGCTTGGTAAACGTAACCTTGGCGTGGATTTTGGTTTTGTTTTTGTTACTGAATCAACTTTATTAGCTTCCGTTTCGAAACAGGCTTCTGTATCAGCCGAGGCATTGCTAATCAAACTTTGTCCATTTTTATTACTAAGTTCTTTTGTATCATTTCTGTAACGTTTTCGCTTTTCAGCAACTGTAGTAAAAAGCAGTGGTTGACTGTAAATTTCAGTTTCTATATCCTTGTACTGGTATTTAGAATTGTTTTCAGCACTTTCTAAATCGCCGTCGAAATACCGAATTCCAACTTTCTCTTCTTCACCAGATTGAAACAAACATTTGCCCGACTTATTTAAAGAGCTTTTGTTATTTCTACAGTCCACTTGAAAGTGTGTCGGACCTGAAAATTTTTCATGATGAAAAAGGTTTTGTTCACATGTCTCGTTATTAGGTGTTTTTATATCGTGAAAATCTTTTGTAATATTAGAGCTATTAGCGGTGTCGGATAAATGTTGATAATGAATATCTCCGTTTTCCGTTTTTGTAGCGTTTTTCAATATGCCTTGAAGCTTCTCTCGTCTTGCATTGGAATTAAATTGACTTCTTCGTGGACTAGCACTTCTTGCGCGTCTCTTTTTATCATATCCAGTAACCATTCTGCCTCTCTGTTTCAAATTTGACTCATCCATATCATGTCTTGAGATTATGTCTTTATCAATTACATCGTCCAAGAATTTAACGTGTTTTGAATCTAGAAGAGGTCTTCCATTACCATTTAATGACGCCTTACTACAAACATTTCTCCTGCCGGATATGAAATCGTCTCCATGCTCAACTTTTCTCAATGATCTTAAAACGGCAAAAGGATCAGTTTCCTTAAACATGTCCATATCTTTTCCCCTATTATTCTCATTGGTATCTGTTTTTCCTGCAGGACTACCATTTCTGTCATCCACCTCAATTGTTGATGGTTGTTTTACATCATTTCTTGTATTGCTTCCGATATCAGTTTGATCAATATCGCCGTCTATATGGTCGGGTTTGTCATCTTTAAGTTCCTTCACATTGATTCTACCGAACGTATTTAGACTGTCAATTACATCAGCAAGGTGTGCATTTGCTTCAATAACTATCCGTTTACGGCATATCTTCCTTCTTTCTTCTAGTACATCTTTCTGCTTTGAGGCAATGTTCATTTTATCTGGGAACGATTGGGCACTGAAATAAATATAGAAAATTAAACATAGACAATTGGTGGAAAGATATTTTTGTATGTAAACTGTACTTGTAAACAGTGTTTTTGACTAGGTTTAATATGCAGTACGTCATGTAATTTACAGATGTTTTTATTTGGAATTCTAGTTTTTAATTCATTTATTTTAATTGAATTAATAGAACAGTCTAGCTACACAAAGAGAATTAATAATGCTAAAATAAAAGAAAATCAACACTTTACAATCACGTTGTTTACGTATGAGCCGCGTCCCGACAAAACCAACATAGTGCGTTTGCGACCAGCATCCGCGCAGTCTGATCAGGATTACAAACCCTATAACAAGTAGAGATACTGATAGCGAACAGCATGTATCCTGATCAGAATGCGCGGATGCGCAGGCTGGTCTGGATCCATGCTGGTCGCAAACCCATTATGTTGGTTTTGTCGTGACGCGGCTCATATTCTTACGATTAATCCACAGGCAGAATAATTAATGTATATATTTATGCCGTGATGTACATGTGAATGAAATCATATACCATTTAAATACTTCTTAAAAACATGAAACCTATTCAAATGCTTAAAATGATAACATTTTGTTTGTTATAACATAATTTTTATATATGTGTAGAATATTTAAAAAAAAAAAAAGAAACCCCGGTGTATTCAGAGTCATTTTTGCGCAAAAGTATCATTTTAAATTTCAAGTCAATTCATGTATGCATTAAAATTACTAGATAACACTAGCAGGATGTTCAGCATTCTCTCAGTTACGACAGTTGCAGGCAGTGAATGATAAAACACAGCCGCCGTTAAATTATAGCAGACAGATGTAACTTTGGTCGACTGTGTGGAAAATAGGGCAATTATCAAATGATAAGTATATTTATATTGTATATCAAATGTAATGATTCTGAACAAAACGGCATTTATACGAAAATTCATACTACCTTTCAGATAAAAATCGCAAATTTGTAAGCACCTCGTCTATAATTTCCTTTTCAGAAGAGTACACTTTCTGAAGTTCTGCAAGTGTATGTCTCTCTATTTTCTTCAGATGTAAATCTATTTCTATTCTCACCAAGTCTATATCTCTCTTCACAAGCCCTTCTGAGAATTTCAAAAGACTTAAACATTCCATAGCTTTTTGTTTTGTACATGATACAAGTCTATTTAGTTTGTCCATATTTCCTCTATACCCATCCATTACGCTGAAGAAATCTGACTAATGTAAAACTATAATAGCATAATTATGAAACGATCTGATTTTTATTTTCTGATAAAACTATTTTTATTAATCATCGCAGTGGTGAAATAGTCATTATATTGTGTATACCATGCGTTAATATAACATATCCCATGTATGTTCTATTATATATAAACATTATCATATTTATGCAAATATATATACGACAATCGCTTTAATTATAATAAAGACTTCTGAAGGTGTAATGTTTTCGTAAGTGACCTGATCGCTAAGTATAAACTGACCGGTCAAGGCGTCATAAATTCATTCATTACATTCACTTAATAGGATAAGCAAATGGATAAGTCCTGAAGTCCAATTAAAAGATATATTTCACAAATGTGTGATCAGAAACGATACAAATGTGACACGGTCGTAATAAGAAAATACTGATTTTTTTAAAAAAAAGAACATATTTTCACATTTCTTATATGTTTTGTATAGTGTGAATTAATCATCATTCATAATTTGCTCACTGCATCTTTCATAAATTATGCGGCAATTCAAGTTAAAGTTAGAACATACTAGTACTAAGTAAAATCTTATTAGTTTATAATTATAGAATTTATTTTAGTTCGATTTTGTAGGAAGCTATAAGCTTATATACGCACTTTCGAATCCGTTCGTGGTTTTGAGCAATAAGTGTAAAATTTCTTGCTCAAGGAAACAACGACTTGCCCCTGACAGGGTTTGAACTCATGCGTATAGCACTAATTAGAATACTAGTGTTAACCACTCGGCCATGTCGCCACTTAATTAAAATCTTATTAAGGGGAGGTGCTTCGAGTGATAACGAGCGCAATAAAGATTTTGCTTAATATTTTCTAACTGACTTAGAACATAGCCTACATTGTCATCCAACGGAATATATAACTGTTAGCATAAAGTAGTTTTCCTTAATACTGTTCTAAAATTCACTATGATAAAGGAGAATATTGAACGCGATTTATTTCGTGTTTTAATTGTTATATTAGAGCCGTATTTTATTATTGTGGACACAAGCAAAAACTGATAATAAGAATCGAAGCTGTCCAAACTGTATAAACGGTCATTTGTATTGAGAAAAAATAAATACACACTTCACAACACAAAACACCATAATAAGAACTTTACTCAGAAGGTTTGAGTTGTGAGAGAGTCCACATATAACATACGTGTCAGATTAATGATGCCAAATGCATTTCATTACATTTTTAATTAGAAATGACTCACTTCCTTTCAATCGTCGTTTTATGTCACAATGTGAAGGAAATACAGGTACGAAGTTGTCAAGTCTGCACCCTTTTATGCTACGTTTGGCGATCATTAAAATTTTAAAACTCTGTTTAGTTTTAAATGGCCATAAAGGACAAGGTTAAAGAAACAAAGTATTTCCAATATTTTTGCTGTTTACTAGTACTTGATAAAATACAATATATTGTAGATTATTTTGTGTTTTATAGAATACAGTGTTTAAGATCTGAACTAAATTTAACACAGTCTAAACTATGGTTATTTTCATTTGTTATTTGAAAGAAAAAATATACAGAAGCTCCAAATATAATAAAATATCAACAACAACAACAAAAAACATCAGAAAAAAATCAGATCAGAACAAAAATACAAGAAAAATAAATCTATTATAAAAACTTCACGGAAGCAAAATTAAAACACTAGTTACGGTCAGTAACACAAACTTTTGTTTTAGTACAGTATGTGATATACTAGTATCCTGTTTAATTGTAAATTACTTCCATGGTTTAACATACATCCATGCAGCATCTATGGCTCCTGAGTTATTTGAGAGATCCGTTTCATGTTTCGGAATGTCGGAGTCGTGGTCCTCGGCACTTGCTATGGCCATTGCCGTCGCTATTGCATCCCCAGTAAATCCCGCGTGAAAGTTCATCACAGCGTCTCCATGCATACCTTGTGAACTACTAGCTGGCGAGACTTGCTCGTAAGTTTCGGGAATATTTTCAACGACTTTTGTGGGTCTTTCCCTGTTCATAATTTTTATTTGGCATTTTTTGGGTTTTGGGCGTTTGCGTAAACTTTTTGAAATTATATTTCCGGGTACGTTTTTTTCGGAGTCATGGGCCTTTTCGAAACCCATTTCGGGGACCATTTTTAAATTTTGGGAGATGTCGTATTTGGGGGTATGGAAACGGGACATAGATGAGTTTTTCTTAAAAATTTCGCCCAATTTTTCCATTTGCTTACCCCCTTATTTTTGGGATATTGTAAAAGGGGGTTTGAGTCTCCAAAGGGCTTTCTGAGCAGGGTTTCTCCCAAAAACCCCCACGCCCGCACAGTTTTGAAACGTAAAAGGGTTTTTTGGTTTTTCCCAAATTGAAAAGCCTTGAAAATTTAAAAATTTTGTTCTGTCACGAATGTTTTTTCCCCCAAAAGTCACAGGTGTGTGGTTTAACTCCAGTGTGTATTATAACGTGACGTTTGTACATATACAAGGAATTGGGCGGGAACAGTTTGTCACAGTACTCACACTTCTTTGCCTTTTCTGCATTTACAGTGTCCTTTTCATCTCCTTCAACAAAATGATTACTTTGTAATTTATGGTTAGCAAGCGAAGCTTTGTTGGCAAACTTCTTACTGCAAACCTCACATTGATGACGCTTGATATTGAGATGGCTGTCCATGTGCTTCTTCAAACTTCCAGACTGATTGAAACCCCAACCGCATATTTCGCAACAAAACTGACGAGTATCTCCATGGATTCGTTTATGCTTTGATAACACATCTTTGGTTTTAAATGCCTTTTTGCATACATCACATTCAAACTTACGTTCATTCGTATGAGAGTTCATGTGGATTTGAAAGTTACCTTTACTGCTGCAGATCTTTCCACAAATACTACACATGAAACTTCTCTCGTTATGCATCAGCTGGTGTTGCTTCAACTTTTGCTCCGAGGGGAATTCCTTCACGCACTCTTCATACGTACTCGAGTATTTATTAGAATGAGCATTTTCTTTATGTTTTGACAGAAACTCTTCACTCGAAAAAATTTTCTTACAGTGGTCACACGGGAAAGATATTACTGGACCAGTTGCTCGTTTGGCAGATATTTTCGTGCTCTCCAAATCAGATTTCGTTTTTAAAGCCTTTGCGGCAGGTTTTACATTGAGAAATTGGAAGCCATCCCGATGCTTTCATAGGTTGGTTTTTCACATGCGAACGCTGGTGCGAACCAACATTTATGTCTAGATTCGCAAATGTGTTCACATAACTGACATTCAATATTTTGCGCCATGGCATTAATATAATATGATGTAAAAGTAATCTTTTCTTCATTAAAATGTTGCCCACATTTAGTACATTTGATGTCCGTCTCCTCCTTCATTTGTTTCTACATTCACATAGAAATTCACAACAAAATCCATGAAAATGACACTAAAGTTTTCGAAGGTATGGAGTTCTTCCGTGTACAGACTCTGTGTACCTCAAGAATAAATCTTTGTCTGGGGAATTCAAGAACTACATAGCTTACATTTAACATTCCCTTCGGGTTCATCGTAATGCTTTTTAATATAACATGATTTTGAACGAAGGTGCTTATTATGTGCTACTGTTGATGGAAACGGCTCGTTACATCTGGTACAATTATATGTTCTTGTTACAGTCTGTTGTCGAATCGTTGTCTTACTTTTACTATCAGCATCTTTCTTGTCTTTATTGTTATCTTCATCACTTTTTAATTCTATCTTTATTGTATCTTTCGGCCGAACTTTTGTCATTTGCCTTTTAACAGGCGACTTCTGTTCTTTCTTAATAACTCGTTTTACTTCAGCACTGCCTGACTTAACATCCACTTTTATTTGATATTTTTCGTCTTGTTTTGGTTCAAACCTGGCCTTGTTTACTTTTATTGTACCTTTTAGTGTTTTCACAACAGTTTTCTTTTCTTCTTTCATAACATTTTGGTCGTTTTTCATTGATCTAGTTTTTATACCTTTACCCTTACTTCTTTTGCTGTTTGAACTTACCGAGGCTGTGGGAAAAATTGATCCTTCATCTGTTACTGTCTCATTTATCAATGTATTATCAGTTTCAGAGTCCTCATCAAGCTCTGTAAGATGACCGTCAAAATCGTCGTCATCGTTTGCAATATCATCGCCCTCTTGTCTCTGTGTACCAGCTATGTCAATGATATCTGAAAAAGAAATCATCAGACAACAGTTCGTAAAATGGTGAAATAGTATATCACAACACTTACAAACAAACGGTTTCCAAAAAATGCATTTACCAAGAACCATAATCTTTTAACACCAAAAACCCACATTTTTTGATTTGGGGGTCCCATAGAATCAAAAAACTTTTTTATTGTTAAATCAAAACCATGTAGAATTTTTAACATGTATAAGTGGGTTAATGCACCCTTTCTTTCTTTAATATCTACAGAAGCACGGCTTCAAAATTTAAGATAAAAAGGGCATGACTCTTATATATTGCTTTCAGGATAATGCCTCTTGTTTTACAATTGCCCTTTGCCATTATCACCAAGGGTTCCAAGTTTTACGTTGATACTTTTCTTAAATTTTGAAAAACAAAACCAACTTTTATATTTTTACGTATGCAAAAGGGGCAAAGTTCTGCATTTCTTTTGACCTCTAATTGGGAAATTTAAAAGAATTTTTTAAAATGGCATTTGGGAATGTTTTAAATTCTTTTTTTTTGTTCCTTTACAATATTTTAACCCTTTTTTAAAACTTTTTAAAATTTTCATGATAATTTTGCTTTTAATCTGGGACGCAAAGCTGCTTTAAAGAGTCAAAATTTTCCTTTTCCCTTTTTCAAAAGGGTTTTTAAGGGGAATTAATTTTTTTTTCCCCCCACGAAATGGCCCCTTTTTATGATGAGCAAATTAATTTTCCCAAAATTTTAAAATTGAGTTATTTGGGCTACATGATGAAAACGAGGGGGAAAGCAAACGATCAATATTTGCGGTCGTATGTTAAAAATACGTAACCCATATAAGCTAATGATTTCCTTAAAATTTAGAAAGGTAAATTTAAAGGGAGATGCTTAAACGAAAAAATGTTGGGCCCCGTAAAAATCTGCCCTGTAGAAATGCCCCCTTAAGTTTTGAAATAGAAAAAGAATTTTCCCAAATTTTTAAAAAAAGAATATCTTTTGATAGGTTTTTTTCGAGAATTTTAAAACTTTTAAAAAAATGGTTTTAAACCCGCACAGGAAAAAAAATCAAAAAATCAAAAAAGGGGCATTTTTTACAAAAACCCTAAATTTTAAAAAATTGGTTATGGGATAACAATTTTTATTTAAAAACATTTTGTTATAAACCAAATCCCAAAGCAAATTTTCCTTTGACAGTTTCTGAGAAAACATTTAAATTATTTTTTCAGTAACCGATCTTTGACCTGAAAATGAGTTTTGTGACAGGTAGAACTCATCAAGGGGCCTATCGATGTTTCAATGTAATAGTTTGTGAGGTTTAAAAGTAAATTACTTAACCAAAAAGTTAAACAAAAGCTGATGTCAGAGTAACGACATTGCCGTGTGGGTTGTGTAGCTTTGGTTTTTAACGGGAAAGTGGAGCTAAAACTGTTTTTTTATATATTTTGAACACATTGTATGCATCAGTAAAACTATAGCAAAATACCACATAAGATATCTTGACAGTAGCTTTACTGTTTTACTGGAAAAGCGGATTTTTTGTTATTTTCTTTAACCAAATGTATGAAATAGTTAAAACTATAGCTTAAACAATGCTTACTTAAAACATAAAGGGTTATATGAAATTATGAGGTTTCTGTAAATTGTTTGCGTACAATTTCTGAAATTTTTTCGGGGACAAGGGGATAAAGTTTAAAAACCTGGGAGATATGTGCAAGTCTAATAGAATCAGTACTGTTCTCAACAATGTATAATGACCTCTTTATTTTACACACCACCATTTTGCTTGACATTTTGACTGAACTTTGTGACTCTAAGTACAATAAGGATTTGATACAGATTTTCACAAATATGAAAATGAGGCTAGATAGAGTAAAAAATACATTTTGGACTCTAAAATTTTTGGGAGATACGATAAAAAACATCTGATATAGATTTTTTTGGACTCTGGAAATGAAAATTGAGACGTATAAATTGATAAGATCAGTTCCAATATTTGATTTCTACTGGAAACATCATGTGGTTGCAAAATGCTGAAAGTTTTATTGGTTATATTTCAATAAAGGTGTAAATACTGCAAAAAATATAAATATCACCTATGGGTCTATACAAGAACAGGAAAAAACAACAAATTTTAAAAAACATACTGGCATGGAGCAGTTCCCCGTTTCAGAAGCAGTTAACCCCCTATTTTTTCTTTAAAGCCTTTTATTTTTTTCTTGATTCTTTAAAAAATTTATTTTTAAATCAAAACAGATACATTTAAAAGAGACAAAAAACTAAGTTTTCATTCGGCAATACGCATTAAAAAATTTTCATTTTAAATCACTTTTCCCCGGGGGCGTCCCCTCAAAACGTGACCTTGTTTTCTCTGGGGGGTTCCGTCCTTGCGCGATGCGCCAAAAAAATTTACACGTGGGGGCTTGTTAAAAGGGTTTTTTTCCCCTAAAAACCAACTGTTTTTCAGATAAATAGGGAATGTGATTTAAAAAATTGTTTAATTTTTCCCGAAAATTTTTACCCAAAATTTCTATTTAAAAAAAATTTTATGGTTTTTGGAAAGCGTAAAAAAATCATGTATACAAGCATGCTATTTCATGTGAATGCGTTGGGGGGAACGGTACCGGGAATTTGATACCCCGTTTAGTCTACGGTCCCAAACCCTGAAAATTTCATCTATTTATTTTTGAGATAATTGGCTGTTTTAAAAAATTGTAAATGAAAAAATAGGGGCCGAAATAAAATTTTATAATTCCCAAAGGGTTTTTGATTTTTTTGTACGGGAAAATACTCCTTCCCTTTATACAAAATAATCAAAAAATTTTGGTACCCCATTTTGAGGCCTCATAAGTAAGGGGTTTTTCTATGGTTTTTGAACATGATGGAATTTCCCTGATTTGGTTTTTGACGGGACCGAATATTGTGGGGTAAAAATTCAAAAATTTTTGGGGAGTAGCGTAATAAAAAAAAAGTTTTTAAATTTAAATAAGATTTTTGGTAAAGGGGGAATGGGTTGCCCTTCCATTTTACAATTTTTTAATACCTTTTTTTTTCAAAAACCTTTTCTTTTCAAAAAAAATTTCATCAAAAAAAATAAAAAAAACCTTTATATAAAAAACACTAATTTATTTTGGTTTGGAAAAAAACCCAAAATAAAAATTAAATTTTTTATAACAGGCTACATGGTTTTATTCACTAGTAAACTTCCCTTTTTCTTATTTTTTAATATACCAGTATATGAAACATCAATTTCATTTGAACCCCTTAAAAAGGGAAAAACCCCTGAAAAGGTTTTTTTTACATGAAAGAATGGAAATAAATTCCCCCCCAATTTTTTTACTAAATTTTATGTAGGTTTTGGACCAAATTTTTTTTCTGCATTTTTCAGATATTTTTCACCCTTTTGAAATTTAAATTTTTTTAAAAGGGCCAAAATGGGCAGAAATTTGAAAAGCCCCTTGGCCCAACGTTTTTTCACATTACTCTCGCTTAAAATTGCACAAATATAGATTTTCAAATATATGTCTATATAATCCGTTACAGATTTTTTTCCATTTTAATTTTTTCACTTGATCAATGTAAAAATTTCAAATTTATATTTCTAGGCTTTTAGACCACAGTAGAGCTCCTTTAACCTGTTTATCTTTAATTTTCTTGTCCAGCTTCCATTTTTTTAACTGCACATCATGAACTTTGGAGATATCAAGATGAAATTTCGTAGTAGTCGATCAGTCAACAGTGAAGAGGTGCCCAGGCTTGCCGGGATAGAATGATGGCAAAGGCTAATCACTTTCCACTCCAATAGGTTAAAGGTTAAGTTCAGTATACAAAAATAAGTAAAATTAGCATTTATTATTATAAACGGTATATAGAAATTTCATAATGAAAACAAAAATCTTATAAAGATTTTTCACACTTTTCAATAATAATTTTAAAAAATTCAGCATAAGAAATACATAATAATGTGAGTATTAACTATTAAAGCTACAGATATATATATTCAAATACCTAGTATACTTGCAATATAAACAGAATCTAAAAGCATATTGCATGTTGTACCTTAGAAAAAAGAAAAATATAAAAAACTTTAACATCACTTGGTTCCCTTGAATTAACCTTTTCGCTCATGCAAGAGAACAATTATTTAAATACCTAGGCAAAAAGAGGTGAGAAAATGTTAAGTGAAACTAGGGATAAATCTATAGCCCATAGTGATAGCATGCATGAAGTCCTGCAAAGCAAATATAAGGAGCATTTCATGTATTCCTATATCTGGACATGACATTACATTTGTGACATATTGTAGAAAGCATAATTTTATGTTGAAAACTATAAATTGTACCATTTCGGCTTATAAAATATTGATGATTTTAATTGACATAATCTAAGAAACAAAGAGAGAGATAAACTGTATGATCAACAACTCGCCACTCTAAAGAATCACATAAAAGCCTCTTTAAGCCAAAAAGCAAAATATAACAAGAGTTTGTTGGTAGGACAGCATGCTTGACTATTCTCAGTGCATAATAATAAAACAAGAGGCTGGATAATGTGAATTTTTTTAATCTTAAAAAGGGGCCTTAATTTTGTTAAAATCCATGTTAAGAGTTATGGGCCTTCAATAGAAACCTCCTATTATGCTCTCAAATACAAGTGTGAAGTTTTGACCAATTACTCTCCATATCAACTTTGTGCACAAAACTTAACCAAAGTGTAATGCCAACCGAGTTATGAGTAAAACAGCTCTCTTGATTATTTAAATGATCGAGATATAAACAATGTGTAAAACTTTTAAATCACTAGGCCAATTGTACTTGTACACATGAAAAGGTACTTAAAGAAGAAATACTGAAATAACAACAGCATATATTCTTAAAAGGTAAACTCAATCATATAAATGTTAAAATATGAAATATAATCTTATAAAAAACAAAATATTTATTATCTAATTAATTACTTATAATGAGTTAAAATTAACTAGAAAATTATACCCTTTATGGCAAAAAAAAAAGAGGAAAACATTTTATTTTTCCTTAAATATGTGAATAGAAAAAACAAAATTTCAAACCAAGATCGATAGTCAATTTTAATTTGTGTCAACTAATAAATGCAAAAAAAAAATCCAAAGTTTTCATCCAAACAAGAGGGCCATGATGGCCCTGAGGTCGCTCACCTGTATATAGGCCCCCCAACCCCCACCCCCCCAACGTTGCAGGGCCAATTTAACCCAAGGGCTTTTAATTTGCACAAACTCGGTAGGACACCCATAAGAAGATGTTTCATGCTAAACATCTAAGCTCTAGCTCATTGGGCTTTATTGAAAGAAGATTTTTTTAAAGTTTTTACTATACACATATAGTTAAAAACAATGACACCCCTGGGGCCGGGCCAGTTTTGACCCCAGGGCTTTTATTTGAACAAACTTTGTAGACACTTACTAGAAGATGTTTCATGCTTAATATCTAAACTCTAGCTATTTGGGTTTTTTCAAAGAAGATTTTTTAAGTTTTTGCTATACACATATAAGGATAATCAATGACCCCCGGGGCGGTGCCAATTTTGACCCCAGGGCTTTTATTTGAACAAACTTGGTAGACACCTATTAGAACATGTTTGATGCTAAATATCTTAGCCATAGCTCTTTGAGTTCTTTCAAAGAAGATTTTTTAAGTTTTTACTATATGCATATAGGGAAAATCAATGACCCCCCGGGGCGGGCCAATTTTGACCCCAGGGCTTTTATTTGAACAAACTTGGTAGACACCCATTAGAACATGTTTTATGCTAAGATATGTTCTTTAAAAGAAGATTTCTTAAGTTTTTACTATATGCATATAGGGAAAATCAATGACCCCCCGGGGCGGGGCCAATTTTGACCCCAGGGCTTTTATTTGAACAAACTTGGTAGACACATATTTAGAACATGTTTCATGCTAAAAATCTTAGCTCTAGCTTTTTTGGTTCTTTAAAAGAAGATTTCTTAAGTTTTTACTATATGCATATAGGGAAAATCAATGACCCCCCGGGGCGGGGCCAATTTTGACCCCAGGGCTTTTATTTGAACAAACTTGGTAGACACCTATTAGAAGATGTTTCATGCTAAATATCTTAGCTTAAACTCTTTTGGTTCTTTAAAAGAAGATTTTTTAAGTTTTTACTATATGCATATAGGGAAAATCAATGACCCCCCTGGGGCGGGGCCAATTTTTGCCCCAGGGCTTTTATTTGAACAAACTTGGTAGAGACCTATTAGAACATGTTTGATGCTAAATATCTTAGCCATAGCTCTTTGAGTTCTTTAAAAGAAGATTTTTTAAGTTTTTACTATATGCATATAGGGAAAATCAATGACCCCCCGGGGCGGGGCCAATTTTCACCCCAGGGCTTTTATTTGAACAAACTTGGTAGACACCCATTAGAACATGTTTCATGCTAAATATCTTAGCTGTAGCTCTTTTGGTTCTTTAAAAGAAGATATTTAAAGTTTTTTTCTTTCGGTTGCCATGGCAACCAGAGTTCTGCATGGAATTAAATTCTTTGAACAATTTTTAAAGGTGACCACCAAAGGAACATTCCTGTGAAATTTGGATGAAATTAGCTTAGTGGTTTATGAGGAGATGTCATTTAAAGTAAAAGTTTACGGACGGACGACGGACGGACGCCGAATGAAAAGCGATCACAAAAGCTCACCCTGTCACTTTGTGACAGGTGAGCTAAAAATTGGACATTTTTATAAATGATAACACAATGTTAATTTAGAAACATTATCTTACATGCAAAGCTAAAGCGGAAAAATAAATTAGTAGACAAAAAATGTAGACAATGCAAAAAACATTGAGTAAATATAACTACTTTGCAGAAAATGGTTTAGTTAATACAGAATTTATTTTAGTTTTGAATGTGTAGGAAGCTATGAACTTATAGACACACTCTCAAATCCATTCTCAGAATGATCCAGTATGAAGCAATCAGTGTAATATTCCATGCTTAGGCACAAGCTGTGAGCTATAGACACACTCTCCATTCTCTGAATGACCTAGTAAGAAACAATGAGTGTGTTTTAACCCATGTGACCTGCAATTCTTAAACTGGCTATACTGACAATGGTTGTTCACTCTTTGCTCCTATTCAACAAGCTTATACTTCAATTCAATAATCATATGCTTTTTCCTCTATGTACATACATGTAACACATTTTTTGTTGTTAATTAAATGCCAAACTGACACAGTAAAAGGTTATATAGAAACTGTCCAGTTAACTGATGGATAAAGACAGAAGGTGCCCCTTTAGTGCATTATTTGTTGCACTGGTGCACGCGAGTGTGAAGCTAACTGGACATATTCCGAACACATAAAAAAATTAAAAGTCCCTTACAGGATTCAACCCACAGAGGTAGAGAGACAGTAACAAGATTTAAAACCTGTTTAATTGACATATAGTTATTACAAAATAGTGGAAGCTTTGTGATGGAAGTGATTGAACAACCCTAAATCAGCTGAATTTGTAAAATGGTTTAGCCCTGTTTTAAATTTGGAGCAGTCCATTAGAAAATGAAGGGATTCCATTATCAATATACAAAATTTGAGCTACAAACAATATAGAGCCTGGTAAGACTGCGTGGATGCGCAGGCTGGCCTGGCTCTATACTGGTAGCAAAGGCTTATCACTTTCAGTTCCAGCAGATTAAAGGTTTAAGAGTATGGAAGTTTTAAGTTGGTCAATGCAACGGTCATCAGAATTTCTCAATCAACGAAAGGCCTAACAAAATTGCAACTGAAGTAAATATGTTTAACAAAACTCATTATTTCAAAATACAATGTAATTGATCTCAAAATTAATAATAATCTTATAAGTTAAGTAAAACCATGAAACTAACTTTGAAATTTTAATAATATTTCAGTAGAAGATACCAGTTTCTCCCATTCAAACTTGTCAAGCAGCTATACCGTCTGTATATCTTTTTTGTTTGGATTATTACAAAGTAAATAAATAATAACTAGACAATATACCAGTAGGCGCACGACCCTAAACCAGTGCTTGTGTAATGCAGCCATAACCTGTTTTGCATATAAGTGACACTTGAAAAATATTTCTACACTGTTACATATTAAAAGCATCTGTATGCTTACTATCATTTAACATAAATATTGAAATAGCATAATTAAAATTAATGTACATAACACACAAGAGGTTCATGATGACCCTCAACTGCTCACCTGATATGAATTTGCATGGACAAGATTTCATTTTAAGGTCAATATCATCAAATCTGCCATGCAGCTGAGGAGGACATGTCATTCTATTCATACATTTAAGTCTATTTATTTTAACTGCAAGCAGCCATTTTATTCATACATTTAAGTCTACATTTAACTATAAACAGCAATTTTATTAATCAGATTGAAGTACTTTTAGCAATTTTTGTTTTTGATTTTTCTAATTGACTTTAAAGGAACTCCACTGAGATTCAAAAGCTTAAAACTTAAAATTTGAATTTATTACATAGATCAACTGGGGCACTTAAAACAGAAAATTCAAGGATGATTAAGAAATATACTCGGAAATAAATAACAAATTATGTTTTGTGTGCTATTCTTAGCCGGATAAGAGTGAAAAGCACTGCATTGCTTTTCAATTGTGAGTCATTTTTCACAAATATAATAGTTGTCCTGGAAAAACAGAGTGAGCAAATGGTCTGAAATTTTGCACACAAGTTATTAGTTTAGACCTTCAACAAATGGAACATTTATCTTCCAGTCCCCTCATGTTAAAAAATCCTGAGTTAAGTCCCTTTAAGCAAAATATGCCTACAAGTAAGCTTTTTCAAGTTTATTTCAATATATAATATTCAATTATAGCTCTCGTAGCCATCTTGTTGAGCGGAATGACACAATTTTAGCAAGCATTGCAAAGTGCAAGCCAAGGGTCATTTTTATACAGTTTCAAAATCTAACAAGCTGTTGAGTAGATATTATTCCTATAGAGTTTCATAACAAAAATCTACCACTCTGAGGCAAAAGATTTAGGAGATTTTGTTTAAAGTAAATGCTACTGCAGGAAAATGATTGGAGGATGCTGGACACAGGGCAATCGCAATACCTCATCTTAAAGTAAGCTAAATTCTTTTGTCTATTTGTAAACAAAATGCAATTGATTAAAAATTCATAAAAAAAACAACAACCTCACAATACTTAAAAAAAACAAAGTCAGTAACAAAATGTAGCTTAAAATTAAATTAAATATATAACCATACTTGTATATGAAAGCTAACTATTTCATACAATCAATCTACAAATATACAAAAGAAAAATAAAACTTATCTCAAACAGACAATCTATGAGTGTTAAGCCTACAAGCATCATTCATAACAATCAAATCTACAATCCTTTTATTTTGTGAGAAAAAAAAAAATTCTGCCTAGTTTCACAACATTTGGCCCTAACCTAGGAACTTATAACAGATGCTCGGTTTTACCCTGGCTTGTGACAATGACATTGAAAAAGAATGGATAACATTCTATTTTTTGAGAATTGCCTGCAGTATAAATCTATATTATTTCAAGAAAATGATAATTTTATAATAAATGAAAATTTTGTGTTGTTAATTAAGCCAGCAAGCCTATAAGTACAAGAAAACCTACTGTTTACTATGAATTATATTTTATCAATATTAAAAAAACAGATCTATAAAATTTGCATGTCTTACTTGATGACAAATACCATGATTCATATTGCATCAGCTAAGAACAAAAACAACCATCTGCCCAAAATAAGTACATGTACAAACCTTTGATATATAAAAAAACTTTTAAATTGAACTTATACAAAACAACTTCCTTTCTCACAACTTTTTATGCTTTAAAATAACAGACAATGCCCATCCTTTGTTGCGATAATTATTAATTAAAACAAAAAAAAAAAAACACAAAAAAAAAACTTTTGGACTGGTTTTAACAAAGCTACTAGTATATAGAATTAGTCAAAACAAATCAGCAGTAATAAATAAATGGTTATGATGAGTCTATAGAGCTGTTAGATAGATTGTTTGAAATATGCATATCTTTACTGGATGACCCTGAACCAGGTATTGAATTTTGGTCATCGGATTTCTTTTTCTCCGGTGGCGTTGGATATCTCCGTGCATACTCCTGAAATATCTTTCTATAAATGTGTTTTGACACAGGTTTTTTGTCTTCGTTTCCGCACATGAATATATATTCATCATACCACTTTACTGCATGTATACTCTTTGGTAAAGGACTTTGTACCGAATATTCCGCAAGGTACGAGGCTAAATGTTTATGTACGGTGTCAATTTGCTCCTCTGATGTTTTGTTCACTGGAGCGTGCTTTCCTCTTCCATCTTGAACAAACAAATCACGAGCCTTCTGCTCAAATGCTTTGTATATGTAACTATCACCAATGCCCAGTGTTTTAGAAAAGAACGGCTTACACACAGATTCATATTTACCATTGATCTCAAATGAGAAAAGCCTATGTACATGTCTTCTCTTACTAGTTTTTGTTGCGACCTGGGTAACGCGTGAAACAACAAACTCTTTCTGAGCTGTGTAAGATCCCAACTTCCAAAACCATTCGAATATTTTCTTTCTTGTTTCTTCTGAGATTTTCTCAGTACATCTTTGCTTACACTTAGTACAATCAACTTTCCTCATTTTCTTTGCAGGAACTAGTTTACCTTTTGCATTAACATAAGCCTTTCCCTCTGTCTTTAATTTTTTCTTCACATTTCTCTGCCATGTTTCTGGCCTTCGTTCCCTTTTCCTCTTCAGAGCATCTTTATCTTTGTCAATCTTTTCCTTAGTTTTTACTTTTTCCTTATTCGGCTTTCCTGAGGAATGTAACACTTCTTGAACTGGGGTACTGTTTAGCATTTCTTTTATAAGATCTGCCTCACTTTGTGAGATACCATTGCTTTTGTCATGTGATACCTCAGAGGGTGACACAGTCATGTTAGTTTGCGGAACAGATATCATAGGATTATTCATATTAGCTGTAGCATCAACACTTTGCATAAAATTCGGTTGCGGGAAATTTTCAGTACCAGGCAGTCCTTGAGTAAATCCACCCTGAAAGAACGAGCCAGTATGAAATGGTCGGGTATCATACTGGCTAAAATTCCCATGGAGGAATGTATTTGGTTGGTATGATTTGTTTTGGTTTCCACCCTGAGACAATATACCTTGCACAAATGAGTTATCTTGAGCTGTCCCTCTTTCACTAGCTCCAGTTTGTGCAGGGAAATAACTCCCTCTTTCATGTGAAAAATCTAAAGGGTAATCTCCCTTCTCATTGAAAACGCCTTTGTTCTGATTGGCTCGACCAATTTCGAGGAATCTTTTTTGTGCACCAAGTAAAGTCCACACATCATGATCTGAAAACAGAAACAATAGATAGCTCATTTTCTCAATTATCATAAAAGCATTATTACTGTTTAAAAATTTAAAATTAACCTAAAACTGATCCTACATATTATGCTAGAAAAATACAGTGTAAAATTTACTATGTAGAAATACATTTTTCTGAAATTCTAGTTTAGAAATCATAATAAAAAGGAACAACCTGAGAAGATGAGCCCTATCATTTCTGATTCAGAAAATTTGAGGGTTGACAGGAAAACTGTTGTAAACCCTCCTTGATTTCATATAAGTTACTACAGTTTTGCCGTCAACCCTTGAAATATAAAAAACTGGCCGCTTTATTCTTACACAGTTTCCGCTTATATGAGATAAATGATTTAAATACAAGGCAAGATGTGTAATAAATACATAATTATCTAAAGAGGTATCCATAGGACAAGTGCACCCCAATATGACTGCTTTGTCAGTTTACTGACTATCAGCAAGATAATAGAACAGCATGATGAACAACAAGGGCAAACCTATATGCCACCAACCCTTCCACACACCAGTGAAGGTATAAAAATACTGTTATTTTAAACGAATTACCTCATTTTATTCCTTGAACTTAAGTTTCAATAGAGGGCACAGTGGGTTGGTTGGGATATGAAATAATCCTTATTTTGTTGACATAATAGTGATACACACATGTGTGCAAGTTAAAAATATAAGAAAACCTGAAAACCATGAATTTAGTATCATTTCAACTGGGTTTATAAGGAAAAAAGAGCTTTCAAGAGTAGAAAAAATCTGAACTTCAGGCTAATGCCTGAAACTTGTACCCATTCACACAGCTGAATTTTACTGAAAAGTAAAGTTTCTATCATGAGATTAAAAAGTTTGCAGAATGAAATATCAAAATTAAATTTCACCATATAACAAGGGCCTTATAGAGACCTCACAATTTCAATATTGCCCCTTCACAATCCCATTTGGGCAATCAATATTTCTTTTGACTGCTACCACAAAACAATATTACAACAAAATTTCGAGCTATAACCCTCATCTCTTATATATTCCAAGCCATTTACAAGTAAATGAATCCTTTGTCATTTAAACAGTTAATGTTGAAATATCTCACGTGAATGTTCATTTTAATTAAATACAGGAAAATTAATATTTGTAATTTTTTTTCACAAATTTAGACATTATCAAACTGCTTCTCTCACAAATTTAAGGAAAATAAAGCTAAAATTTCACAATTTCGAAAAGATAAATCTTGTTTTTTTTTTACAAATCAAAAAAGCATGGGCCCTTTTAAAAAGTTGAAAACACTTTCTCTACATAACTTTCATGGTTTGAAGATGTGTATGATCATATAACTCAAAACAAGTCAAAACAATTCAGTATTTCTCAGAAGTGGAAACAGTTTTTTTTTGTTCGTTTTTTTTTGGGACTTTTTTGGCTACTATTTTTGATTGGGAATGGGGCCTTATGATCGGGTGAAAATGCCCTGAATTATAAAATTGACCTGCAAAGAGAAGATAAACTGGTCACACTGTATTGAAGCGAAAATAGCTGTGGCATTTTACTGTTGATATAGTTTTCATTATTGCTTCTGTCATAGACACGGGATAACAAAATCATAAAGTGCAAAACTTTTTTATCCTTATCACACCATTATACCCTATTTCTTTGGAAATTTTGCCTCAAGAGCCTAGTCCATGTCTAAGTTATTACCTACAACTTAAGATCATTTACCTGTACACATTTTAGCAAATCTGTCCCCAATATCAGAGTTCTCCTTCAGAAACAATTGTCCCTTCTGTGATCCATGAATACTTATTTCACCAAATGGACCAACAGTTACTAGCATAGACTGAACACCCCTTGAACTGACCTGTTCAAGCTGAAATAAATAATGGACATTTTAAACACCTTTAAGACTTATATATGACCACTCTCTTGTCATTTGCTATATTGCTAATCCTGGTAGCCCTATGTAATATTATCATTTGCAGACATCTAATTTAGCACTGGCCTGGTGGCCCATGGCCTAGTGAGTGTAAATCAGTTCAGGCCAGTGAAATTTTTAAGAAAATGTAGTTAAATACATAGTAGAATAAATTCAAAACTGGAATTCCGGTCTGGAAGTTCAAAATCTTAAATTCATTGACTGCATTGGGCACTCAACAGTTTAATAATTTGAATTAAGTAATACAAGTTGCCTTTAAAAAGCATTCCCTAATCCCTATAGGGCTGTATAGCAACATGCATTGTAAACCCTGCATTCATTTCAAAATAATTAAATAGGATTTTATTTAAGTTATAATTTGGAAGGAAGACCCAATTTTAATCTCTGACCACTAAGACTGTGTCTTGCCTACAACATAGTCCCATTATAATGAACAATTTGAGTGAATTAGGTAATTACTCAAAGTTTTCTATAAAAACCATCATAGAATATCAAAGAATTAAATGGACTAAACACACAAAAATTATCACTTGTTTTTTTTATTAATTACCTTCTACCAAGAACAGGAACAAAGAACATAAAACACCAGTGTCACTGTATACTTTAACCCAACTTACTATCGCTAACAATTTGAAATATAGTTGAACGTAAGTTTTGTCTGCTGAAATAAATTCAGATGTTTTAAATTTGCAGAAACTTAAAATATTTCCAAGTAAAAAGAATAAACCAATTTCATTTGTCAGCCATTGCAATTTGTAGATAAAGATTTATTCAAGATTTTCCAACCTGACATATCAGAATGACCTACCATTTCTTGAACTTGGTTTATTGTGGTTTGAGTGTCCTCTGTATCCATTGGTTTCCAGTTATGATTGTCCAAGCTTGACCCTTGACCAGCATTGGCATGCAAGTTGCCAGTAACCTGGTTGTTGGCCATGTTTGATGATAATCTATTTTTGGTAACATCTGATTCCATGTTTTGCATGAATCAATATGTTTTATTTAACCCTTAAAAGACAATGTTTACCTGAAAATAAATGATTAATTATTAATTTTTGTAAATAAAGTTTTAAAAATAACAAAGGTATCTTTTCATTATAAATTTATGTTGAAATTAAAATGGTATATATTTTATCATTAAATGTTTAAAACAATTTTCCTGCATTGCACATAAGTGCCGACTTAGCATGATGTTCACACTTATATAATTACCGTTAATTTGCAGCACGCATATATTGTATCAATTAAAAACAACAGCCTGTCTTTACTTATTTATATTAATTAACTTTATATGATTAAAAAATCTCTTACAAAGTTTTGAATTTGAAATACCAATGATTTTTTTTTATTTTGCGAACACAAATTTTGTCCGCATAAAGACAGACAAAAACATTGCCAGAATGAAATACATATATCCTTAACTACATACAGCTGTTGTCAATTTAGTACCGTCATTGTATTTTTAAAGACAAATTCATTTAATCCGTTTGTTACTTATATAAGTTTTCCATATTTAGAAAGTCCAAAAATGTGTCATGAAACGTAATAAAATTCATTGGCATTCAATCATAAATTACTTATTGGCTAATTAATTATTTTTTTTTTGAATATTAAAGTATAAATCCAATTACACATAATGTTTATAAACTTCACCAATGCCCAAAATAATCATCAATCAGTCTACACTATATATCTATATCGTCCGCTTTTTTCCTCTTTGTCCGCTTTAGACGTCCGCGTTTTAGACAGGCCCAAAATAACACATGCATTTTCGACTTCCAATGGAAGTTCCATATAATTTTGTAAAGTTTCGTACAGCTAGCCAACGCATTGTGTCCTGGCTAGCCGTACGTGACTCATGTACGGCTAAACTTTTGGCTAGCCTTTGACTAGTCAACAGTTCAGATTTGACAGAGCTCAAGATTTGCATTGTTCATAATAATTTCCGATTATTTTTATGTCAGTAAAACATTCAACGGGAGTCACAGTTTAACCACATTCTAAAGCTTCCATAAAACCTTTATCACACAGCAATTAAATAGGGATTTCTTTCTTGTCCTGCAGTTTCTATAATTTCTAAACAAATTTCTGGGTCAAGCAAACAACGATTAACATGTCAATATCGTTATATCACCTGTGTTCACAGACTTGTCTTATATTATATATGCATATGTAAATGGAGGCGTAATGTGCTAATTGTTTCCTTACATTAATAATTCTAACTTTGATGACATGTATACGAAGTGATTGCAATAAAAACTTTAATCGTCTCACCACAATTCAACCGGAACTACTTTAATCAAGGCCATGGGCCACTATTTTTTTTGCAAATACCACAAAGATATTTTTCAAACAACAAGATTCTTCACGGAAACATACATGTACATATGATCTGATATATATGATATTCTGTAATCATGCAAAGTTTCTGTGCTAGTTTCCTTTTTTATTCTTTTTTTATCGCCTTTGTAAAAATATGCAATACATTACTGTACAGCGGTATGCCTAAAATGAGAAAGTGAGATTTTTGACGAAAGTGAGCGAGAGTGACTTTTAAAATTTGAATTGTACCGTTTTAATAGAATTTTACGGTGAATTTTCTGTTTGTAGACGTATATTATTAGCAAATAATTTTTTTTTTCAAAAATAATCCCTATGATGATTAATCCCGATGATGATTCAATCGCCATTAATTTGCACAATTTCTATACACAAGTTCTGAGATCTTCCCTTCGCCCACTTTCAAAAATACGAAAGAGACATGTAAAATATTAAATATAGAGTTTAAATTGAAATTTATACTAAAATTGCAGTTTACACTACAGTATTGTACATGCAATACTCCTATAAAGGTATCATATAAGGATATTATATATCCCATCATTAACGATCGTTCAACACAACGTTATTGTTCTATGTGGTACGTTTTTTACTTTTGTCATTTTTCTAGTTGGGTGGTTCCAATTTTCCTACTTGAATAACGTTGAATCACTTGTAATAGAGGTCAGGTTCTATGAGAATCAATGTTTTACACGGAGACAAAATGATCACAAATTTATAACAAGAGTAAATTCTCAACCTTAGAAGATTTATATAAGTGTTACTATAACCTCTGATCCCCTTTCAAAATTCCATTTTATTTAGTTCCGCCCATTGTTTTCTCGTTTAAGGCACATACATGTACATTCTTTCTCTTGGGTACCATACGCCGCTTTTCATGGAATGACACGAGAGTGCCGTATGAACACATCTGCGGATGGGCTGTTTCTAAATTCCAAATTTCACCATTACCATGATTAAATGTTGGATTCTGTTTAAGCCGGTGCTAGGACGCGTGGACGGTAACTTGTACTTTCCATTACCTCCATGAACAGGCTTAATAACATTTTCAATTTTGTCTTGTTTGGCTTTCTTTAGGGATTCTTTATTTCTCTCTATTTTGTAATTTATAACGGCTAAAAGGGACTCAATCACTACATATTTTCATGAAAGGTGCGGTGGCGGGCCAAAATCAAAAGATTTCTGGCCTACCATCAAGCCCTTCCTATCACAAAAACCAACTAATAAAACAGACAATCCAATAATACTGAAGAAGTCAGATGGGGAACTATTGTCTGACCAACCCACAGTCGCCAACACACTTAACTCTTTCTATGTCAACATTGCAAAAAACATTGGTATAGAAGAAAATGAACAAGACACCTTCACACACCCAAGCATAGATAAAATAAATTATAATTGCCCACAATCACAATTTACATTCAAACTGGTCACTGAACAAGATATATCTAAGTCCATAAAAAGGTTAAATCCAAAAAAGGCTACTGGAGTTGATCAAATTCCACCAAATGTCATAATTGCAGGCAAACCCTCCCTGACCCGTCCCATTAGAGATCTATGTAATACTATGTTAAATCAAGGTCAGTTCCCACAAAATCTAAAACTTGCCCAAGTAACCCCAATTTTTAAAAAAGATGACCCCTATATAGAAAAAAATTATAGGCCAGTAAGTATTCTACCCACCATGTCCAAATTATATGAAAGGGTTATCCACGACCAACTCTCGGGTTACTTTGAGGAAATTTTTCATCCCTATCTGGCAGCCTTCCGTAAATCATATGGCTGTCAGACTACCCTACTAAGGCTAGTGGAAGACTGGAAAAAGGCCCTTGATGAAAACATGTTCATCGGAGCAATACTAATAGATTTATCAAAGGCCTTCGACTGTCTTCCACATGATTTAATTATCCTTAAACTTAAGGCTTATGGTCTGTCCGATAACGCTTGTAACCTTATGAGCAGTTACCTCCAAAAGTGGAAACAAAGGGTTAAACTAGGGGATTATACCAGCCAGTGGGATAATATTATTAAGGGTGTCCCTCAAGGATCAATATTAGGGCCCCTGGTATTCAACATCTTCAATAATGATATATTTTACTTAATAGAAAAATCCACCCTTTATAATTATGCTGATGATAACACTTTGTCCTTCTGGCATAAAAATGCTTCAGTTGTCAAATCTACCCTTGAGGATGAAAGTAATATCCTCATAAATTGGTTTAAATCTAATCAAATGCAGGCAAACCCTGAAAAGTCCCAAGCTATTTCATTGGGGTCAAGTCACATACTGAAATTAAGTCATTTGATATAAGCGGCAGCACTATCCCATGTGATGAACAGGTCAAATTACTAGGAGTAGATATTGACTATCAATTAAATTTTGATGCCCAGGTATCAGCCATTTGCCAAAAAGCTGCAAAACAGTTAAATGTCCAGCAAATATTAAGTAAATTCCTTTCTGTATCTACCATGCGTATCATATATAAATCTTTTATCAGGTCAAACTTCAATTACGGTCCCATAGTGTGGCACTTCTGTAGTAAAGCAAATACAGAAAAACTTGAAAAACTCGAGTACAGGGCCTTACGCATTGTTTTCAATGATTTTACATCATCATACGAAAGTCTCCTTAATAAGGTTAAACTACCCACACTCCATTTAAGCAGGTTAAAAACAATTGCAATCGAGACTTTCAATTGCTTACATAATATATCACCAAAATATATTCAAAACTTGGCCAAATTTAAGACCTCTGTTTACAATTGCAGGTACGATCATACTCTAGAAGTGCCTACAGTTCGAACCACCAGGTATGGACAGAACTCCTTTCGTTTTGAGGCTGCCCGGGTGTGGAACAGCCTCCCTAGTGACATCAGAAGAGTAGAAAACTTCAAAGAATTTGGGAGGCTGGTTGGCACCTGGACATGCCCAAAATGTAAGTGTTCAATGTGTCGCTTGTAGCCTGTGTTTGTATGTGATAAACATGTTTTATATGTGCTTCTATGTATAGTCTTTAGATGTTGCAAAGTTATACCTATAAATGCTTAATGTTATTTTTTATTTGCATTATGTGATAGTCCTTGTAATTTCCTTGATTTTTATATATATGTTTTTTATATATACTTATTATATTTCTTTTACAGGTATGTACATAGGTATATATGTATATCTTATTTCTTGTAACTTTTGCAGATTTTAAACTTATTTTAATTTCTTAATTTCATGCTCTTAGATGTGCTTATGCTTATAATTTTTAGTTGTTTTAATATTTTAATTCCATGTACTTAAATGTGCTTATGCTTATATTTTTTTATAGCTGCTTTACTTTTGTTTATTTCATATACTATGTTTGTCTGAAAATAGCTCATGAGCTAATGTTTTATGTTTAAATGTATCCGACGTAAAATAAATTTTCTTGTATCTTGTATCTTGGCTGCATGGCCTGCAAGGAATCAATCATCAAGGTCTTTCAAATAGATTTGAACAGTTACATTTTAATATATTTTAGCTATGATTTCGATAGTGATATTATTGCGGCTATATAGAGTTACCACAATTTTGTAGCCACTAGCCTTCCTGCCTTCATTAAAACTCCATCAAGGCATTTAGGAAATACAAGTCATATCAGACTACTATAAGTTCTAGCCCCCATCTCTCGTATCAGACTTTGAAATCAGCTTCCGATTGACACCCTGGTAAAGATACAGTATAAAGTTGCATTGTGTTTTTTACTTTCCTTCACTCTTACTATTAAAAACATTTTAACAATGAAGTTTTTTTTAAATCTGTCACTGTCCTGATCATGTTTATTTTGAGGTTCCTTCACATGTTTTACATATTTGTATGGTTACCTGTTTTGAATGTTTGCATGCTGGTGTTGTCTACCTTAATGTTAATTGTAGATAAAGGTAAGTATTTTGTTAACCCCCCCCCCGCCCTTCTCCCATTTTTGACCCACACTTATAGCCCTTGTCCCTTTAATTCCCACATGGATCCGTTTTAGTTTTAATTAGTTCACACATGACATGTCCCTCTCCTCTTTTCGCCGCCCTTATGTCCATTCCCGGTTTTAGTTTGGTGCCTTCTGGGTGCCCTGTTGTGGTGGCTTGGGTGTGTGCTGCGTCCTGTGAACGTTGCCTTTGCATTGTTGATCTTTATCCTCGCCTTTTATTTTCTCTCATATCATTTACTAATACATCCGATGGGAAGTATTCCTGCCTATAACATTCGCAAGAGGGATTGGCATTACTCAGAGATAAATAGATTTTGTCACCAGATCTTACCGTAATATGAGATATTATTAAAAAATGAAATCACATATGTGCTAAATGTTAATAGTATTAATCAATTACATGTAAGTAATTAAAATATCCACATGTATACAATTTTGTGTCAAAAAAATGAAGAAAAAAAATACCCGCCCCTCCCCCACCAAAAAAAAAAGATAAATAAGATAAAAAAAAATAAAATAAACAAATAAAAAATGAATAAGCTAAAATATTTCATATTTAAGTGAGAAAAATCCACATTTTCAGTTGCGGACAGCAACACAGTTTTCTCTATATCACATATTCACTCAAAACAAACAAATATCCTCATGAGATTTTCAATATAAAACAGCGATGGTAGATCATACAGGATTCTCTCAAGATTTTCTTTACCCCTCTAAATATACATTATTTAAAATCGTGTGATGATCGCCGCTGATACAGTTTGCGCTTAAAAATACGAATTGTCAGCGACATTCCAGCAGACATTTTCACAAAAAATCTTACGACACTTTTTTGTCGTAAGAGAAATCTTACGATAAATCTCCTTTTCACAAAAAATCTTAAGAAAATCTTAAGTGCAAAATCTGTCGTAACTTTACGCACGGATTTATATTACATATAAATCCGTGCTTTACGATAGGTCTTCCCCGTTCGTAAGTGTAATTTTTTCTCTCTTAAGGGTAAAATATCATGTATCTCTTACCTAAAATGAATAAAAACAAACAAAAATTTGGAGGACAAATAAACATTAAGCAAACAGTATGCTATAAATAACACAAATTGAGGTATAATTATTTTTCAACATAAACATTTGTGACGTCATGACTTGATGACGTCACGATGGAGAGGGTTATGAATAGTTTAAATGTGAACTATACTGTAGTATTATTGAAAACTTATAATTTGTACAATTGGTGAGTTCGATTTCATTGCCAGCATGTACTAGTGGTACCTTTTTATTTATTAATAACATAGTAGACCTTCTTTCTGAATCTTTTAGATATACTATATAATTATCTTCAATCAAGATATAAATTATATCAGTTTGAATCATTTTTTTGTTCTTATTGAAAATAGATATTTTAAGCTCTTGATTACTTGATTTTAAAACCGGAATCAAATATATAGAGCATGCACATCACTATCAAATGAACGTTGCTAGGGATGTTTTTGTCGTAAGATTTATCGTAAGTGAATTTTTTATCTTTTAAAGATAAAATTTTAACTTACGAGTGGCTTTGTGAAAATGACTTAAGATTTAACTTACGATTATCGTAAGTGAAAAACTTAAGATAAATCGTAAGATTTTTTTTGTGAAAATGTCTGCTGGGTGTCCGTAGATAACCCTACAAAATTCAAGTTCAGCTCTTTTTTTCAAATTTTCAATGTTTTGCGGTCACATTTGAAGACCGTTTATTTTATTAAATAACGAAATGCCTCCCTACTGAAGAATTCTTAAAACCTGCATTAAAGTGTTACGAACTATTTTAACGTAAGTTAAAGTAAAAACTTACGAACGTTCTGTGAAACATACTTACGATATACGTAAGTTTAAATGTAAGCGTAAAGTTACGAAAATACTTACGAAGACCTTACGCAATGTTAGTAAAACGCTGCTCAGGAGACTATTGATACAATAATATACTTATTATTTGCATATTGTAATTATTTCTTTACAAAACAAAGCAAGTTTTTTTAATGCGATTTGTGAACAATTAAAGAGATAGTGAAATGCCTCACCAAGTTGTTTTGACTTACACAAAATACATATACATGTACGTATGTTTCTCTCTATATTTAGGAGTCTACCTTTCTCAATTGGCATAATTTTTATCATTCATACATATATTTTTTAACAAAGCTTAAGACAGCTGCCAAGGAAGTATATTAGAATAATCTTCGAATACACACTCTGATATAGATGGTAGTTTAAACATTTGCTTAAAGATTGGGCATCACTGTTCCAACTTTGGATGAACTGATCTTGAAGTTTGGACTTAACAATACTTTTGAAATTAAGCGGACTAGGTACAGATAGACTCAACCAATAATTTGATAAACCAAGTTTGTCCAAAGTATCGATATTTATCAAAAGAAATCCACGTTAATTCAGTTCTATATCTAACACATACAGAGTATGCAGTCTTATATTAAATATTACAAAATTTATCATCTTTACCATTCAAAGCTTACACCAGTAATTAATAATTCTCATTTTTATTTGCAAAGATATCGGAGTAACATCAAGTTCACCATATAACATACAATTAAAAGTACTTTGCTTAAGGTTAAGTATAATTTTGCAAAACTTTAAGCTGAAACTGATCAATACAGTTTTAATTTTCTATTCCCCAAACTTCAGAGCCATAACAAATAGAATAGGAACAATCATTGTATGAAACAAGTAGTTCTGTAGATCTACAGAAACTAACAATTTTGTAGCCTTTTTGACCAGAGAGAACATAGCTGATTAGTGGATTAGTTTATAATATTACTGTATGTATATCTGTCCAGACACATATGGTACTGTAGTGAGGACAATTTAGGAAATTTTGATGCTCACTTCAGGGGCAAACCAACGCGCTCTTTGAATAGTTTGAAGAAGAACCTATCTTTACTGTGTCAAATTTCCGGGTATTGTGAAACCTGTATTGAAAAACCTTCTAAATTGTCCGGTTGATGGTCCCCGACCAATAGACCAGCATATTTGTATGACATAAAAACTGTTGAGGTTTGCTTTTTGGAGTAAACTTTTCTTTCCTGTATTACACCTAAGGACACAAACGTCTAAATCACCAAGATTTCATTTTGTTTACACGTCGGAAAAATAATAATTTCTTTCATCATAGAATAACTTTATATTGGTAATAGAAAATCTAAAAATAATTGTATCTTTAGTTTATATAACCTTAATTTGTAACAGTTTAAAATCAAACACGTACTGTAGCTGTATATCATATGATTTTAATTCGTACTCAATTTATTTCGTACTTTTTGTAATTTTCAGTCCTTGAAAGTTTAATAGACTGGAGATATTGTTTCTTATTTTATTCTGTATACCCATATCCCAACACAGAAAAAAACATTTTAGCTGCTTTACCTTTGTTAATCTTTTTACACAAGTTTATTGGATGATAGCTCAAGAACAAGTGACGTGTTTTTTGGGCAATCTCCTGGATTAGACCCATATGTATTTTTCAGGTCTAAAACTTGTATATAATACACTAAAGAAAACGGAATGAACCTTATATATACTCCTGGTTTAGACCCCGGGGTCTAATCCAGGATATAGCCGTTTTTTGCTATAATGCATAGATATGTTGTTAAATAAGTTTTCCTATTTTGCTTTAATAATCCTTTAAATGAGGGTTTCCTTGTGTATGTGAGGTGCGATAGTAAACAATTGCAAAGGCTGGCAGTATCAAAGACAAACACTTAATAAAAAAACCTTAATCAGTTAATTATTTAATAATGTTAATCAAGTCATTTTCCAGCACAATTTTCAAAAAGTTTTCTCATTAAGTTACTCATAGTCATAACAGTGTAGTACGGCTAGCCAAAAGTTCTAGCCGTACGTGAGTCACGTACGACTAGCCTGGACACACTGTATTTTGGCTAGCCGTACGGCACTTTTCAAAATTATATGGAAGTCGAAAATGCATATGTTATTTTGTGTCTTTAAACAACGATTTTAATCAAATCTCCGCATTTGTCCTAGTAAGTTCACTTTAATAAAGATACTCCGCAATTTTGCACACACAAAAATGAATACGAGTAAGCGTTGTATAATCTATCTTAATAAAATTAAGTGTCAAAGTTGCATGTTATAACGTCCTTAATTTTCATGCTTATGATTGTATGAAAGATGAATTGTTCAATCTGTTAATTAAGCACATGGATCGAATAAATAATGATCGGAGGGGAATAAATAAATAAATAAAAAGAATATTAAAAAAAAGTGAAAAGGAAAAATAATTTAATAATGCAAACTTTTCTTTATAATGGACGATGGACAAACTTCTATACCGTCGGTAATTGGCGCAATTATCAGAGCCCAACAACAATTATTTTTTTGTTTTTTGTTTTTTTTTTTTTTTTTTTTTTTTTCAATTTAAAAATTAAACTTAATGAAACAAAAAAGGATTATTATCAAAATTTTGTAAACTATTTCAATTGATGTTATTTAACTGCAACCAAACGCTATTTTTTCTCGACGTCTTGAGATGACAAAGTAAATTCTTTACTGTAGCCAACACGTCGATTAATCTCTAAAAAGCAAACATTCTTGACTAAAATCCTCGCTTAAAGTCATTATCAACATATGCACTTTCGCCTTCCATATATTTTTGAAAAGTGCCGTACGGCTAGCCAGTACAGTGTGTCCTGGCTAGTCGTACGTGACTCACGTACGGCTAGAACTTTTGGCTAGCAGTACGGGCCTGTACGGCCAGCCACTTCCATATTTAAAGTCTAGGAATATGTAGGTGTCAGTGATAAGGCCAGTATTAAAATATATATATTCATCTATATTTTTTTTCGTAGAAATCAACTCTTCTGAATTAATGAAGGGATGTTCAAGAGTACAGTATGCTGCATCAAGTTATTTTGGCAATCTAAGAAGACTTGCAATTCAGATGACTGTAGTTAATTCGTCATAGTGTTCAAAGAAGAAGAATGATCAGGAACTAATGTTTGACTTTACTTTTTTTAAAGTCGACTCTGTCATATTGTAGTACAAGATTGGAAAGCTAGAAGTAAAGCCTATGTTACTTATATAAATAGGAGCCACTTAGGCAAGAAGGAGAAACATTCTTTGTGTTTGTGTGCCGTAATAAAAATCAACAAAAATACAACATTGGCGGTAGAAACAGATCTAAATTTTGATTTAGCCATGTCGCAGAACAATTGGCCATTTGTCATCAATGTTGGAAACAGTATTATTGGTGTAACCATCTTGGCTATGCCATTTTGCTTCCAAGCTGTAAGTGTATATATATATTTGAAAATAAATTAGATTTTGATAATAACTAAGTTAGTTAATTAAGTTTGTATGTTGGTATTACTGCTAGTTATTAGCTTTATTATTCAAAGAATAGGGAGAGCTATTGTACTCACCCTTGAGTTAGCATCACACTTTTGTTAAGTTTTTTGCATACAAGTCGGTACTTCTAAAACTCTTGAAGGAAATGGGCTGAAACTCCTGCTTTCTGTGATTACCTAAAATTATGGGTACTGGTCCCATAACTCTTGAGTTACCTTTTTACAAAGTTATGCCCCTTTACTTACTCATACTGTCGGGGGCCCTGCAAAAAGTTGAGCAGGCTGTCTTATGGAGAGCTCTTGTTATTTTACATTGTCTATTTTTCTAAGACTATAAATCCATGCATGTATGTGGCCAGCTCAATATGTGTTCAGAAAACCTATAAATATCATATATATATATATATATTGTCATGATATCATGTAATTAAATGTTTTTTTTGGTTATTTTTGTATACATATGTATCTTTTTTTCCAGTGCGGCATAATTCTAGGCACTTTACTGTTGTTGTTTGCTACATGGTTGACTATAGTGTCATGTCAGCTGCTAATGAAGGCAGGTGTAACTTCTAGAAGAAGATCATACTCTCTCCTAGGTATGTACCATTAAATCATCCTCTGCTGATTGTGTCCCCCCTCCCCCCGCCCTTTGTTACAAGACAAAATTAGAATGAGCCACTTCAAATAAATTTTTCATTTCACTATGATATATCTAATTTATGAGGCTATTTTTTATTCACTTCTTGTAGATTAGAGATACGCTTAACCTTATTCTGTAAACGTCTGTGTGTTTATTTCCTATTAATGTCAAAACCCGGTGATTTAGACATAGTGCTTTATGTTGCACTAGATGACAGCTTGCTAGGTGTTTTGTTTTAACCAGTAATTGAAGCTGTGTTGAATGAGGAAGTGAATAGAGAATTTCTCCTCAGGTGGGAAATCTGGTTCCTACCGGTATACCACTCTTTCTGTGCTAATGCCAGTTAACATTTGTACATGTACATGTATTGTCTTTCGTGGTTTATTAATTCAAAACTTACAAGTCATTTGACAATGAATCAAATATCCATAGAATGTTTCTATAATGATTCTAAGGTCCCTTCAGTGCATTCTAATATAGTAATATATTTTTGGACTTGTGCAAATTAATAAAATGATGAAATCTCTTTGAGAATTCCTTTGAATTTCAATTTCATATCATACAAAGTGGGGTATGTGCAGCTTTTTTTGTCATACATTTTAAATAGTACATAATATCTTGATTTCTTATATGTTTACTAGTACCTAATTGTTCTGTTATGAAAATTTTATGGTTGTAATATTTTTTTTATTTCAGCCTTTTTCACTCATGGAGCTCTTGGGAAGTTAATAGTTGAAATTGGGTAAGGAATTCTTGTTGTTGTTTTTTTTATTATAGATTTATAGATTTAGAACAATCATTTTGGTTTCCCTTTTAATTTAAATAGTTAAAGAAACTTCCCTTTTAACAGGTAGATATCATTTGGCTTGATTGTTTATTAATTGTAAAAACTGTTTTTAATATTCTGCTTATTTTGAATTTAGAAAAATCTACATTATCTGGGCTCTCATTTTACTATTAAGCACTGAGAATAGTCAAGCACGCTGTCCTACTGACAGCTCTTGTTTGTAATAGCATCAATTCAATATGAACTTCAGATAAGTCCCTGAGAATATAAATAGAATATTTAATTTTACACTGTTTGTATATTTTCAGGATGATAGGTCTACAACTTGGTACATTGATTGCCCAGGTTGTAATTATAGGCGATCTTGGTCCAGCTATTGTCTCAAAAGCCACAGGACTCCAGGTATGTGAGTTTTTTGGAGCCAAAATAGAAAAACTGCTTAACATAACCAATATAGTGAGCTTAAACAGTAGCAAGATAAAACATATGAAAGTTAAGTTGGATTCAAATCATCTGGGCTGGTGTGTGTCTTTTTGAATAGCAGGAATTCAGGAGAGCTATTAGAAACGTATCTTGATCTGGCATTTATATTTGACTTGAGTGTTGTTGTTTTTTACATGACCAGTATTGAATAAGGTGAATAAGCTGTGGTTCCATGAGAGCTAAATTAAATACAAATACACATTATGGTTGAAAGAACAATGACACTTTCTTTGATATACTTTTAGTTTTTAAACTTGGCTAATGTTAACAATTAGCCAACAATATCTATCCACATTACACTCATATAGAATATTGATTTTTCTCCCGCTCTGGTTCTGTTTGTGCAATTGATACCAGCAGTTTATGTAGCAAAATATGTAGAGATGTATATTAATAAAAAATTGTATCAATCTTGTTGGGTTTTTTTTTAAACAATGTTTTTTTTTTTTATAACAGAATGTTTCAATGTAAATGTATCAATTGATAATCTTGTTTCTATTGCAAAATATTGTTTTTATAGCAGATTGTTTTTTTCATTACAAAATATAATGTTTAAATGACTGAAAATGTTTTATTTAATTGCAGAATAGTGATAACCTGAGGACGGGCATCATTGTTGTTCTGTGTTTATTTGTTGGGCTGCCACTGGGCCTCTTAAAGGATGTCCGTACACTCAGCAAGACTAGCACTCTTTGTATACTTTTTTACGCTTTCTTTACATGTTATGTAAGTAAAATGATTTAATATGCTCATGAAAGAAAAAAAAATTTCTTAAGTTCTGTTCATTTTAGTCACTTAAAGGTTTTTACATTTAATGATTTACATACACATTGCTGCCTTAGTGGCCATTTTCAGTATATACTATACTTTGCATTTTTAGCTTGACTATTTGAAGAAAAGGGAGAGCTATTTTACTCACCCAGGTGTCGGCATCACTGTCACCGTTACACTTTTGTTAAGTTCATTACATGCAAGTTCGTTTCTCCAAAACTGCTGAAGGGAATGGGTTGAAACATGACATGCTTGTTATCTGTGATTATCTCACATGATTGGCATAGACCTCATAACTTTAAGTTAACTATTTACAGTGTTATGCCCCTTTTCTTCCTGTAAGCTCATAGAATAGTCGAGCGTGCTGTCTAATGGGCAGCACTCATACTAAATTAAATAGTATAATTTCAAAAATCTAAAAATTCCATGGTTGTTTGTGTTTGAAGTATGATTAACATTTTAAGAAATCATTTAACAAATTTTTTTCTGAAGCATTCCACTACTGTTCATTTAAATTAGTTGATTCTATAAAATGTTAATCTTTTAGGGAAAATAATCAAATAAATGTTCATTAATAAGAATTAATAAGAAAAAAATGATATACTTCACTTTTTACCTCCAGGGTTAAGATTTTTTAAAATTTGATCTTTGACAGAATTATTCTCATTTTTTTATCTATAAGTATGTCAAAACTTACAGTGTTTCATATTTGTACCTTGTGAACTTCTGCCTTGATATCTTTGTTCCAAATGACATATTACCAGTAAACTTGATTAAAGATCTTTTCATATGTATGTGGGTTTATTACTGAGCCTGTTAACTTAGTTATGTAAAATTCAAGGGAGGTAACTCAGTTGTATTTGGTATGATTTCTTTATTTAAAGATACAGGTGTTCACTCTTTTGGATGTTTTTATGACTCCAATAGTTAGATAGAGAATATAGATTTGCCCTGTCCATCTGTCCGTCCCACTATCCATCTGTAGACTGACAGAGTACAGTGTAATGTGGTGGCATGGGTTTCCTAAGAAAACATTAATTTTATAGTTTTATTCAAATTTCAAATACAAAATGGTGTAACTCAGCACCAATACATGTGGTTTCACTTACGAACCAAACATTTTGATTTCAGATTGTAGCATTATCTGTTCCAAACTTAATAATCGGTGACTGGTACAACAAAGTGAATTTCTGGAGAATGGAAGGATTCTTCCAATGTTTGCCCATTTTCTCATTTGCGTTTGGATGTCAGACGTAAGTAAAGTAAACAATTTTGATTAAAGCAGTTTTTGAATTCAGAATATTCTTAAAGGAGAATACCCAAAAAAGATATAAACAAGACAATATATTTTTTCTTTAATTCAACTCTTAATATAATAAATGAATAATCTGGGCAAAACCATCCATCAATTTTAGGGAAAATTTCAAAAATTGAGCTGCGTCATGACAAAACCAACATAGTAGGTTTGCGACCAGCATGGATCCAGACCAGCCTGCACCTTCGCGCAGTGTGATCAGGATCCATGCTGTTCGCTATCAGTTTCCCTAGTTGTAATAGGGTTTGTAAGCGAACAGGATGGATCCTGATCAGACTGCGCGGAGGCGCAGGCTGGTCTGGATCCATGCTGGTCGCAAACCCATTATGTTGGTTTTGTCATGACGTGGCTCAAATATGTTCTGACTGAAAAGCTTACAGTGCAGACAATGATTTCAGTTTGCACTGGTTGCATTAGTTTAGTCTAATCTTTGGTAATATAATGATTAAAAGTCAATTTGTCTTTATCTGAATTCTCGCATGTCCTACAGTAAGCTAATTTATTCAGCTTTATTTTGACAAAATTTCATCTTTAACTTTTGTTCTGCTGCATTTTATTGCGGAACTTTTCCGGCTTGACCAGCTTGAAGTTGAAACTGTCAACTTGACTGTTGCTTTAAACTAAACTAGGACATTTTCTCTGTTGTATATTACAGGCAATTATTTATAGTGTATGATGCTTTGGCTGATCCATCATTGAAAAGAATTAACGGGATTGTGGGGTCAGCAGTCAACATGTGTACTGTCAGTTATCTACTGGTTAGTAGTTGTTTTTGAAGCTTTATTAAAATTTTGTATTAATAAAGTATTTGTAATAAAATAAATTTCAAAATGAAAAAAAAAGAAATATATTGTATTTATCTGAAGCCTATAGTATTATTATGATAAAATTTTGTAGCTGATATAGCTTTGATTGTCTACATACATGTAGCCACAAAGTTAATTAAAGGTAAGTCATTCTTGGTGTTAGGAGTGAAAGAGTTAGTTAATGAAAAAAAAACACCATAATTTCAACATAAATTTTACTAATGTTGGTCTGTTTAGCTCTACAGGGAGAGCATTGGATTTAAAATCCTTGGGCAAGGGAAAATTTCTCCATGATAATTGATCTCGATCAATGAGTCTAATAATCAGTTGTTTGTCAATACTGATTCAGATATTATATGGGATAATTAGTCAGAAACTGGTTGAGACATTGGTCAGTACTGGTTAGTTATTCAGGAAAGCCAAGACATGACCAAATATTGATATTAACAAATAAAATAGTCACTTCTTGTTTGTTTGTTTGTTAACTTCATCATTTATTAATATTTTAAAGAGAAAAACAATAATGTTATGGTATATTTCAGGTTGGATTTTTCGGGTATATAGCTTTCTGCAATGCTGGGGATCTGTCGGGAGACATAATCAATCATTTTAGACAGAACAGCGCCTGTGATGCCATCAAGCTACTATTTGTGTTCTCTATAGCTGTCACTATACCTCTGATTGTGTTCCCATGCAGGGCCTCCCTATATACACTCTGTTTTCCTCATGCTCATGTAAGTTGTTGCATGTTTTAACCATTCTTATGCCTTTATCTCCCAAATCAAAAAATTAAATGAGCCACGACACGACAAAACCAACATAATAGGTTTGCGACCAGCATGGATCCAGACCAGATCATGCTGTTCGCTATCAGTTTCTCTACTTGTTATAGGGTTTGTAAGCGATCAGCATGGATCCTGATCAGACTGCGTGGATGCGCAGGCTGGTCTGGATCCATGCTGGTCACAAACCCATTATGTTGGTTTTGTCCTGACGCGGCTCAAATATTGTTTTGTGTCTGTCAATTGGTAGAGGATTGACCGAGTTGAAGTTTAAGGTCCCAGTGATCTTGATACAGAATATACAATGTAGTTGTTTTTTAGCTAATTTTTGAAAATCTCTGAAGTTTACAGGTGTTTTCGAGAAACTTGCTATCATAACCCCTACAGACATTAATTTTTTTTAAAGATCATACATTTTATGCCACCTGTCTTTATTACCTACCTTCAACTTGTAGCTAAGTATAAGAGGGATAGGAGTGTTGGGGAAATTTTGGGTTTTTAATAAAAACTCTTGTTTATTATTTCTTACAATAAGAATGTATATTAACATTATATGAGCCGCGTCATGACAAAACCAACATAATGGGTTTGCGACCAGCATGGATCCAGACCAGCCTGTGCATCAGCGCAGTCTGATCAGCATCCATGCTGTTCGCTTACAAACCCTATAATAAGTAGAGAAACTGATAGCGAACAGCATGGATCCTGATCAGACTGCGCGGATGCGCAGGCTGGTCTGGATCCATGCTGGTCGCAAACGCATTACGTTGGTTTTGTCATGACGCGGCTCATATCACCTTTATCAATTATTTATTAATACCACCTTTATCTATGCAACAATGTGTATTGTCTGTCCATTAAGAATTAGAAGAAATCAAAGTAGAATTAATGCAAGGGTATGAAATTTTAATTATTATTTCCCATCTTTTTTTTTTACAGAAAACAAGAGAAGATGTACCAGGTGGTGGAAAAATACCTGAGTTACATTTCAAAATTATAACAATCATTATAATTGTTGGGTCCATGATTATTGGAATTCTTATACCTAACAGTAAGTTTATAAATTCAATTACTTTTTATCTCCTTGGCTCTAGTAATGGACTTGAATATACAAATGATTTGGGATGGCAATGAGTACTGATATCAGTACTCGAGTACCGATTTCAGTACTCTAGTACCCCGGTCATTCTTCCAGTCAAGTACCGGGTTACAAGAAAAACTTCTGAGGACTTATGAAGCATAAAACCATAATTTCTCTATCAAACTTCTATTTCTGTAGAACCTGTCACATTAACAAATACTGTAATTCATAATAATGACACCATCAGCAATCCACTTTTGTTTTCAATTTAGCAACGAAATTTGTCCAACTTTATGTTTTGTTGCTTTTATCTCCGCTGAAATTGTTGTATACTTAGCTAGAATTGTGAGCAAGTCAGTGCTGTCTAGCATTGTGATGCTAGAATTTCATTTGAAATATATTATTAAATATTATATTTTTATTATTATTGAGAATGAACAGTTAGTTCTTTAGGGGCAAAGTCCATTTCAAAATGGATAACAGTGTGCAGATTTCAAGTTAAAGAATTCATTAAGAAAAAAAATCATGGGAATTATTGTGATTGGGTTTAAAATTTCCTTCCCTTTAATAATGCAAGATGTAAAAATATATGTTATTCATTATTCACTCCCTATTCACGATCACAGAATAAACTAACTGGTCTTTCAATTAAACTGTCAATTTATTCCCAGTGTGACAGTCCCTAATGGTTATATGTTACCAGTTCATCTGTAGATTTTTATTTTTCCTCTATTTTAATTAAGTAATGCAGAAAACTGCCCCTGGTAGTTTAATGGAGAAAGTTATGAACATGAAGCATGGTTTAAAAGAGTGATTCAGAAACATGTAAAAATATTTTTAGTTTTAAATTGAATAACAGTAATTAAATTTATTCCTAGGCAGTTTTCAAAATTGAAACAGTTTTCACGTTTCAGTGTTTTGCTTAGTAATTCATGTGACATCAGCTTTTAACGTAGTATTTCAATTTAAACTGTGTGTTTTGTGGTAAATGGATCTTCAGTTTTGCTAGTGTGGGAACTTTTTTTGCTTTGTTTTACATCAAGTTGTTGTGTGCATCCTCTTCAAACAAATTACTTCAGACTGGTTCTAGAAAATTAGATGATTTTTTTTGCGCTGTCAGACAAGTTTTATAACCCAACTGAGAGCATTGTGTAATAGAAAAGTTTAAATCAAATCTTTGTCAGCCTTTAGTGAAACAGCTAGCCTTTAATTTTCTTCTTTATTATATTTTGCTGTGTCATTTTGCCGAGGAGATATTATTCAAGTAAAATTGTGATATTTATGAAAAAAATACTGTGTGTTTATATTAAGACAGGTAGAAATTATCATGACGAAGCACTATTCGTCACCTTAGTGCAGTAACAGGTTTACCCCTGTTAAATTGTATAAGGAGTTAACCTGTTATTGCACTAAAGTGATGATTTAGTAAAATACATAAACCATTGATTTGCTTAAATTGTGAATTGGATTGCATTTAGAGCAGTCCATTGAAAACTAAGGGGATTTTGATATCAAAATACAAAAATTTAGCTATCAAAGGAAGTGCAGCTCACCCTGGCTCTATACTGAGGGCAAAGGTTAACCACTCCCTGTTCCAGCAGATTAAGGGTTAGGGGCATAGTAAGATATTCTTTGTTTGCTGTTTTAATAGAAAATACTCTCAAAATACCACTGGTCTGAAAGATTTATTTCGTTTGGTCTAAAATGATGAATTCCTATTTTGTATATCTATGCTTGATTGCTGAATGGGAGCCCTTAAAACTATATAAGGTGAAACAGTAGACATGCATGATAAACATAAAAAAAATTGGTTCATGCATTGAAGCTAATCAGCTAGCTGGCTTGTAGAAGGTCACTTGTTTTACCCACCTATCTGTATGATCTCTTGTAATAAAATTGCCTAAATGATTATGATAATATCTTAATTAATTAATTAATTAATTAATTAATTAACTATAATATCTTTATTAAAATTACTTACACATGATTTAGAAGATGAAGCATCATACAAATTAAATAACAAGCATGTACCTTAATTTTAATTGTGTCTTTCTAAACATTATTAAAAAAAACAAAAAAACAAAATGGTCTTCAAAAAAAATGTCAAAAAAACCCATACAAACAACAACTATTGTAATGATTCAATAAGAATTACACCAAACGTAATTTGATTGATTTGACTTAGTCTTTTATAGTGTTAATGTGTCTTAAAATGATCTAACATCACTTTCTTGCAAAGTAAATGAGTTAAATAAAAGTGTATCATGTTTTGCCTTATCTGCGAAGTTGTACACTTTCAGATATTATATTAATTTGTTTGTTTCAGTTGAGTTTGTGCTGGGCATTAATGGAGCTACAATGGGAACATTGATATGTTATATTTTCCCTGCCTTGTTTTTTCTGAGTGTAATGTCTGATAAAGCAGAAGGTCTATTCACTGGAAAGGTTTGTATAAACAATAAATATATTAATGAAATGATAGATTGATTCAGAGCTTATGATTAAACTTACATGCTTCAAATAGGGGTGTCCGTGGCTGAGTGGTTTCGATTGTTGAATTCAAACCATTTGCCCCTCACTGCTGTGGGTTTGATTCCTGACAGCTAGATTCTTTCATGTGAGGAAGCTATCCAGTCATCTTACAGAACGTCAGATTTTCTACTAATGTGCCTGTTTGTGCCTGAAATAATACACAGAGGGGCATCTGAGGTCTTTCTCCACCAGTAAAACTGGAAAGTCACCATACACGTTGGCGTGATGTAAAACCCTACCAAATGAAAGACATGTTTTAATGCCTTGCTAATAGATACCACAGATTCAAACCTTTGAATTATTTCCATTGAGAAAGTTGCTTCATGTAGTGAAGTCTGTGGGTTTTTGAAAGTGCTTGCTAGTGCTTTATTCCATGACCTGTTTGAAACAAAAGTGATTCGCCTTAGCTGCCAGTGTAGAGGACGGCCAGTCTGCACATGCTGTCTGTTCAGGCTCTATAATGCTCACAGCTCAATTTTTAGCTCGACTATACAAAGTATATGGAGAGCTGTCCTACTCGCCCCGGCGTCCGCGTCCGCGTCCAGATTTTAGATTAAAGTTTTGGTGCAGTAAAATATTTTTCATTATAACTTTGTCATTTCTTAAGGTATCAACTTCAAACTTCAAATATATGTTCCTTATCATCAACCACATCTTATGTGACAAGGTTCATAACTCTAGCACCAATATTTTCAGATTTATCTCCCCTTGAACTTAGAATTTTCCTTAAAAAATACTACTTTTTAGCTCGACTATTCGATAAGAATAAGTAGAGCTATTGCAGTCACCCGAGCGTCGGCGTCGGCGTAACCACTTATGTTAAAGTTTTTGTAATAGTTCAAATATTTTCAAAGTCCATTGACATATGGCTTTGAAACTTTGCACACTTGTTCACCATCATGACCCCAACCTGTAGACAGGAGGAGGTAACTCTATCAAGCATTTTGACAGAATTATGCCCCTTTTTCGACTTAGAATTTATGTTAAAGTTTTTGTAATAGTTCAAATATTTTCAAAGTCCATTGACATATGGCTTTGAAACTTTGCACACTTGTTCACCATCATGACCCCAACCTGTAGACAGGAGGAGGTAACTCTATCAAGCATTTTGACAGAATTATGCCCCTTTTTCGACTTAGAATTTACGTTAAAGTTTTTGTAATAGTTCAAATATTTTCAAAGTCAATTGACATATGGCTTTGAAACTTTGCACACTTGTTCACCATCATGACCCCAACCTGTAGACAGGAGGAGGTAACTCTATCAAGCATTTTGACAGAATTATGCCCCTTTTTCGACTTAGAATTTACGTTAAAGTTTTTGTAATAGTTCAAATATTTTCAAAGTCCATAGACATATGGCTTTGAAACTTTGCACACTTGTTCAACATCATGACCCCAACCTGTAAACAGTAGGAGGTAACTCTATCAAGCATTTTGACAGAATTATGCCCCTTTTTCGACTTAGAATTTACGTTAAAGTTTTTGTAATAGTTCAAATATTTTCAAAGTCCATTGACATATGGCTTTGAAACTTTGCACACTTGTTCACCATCATGACCCCAACCTGTAAACAGGAGGAGGTAACTGTATCAAGCATTTTTTTTACTATCAAGCACTAAGAATAGTCGAGCGTTGCTGTCCTACCGACAGCTCTTGTTACTGTTACTTCTTTATTTCTTAAGGGATCAACCTCATACTTCAAATATATGTACTTTATCATCATCCCCATCTTATGTGACAAGGTTCATAACTCTAGCACCAATATTTTCAGATTTATCTCCCCTTGAACTTAGAATTTTCCTCAAAAAATACTATTTCTTACTGTTTCTTCTTAATTTCTTAAGGGATCAACCTCATACTTCAAATATATTTACGTTATCATCATCCCCATCTTATGTGACAAGGTTCATAACTCTAGCACCAATATTTTCAGATTTATCTCCCTTTGAACTTAGAATTTTCCATAAAAAATATTATTTTTTACATTCACTTATTTATTTCTAAAGGGATCAACTTCATACTTCAAATATATTTACGTTATCATCATCCGAATCTTATGTGACAAGATTCATAACTCTAGCACCAATATTTTCAGATTTATCTCCCCTTGAACTTAAAATTTTCCTCAAAAAATACTATTTCTTACTGTTTCTTCTTAATTTCTTAAGGGATCAACCTCATACTTCAAATATATTTACGTTATCATCATCCCCATCTTATGTGACAAGGTTCATAACTCTAGCACCAATATTTTCAGATTTATCTCCCTTTGAACTTAGAATTTTCCATAAAAAATATTATTTTTTACTGTCACTTATTTATTTCTAAAGGGATCAACTTCATACTTCAAATATATTTACGTTATCATCATCCACATCTTATGTGACAAGGTTCATAACTCTAGCACCAATTTTGCAAGAATTATCTCCCTAAAACTTAGATTTTTTTACTAGAAAAATGTTATTTTTTATAATATTTTTTTTATTTTTAAAGGTATCTACCTCAAACTTCAAATACTTATTCCTTATCATCAATTTCATTTAATGTGACAATGTTCATAACTCTTGAAGCAATATTTACAGATTTATCTCTCTTTGAACTTAGGATTTTCTTTAAGAAATATAATAACTTCTTTACTTTTTAAGGTATCTACTTCAAACTTCAAATATATATTTCTTATCATTACACAAATGTTGTGTGACAAGGTCCAAAACTCTAGCATGACTATTTCTAGAATTATTCCCCTTGATCTTGGAATTAATGTTAACAAATGTTATTTTTTTACTATAATTTAATACATAATTATACAAAATTGATTTAATCTTTCATAGTTTTGTCCTCCTTACTGCGTCCAGTATTTTATTAGTCGAGCTTCGCTGTCTCCTGTGACAGCTCTTGTTATGCTTCATTACTACGAGAGGCATATAGATTTGCTCTTGTCCATGTATCCTGTTGTCCATCCATAAATGACAAAACAGGGAATCCCTGTTCTAAGGACACATTTATAGTCATATCTTAATATATCAAACCCTTAACATTTGAATGAAAAATTCCAAATTAAAAGCAAGACTGATCCATTACACAAATTCGGCAGGGTGAAAAAAGTATGTATCAGTATAGATTATGTCTTCATTATTTTCAGGTTGTCCTTGCGTTTGGTCTCACAATTATGATAGCAAGTACATACACTATATTGACAAAAGAATCTACGGAAGTTAGGGTAGATCCGCTCGATATTGGCGACCAAAACCCTGTCATAGATATCAGCAAGATTGAGAACTCTAAAAAATTTATTGACAACCTGAATGGAGGTACAGTCTGTCGTTTATTATAATTTTTTTTCTTTTTAGTTTAATGTAATAAATGGCTTCAATTGGTCATTTTCATGAATAACATTATAATGCAAAGCAGTTTAGAATGTTTTAGAATGGTAGTTTCATGTTTGGTTTATAAGTACATATATACATCTCAAGGACATTTAACCAAATCTATGATGCCGGGACATTATGGCATGATTGATATACTGTACAACTAAACAATCATAATTATAGATCAACAATTGGCACTGTTTTAGTACTGAACTCATTAGGGAAATAGAGAGTTGTGTACCAGAAAGAAGAAGGCAAAAATAGTTTTTAGCTCGACTATTCGATAAGAATAAGTAGAGCTATTGTAGTCACCCGGGCGTCCTCGTAACCACTTATGTTAAAGTTTTTGTAATACCTCAAATATTTTCAAAGTCCATTGACATATGGCTTTGAAACTTTGCACACTTGTTCACCATCATGACCCCAACCTGTAGACAGGAGGAGGTAACTCTATCAAGCATTTTGACAGTATTATGCCCCTTTTTCGACTTAGAATTTACGTTAAAGTTTTTGTAATACCTCAAATATTTTCAAAGTCTATTGACATATGGCTTTGAAACTTTGCACACTTGTTCACCATCATGACCCCAACCTGTAGACAAGAGGAGGTAACTCTATCAAGCATTTTGACAGTATTATGCCCCTTTTTCGACTTAGAATTTACGTAAAAGTTTTTGTAATACCTCAAATATTTTCAAAGTCCATTGACATATGGCTTTGAAACTTTGCACACTTGTTCACCATCATGACCCCATCCTGTAGACAGGAGGTAACTCTATCAAGCATTTTGACAGAATTATGCCCCTTTTTCGACTTAGAATTTACGTTAAAGTTTTTGTAATACCTCAAATATTTTCAAAGTCCATTGACATATGGCTTTGAAACTTTGCACACTTGTTCACCATCATGAACCCATCCTGTAGACAGGAGGAGGTAACTCTATCAAGCATTTTGACAGAATTATTCCCCTTTTTCAACTTAGAATTTACGCTAAAGTTTTTGTAATACCTCAAATATTTTCAAAGTTCATTGACATAAGGCTTTGAAACATGTTGAAATTTTATACTCTTCTTTGAGAGCATAATAGGACTCTCTCCAAGGCCTATAACTGTAATATGGATTTAAAGAAAAAATTTGCCTTTTTCTTTACTGAGAAAATTTTACCTTTTAATCAAGGCTTTTTTTACTATCAAGCACTAAGATAGTCGAGTGCTGCTGTCCTACCGACAACTCTTGTTAAATGAAACATTTGTTAAGGAAAGCTTTTTCTTTTCTCTTGAAAACTTTGGCAAAAAAATCCTACTTGATGGTGGTGGGGGATTCCTACAGGATTGGGAGAGGGAATCTTTCTTAATGGGGTAAAATCCCAATTAATTGGGGAAGGGAAATATCTCTGTGACAATCAATTTTGGACATTGAATTTTATATTCATTTGTCTTCTACCAGTCCACTTATTAAGTAATGATGTGGGATTAGTCACTTGCAGGAGAAATTGGCTTTTGTTACATGTATCCAGGAAAGTAGGCTAGATGTTCTGACTCTGAGATATTTCAAAAACAGTTTGTTAAAATAGGCATAAAAACTAGATAAACAATTCATTCACTGTTTTACAAATTTTAACGTTAATGTATATATCAATGTTCATGTATAATATATCAATGCAAATGTTTTACTGATATTGTAGAGATGGCAGTTGCTGGCAATGGAAGTAAAACACAAGATAAACCAGAAGGTGTACAAGAAAGACAGGAACCACCAATACCACAGGAACCAGTAGATGATATTGTAAATAAAAATTCATTTATATTTAGCTTGACTTTTTCAAAGAACAGGGAGAGCTATAGTTCTCACCCAGGCGTTGGCGTCACGCTTTGGTTAAGTTTATGCATGCAAGTTCTTTTCTGCAAAACTACTGAAGGGAATGGGTTTAAACTCTACACAGTTATTTGAGAGCATAATAGGAGGTCACTATCCAAGCCCTGTAACTCTTTGACAGAATTATGGCTCTTTTTGAGCTTAGGAAAATCTACATTGTCAAGGCTATTGTTTTACTATCAAGCACTTTAAATAGTTGAGCAAGCTGGTCTACTGACAGCTCTTGTCTATTTTGATATACATGTATGGCTCAGCCATGTGGCCTAGTGGTTAACATGTCAGACTAGTAATCTAGGGGTTGCTAGCTGTGTAGTTTCAAACCCAGCCATGTGCAAACTGTTGTTTTCTTGAGCAAGATTTTTTATATGCCCGAAAGAATTTCGGGCATATTATGTTATACCCCCTGGCGTCCGTCCGTCCGTCTGTCCGTCCGTCCGTCCGTCCGTCCGTCTGTTAGCAATTTGGTTTCCGGAGCATAACTTAAGTTCCATTTGGCCCACAGTGTTCAAACTTCATAGGATGATTGTCCATATTGGGTAGAAGACCCCTATTGATTTTGGGGTCACAAGGTCAAAGGTCAAGGTCACTATGACCTTAAAACTGAAAACAGTTTCCGGAGCATAACTTAAGTTCCATTTGGCCCACAGTGTTCAAACTTCACAGGATGATTGTCCATATTGGGTAGAAGACCCCTATTGATTTTGGGGTCACAAGGTCAAAGGTCAAGGTCACTATGACCTTAAAACTGAAAACAGTTTCCGGAGCATAACTTAAGTTGCATTTGGCCCACAGTGTTCAAACTTCATAGGATGATTGTACATATTGGGTAGAACACCCCTATTGATTTTGGGGTCACAAGGTCAAAGGTCAAGGTCACTATGACCTTAAAACTGAAAACAGTTTCCGGAGCATAACTTAAGTTCCATTTGGCCCACAGTGTTCAAACTTCACAGGATGATTGTCCATATTGGGTAGAAGACCCCTATTGATTTTGGAGTTACAAGGTCAAAGGTCAAGGTCACTATGACCTTAAAACTGAAAACAGTTTCCGGAGCATAACTTTAGTTCCATTTGGCCCACAGTGTTCAAACGTCATATGATGATTGTCCATATTGGGTAGAACACCCCTATTGATTTTTGGGTCAGAAGGTCAAAGGTCAAGGTCACTATGACCTTAAAACTGAAAACAGTTTCCGGAGCATAACTTAAGTTCCATTTGGCCCACAATGTTCAAACTTCATAGGATGATTGTCCATATTAGGTTGAAGACCCCTATTGATTTTGGGGTCACAAGGTCAAAGGTCAAGGTCACTAATACTTAGAAATTGAAAACAGTTTCTTTAGCAAAACTTAAGTTCAATTTGGCCCATAGTATTCAAACTTCATAGGATGATTGTTCATATAAGGTAGAAGACTCCTATTGATTTTGGGGTCACAAGGTCAAAAGTCAAGGTCACTATGACCTTAAAACTGAAAACAGTTGTTGGAACATAGCTTAAGTTTGATTTGGCCCACTGTGTTTAAACTTCATAGTATGATTGTCCATAATGGGTAGAAGACTCATATTGATTTTGGGGTCACAAGGTCAAAGGTCAAGGTCACTATTACCTTAGAAATGAAAACAGTTTCTGGGGCAAAACTTAAGTTCCATTTGGACCACGATATTGAAACTTCAATGGATGATTGTTTTGTGAAGGAGTTAATACTTTATTTAATTCCCATGTCTTACAAATTCTTCATCTTTACTTAAAAAAAAAAAAATCACTTTCGGGCATATAATGCTCCGCCTAGCGGTGCTCTTGTTTTCCTATTGCTATGTAATGGTTGTTTCCAGGAACAGATTTAAGAGTGTGTTTATAAGCTTATAGCTTCCTACACTATGAAACGAAAATGAATTCTATATAAACTATCTCTGTAAATGGTTTACAATACCACAGTTTTTACTTACTCTGATCTATAATCCACAAATTCTTACTGATGTTGGCTCGAATCCAGTCATGGGGTTCAAATTATTTAAGTGAGGAAGCTGCTCTGCTACTGTACAAAAAGTCTGAGTTTTTACTTGTGTGCCCACCACATGCCTCAAAAATACTTGACGGGACATGCAAGGTCTTTTTTTTTTCACAAAAATTCCATTACTTTAAGTTATCTTTGTTACTTAAAATCTAGTCAACTCATAAAAGTAAGGGGCTTGTTGTGGAATAGATTAGATAAAATGTAGTTTTAATACTATATGATACTGAGAGCAAATGATATTCTTAATTGAAGTTAAAGCCAACAGCAGAAAATAAAAGAAAACCGAAATCATATATTAATCTGAATTATATGATAAAAACTGTAAGATATATTCAAAAATAGACTATGTAATTAAGATAAATGTCCTTTGAAAAGGATTTATGTTTTACCACATAGCTTTGGCACTACAATTCATACATTAGGCTTATTTAACCCTTACCCCTAAAATATCTTCAATGGACTAGTCCATCTTTAAGCCTGAACAAACTTTTAACATTTTTAGTATTTTTTTTTGAAAATAAGTACTGGTTTTATAGCGAACAGTGGCACTGATGTCTGTGCTAAACTTGGTCAGGTCTGCACTGCTTGTATGGGAAGAATCAGTTGCTGCCAGCAGATTGAAGGTTAAAGGACATTTGAGCCACGTCACAACAAAACCAACATAATGGGTTTGCGACCAGCATGGATCCAGACCAGCCTGCGCATTATCGCAGTCTGATCAGGATCCATGCTGTTTGCTTACAAACCCTATTACAAGTAGAGAAACTGATAGCGAACAGCATGGATCCTGATCAGACTGTGCGGATGCGCAGGCTGGTCTGGATCCATGCTGGTCGCAAACCCATTATGTTGGTTTTGTCATGACACGGCTCATGTAATAAAATAACTGCCTTGTATATGAGATATTCACAAGTTAGACAAATATCAAAGATACTGAAGTATACATGTATATGATGTTATGAATAACGCTGAACCCACATGTTAATTGGTTTTTGAAAATAATATGGTGGGCATATTCTACCAGAACTGATTATAAAGGCAGGACGCAAAAAGTCGTAATACATGTATCAAAGAAAAATGTTTGTAAACTTCCCTCAGAGCCAATGGCCCATGCATAATAACATTGCTAAATGGTTAAAGGTCTTCTTAAAATATAATCATAGTTTGTTTCTAAACATTTCATTTTGTTTATGCACAATATTCATGTGTGCTAACTTAAATAACAGAGACATTCTATTTTATAACTCTTTTGAGAATTAATCCACCATAAAATTATAGAAACAACTTAATATTATTATTTATAAAGTTCAAGAATATATTTCATTTTATAGCTTTAAACACATGTAAGAATTGACTATAAAATAAATTAATATGGAAACAGCATAATTTTATTGTTTATAAATTTCATTAATTTTATTATAAATTTTAAAAATATATTTCATTAGATATAGCTTAATACAATTTAAGAATCTGAGATGTTAAAAGTGAAATTCTTAAACTAAACTAGTGACTTTTATTGACTTAAAGATTAACCTGAACTCCAGTAAATTAGATGAATTTTCTGTAGACATATAATTTTAAAGTTTAAATTTGAGACCCAGAAAAGAAAAAAAACAACAAAAAAACATGTCTCGCTAAGGAAATTCTTCTCATTTAATTTAATTATAGACAGACGATCGAGTCAAATTTACTTTTTTAACAAATTTCGTGAAATTTTCTCGTAGAGAATAATCAACCTTTAATAACCTAACAGCAGTAGACTTTCTATAATATACTGTCTCTAGTGACTTTCATTTTACATAACAGAATTTAAAATATATTATAGATAGCAAAACAGGTACTTATGTGTCGAGTAAATATTGTAAAAACCTTTACCATGTCAACAACTTTATGTTATGTACTAGTTTAGCAAATTGTCCCTAGTTTGTAAATTATTGTCTTACTTTAGGTATATGGGTCATATTTCTACATCTACAGCAAGATTATGACACAAATCAAAAGATATCTCGGACCCTGTTCAAGACGTCAAATGAGCCGCATCACAACAAAACCAACATTGCGTTTGCAACCAGCATGGATCCAGACCAGCCTGCGCATACGTGCAGTCTGATCAGGATCCATGCTGTTCGCTATGAGTTTCTCTACTTGTAATAGGGTTTGTAAGCGAACAGCGAATGCGCAGGATGGTCTGGATCCATGCTGGTCGCAAACGCACTATGTTGTTTTTGTCCTGACGCGGCTCAAATTATTTTGAATAGGATGAACAAATTTTAAATTAAATCATGAAGGAAACTAATATTTTCAGAAATTGCGCTGTTACCATGGCAACTGATATCTATAAATATATATTTAAAAAAAATAGTTGAAAATGTTTATTTTGATGAATTGTGTATTATATGTATGACTTATATAAAAATATAATAATTGACAATACAGTGTTTATATGATGGGTAGGTTGCCAAGAGGGGCGTCCGTGGCTGAGTGGTTAAGGTTTGTTGACTTCAGACCACTTTCCCCTCACCGCTGTGGGTTTGGATTCTATCATGTGAGGAAGCTATCCAGCTAGCTTACGGAACGCCGGTGGTTCTACTCAGGTGTCCATTCGTTCCTGAAATAATGCACGGAAGGGCACCTGAGGTCTTCCTCCACCAGTAAAGCTAGAAAGTCGCGATATGACTTATACTGTGTCGATGTGATGTAAAACCAAAAAGAAAAAAGAAAAAAAAAGGTTGCCGATGTTTAATGTGACCTTGCCCAGTTTTGTTGGCAATGGCCTCCTTTAAATCCTGCCAGCATTTACTCAGAGAGCTAAATAAAGACAGTAAACAAACTGTTTAATGAAGGAAACAATCTTAACAATTATTGTAATCTAAAAGTTCTGTAATTAGGTATATTATCTTTAATTTAGATAAATTGTCTAGCTTACACTTTCTTTGGGGCATTTTTGCCTGATTTTGACTATATCCTAGGGTTCATAGCCAAATTCTGAATTTCTGTGCAAAGCTTCGGAAAAACAAAATTTCAAATCAAATTATTTCTAAGAATGTATGGTAAGGTTGTGTTATTATTTTTTTTTTTTTTAGCTCACATGTCACTTTGTGACAGGGTGAGCTTTTGTGATCGCTTTTCGTCCGGCGTCCGTAAACTTTTACTTTAAATGACATCTCATCATAAAACACTATGCCAATTTCATCCAAACTTCACAGGATTGTTCCTTCTGTGGTCACCTTTGAAAATTGTTCAAAGAATTTAATTCCATGCAGAACTCTGGTTGCCATGGCAACCAAAAGAAAAAACTTTAAATATCATCTTCTAAAAAACCAAAAGTGCTAGAGCTTAGATATTTGGCATGAAACATCTTCTAGTGAGTGTCTACTAAGTTTGTTCAAATAAAAGCCCTGGGGTCAAAATTGGCCCCGCCCCAGGGGGTCATTGATTTTCCCTATATGTATATAGTAAAAACTTTAAAAATCTTCTTTTAAAGAACCCAAAGAGCTAGAACTAAGATATTTAGCATGAAACATCTTCTAATGGGTGTCTACCAAGTTTGTTCAAATAAAAGCCCTTGGGTCAAAATTGGCCCCGCCCCAGGGGGTCATTGATTTTTCCTATATGCATATAGTAAAAACTTAAAAATCTTCTTTTAAAGAACCCAAAGAGCTAGAGCTAAGATATTTAGCATGAAACATGTTCTAATGGATGTCTACAAAGTTTGTTCAAATTGGAGCCCTGGGGTCAAAATTGGCCCCGCCCCAGGGGGTCATTGATTTTCCCTATATGAATATAGTAAAAACTTAAAAATCTTCTAGAGCTAAGATATTTAGCATGAAACATGTTCTAATGGATGTCTACCAAGTTTGTTCAACTAAGAGCCCTGGGGTCAAAATTGGCCCCGCCCCGGGGGGCATTGATTTTCCTTATATGTGTATAGCAAAACTTAAAAATCTTCTTGGAAATAACCCAAATAGCTAGAGTTTAGATATTAAGCATGGAACGAACATCTTCTAGTAAGTGTCTACAAAGACTGTTCAAATAAAAGCCCTGGGGTCAAAACTGGCCCTGCCCCAGGAGTGTCATTGTTTTTAAATACTAATATATGTGTAAAGAAAAAACTTAAAAAATCTTTTTTTAAAAAACCCAAAAAGCTAGACCTTAGATGTTTAGCATGAAACATCTTCTAATGGGTGTCTACCAAGTTTGTTCAAATAAAAGCCCTGGGGTTTAAACTTTCCCCGCTCCGGGGGGCCTATATACAGGTGAGCGACTTCAGGGCCATCATGGCCCTCTTGTTTGGAGTTTTTTTTATTTTTATTTTTTTTTTGCATTGGAAAGATCTGAACCAGATTTTAAATTTAACAAAATAAATGGCAAATGGAATTCATTTGTTTGTTTTGCTAATTATAATTATTTCTGATATCTGTAGGAGAATAAGGAAATAATTGATATTAATTGTTTTTCTATTGCACTACTGTATGCACTAGTTTGCCTTTGTTTCATTCTCAAGTTGTAAGACTATTTTGTTATATTTGAGAATAAGGGGGTCATATGTACATGTGTGGTAGTTTGTTTCATACATCTCATTATGAAATATTTCTTTTTTTCTTCTTTTCGAAAAAATTAATAGTATATTTCATTTAAATGATAAAGATTATACAAATGATGATGAAGAATTACACCCAGAAATAAATTGAAAATGATAATTTTGTAATATTCTTAGCCCAATTTGAATGAAAGGTTTTCAGTTTTGGGTACTTTTTCACATTTAGAATAATTATTCTTAACAATTGGAGTAAGCAAATGATCTGAAATTTTGCACACAAATTATTGGTCTAGACCTACAATAAATCAAACATAAATCTTGAAAAGTTATTCCCAGTCCCCATCATGTAAAAAAAACAAAACAACAACACAGTGGAGGCCCTATAATAATTTATTATCTAGCTTTTAAGCAATGGTTTTGATATGGACAAAATTAAAGTATTTAAAACATCACAATTGCAAACCTTAGTCTGTATTTATAATACAGCATGTACATAATGTTTTTTGCTTTGGTTAAACATGGCATTGTTACTACTTGAACATGTCTTCAGCAATTTTATTATTTATGTTTAATCAAAGAATTAAAAAAAGAAAAAAGAAAATGCATTATCATTAAATTATTATAGTGTGGTCTGGCATCTTAATTAGCTCAATAAGGACAGCAATGGATTTGTTACCCAGGGGTTTCTGGTTTGATCCTAGGACAAGGTGAAATTTCTTTTTGACAATTTATCTCAAGACATTTGAATCTAATGTTCATTTATTTCTTACTGCTGATTCAAAAAATTAACAGATTAGGAGTCACATGTGGAGAAATTGGCAATTATTGGTTAGTTTATCTAGAAAGTTAGTTAGGTGGATCAACGGCTGAGATAAAAAAAATGTGTTAAAATTGGAGTAAAAACTGCATAAACAAAGTTATAGAGACTTTTGTCATGTTATATGTGCATAATTAGTCTAAAAAGAATTTTGTATTCTTTTACAGGAGAAAGTGAAAAAGGAGACAGTAGACATAAGTATAAAGAAATCAGAAAATGAAGTAAAAGATAAAGTGGATACTGAAAAACATAAAGAGACTGTTGATAAAAAAGAGGATAACAAACCAAAGGAATCAGATAAAGGAGCAGATGTAGATGTTGACAAAAAGGAAGAGGAAGATAAAGAGAAACAGGAAGAGAAGATGAAAGAGGCGGAGAAAAAACAAGATGAGATATTGGCTAAGTTAGAGCAGCAGCAAGAGCAACAGGAAAAGTTGATTCAGGAACAGAAAGAGATATTGGAACAGTTGAAGGAACATAAGGATAGTCATAAGGTAATGTTTCTGTGAATTCAGAAGAATTTCCTGATTTTAGTTAAGTATAAAAAGAATATTTAGGCTTAAAAAATCTTACCACGCCTTTTGGCACAACACTTGACTAAGTCAAGTCATCTCATAAACAGCTACTGTTAATGTGTTTACCTGAAATTTAATACATGTCTTTACATATAAAATATATCAAATAAAGAAAAACAAAACATTCCAAAATTTTCAGACTTATTATGGAGGATATTGAAATCTTGAAGGGTAGGGTACACAACTCTGATTTACTTGTTGTTAGTTATGTTCAACTGTGAATTCAATGTTTAAGGTTCTGAATGAAACAATTATTTATTTTTTCAGCATAATGAAAATGCTCACTCATGTTGATTAACAATTGCCCTGGTTCCAGGCTCCTTTATAATTTTAATTCTGTAGTTGCATGATCATGATTTGGGAACCAAGATTTAGAGATAAACCTTTTGTAAATATGATAACAGCATATTTCGTACAAAAAAAAATCATTTTCATTTCCTAATGAAATTTGCTCAGGTATGAATTTTTCCCTTCAGGACGATGAAGTTGCAAACCCGCAGAAGCAGTTGAACCAAGATCAAGGTGGTCAGGTCATTCAAGGAAATGCTGACATACAGAACCAGAAGGTTGATGTTCAAATTCCTGTTCAAAACCAGCAAGGTGGTGCTTTGAATATTCAGCAAAACATTCCAGGTGGTGTTCATAATCTTCAACAAAATGTTCAAGGTGCAGGTCAGAATCCTCAACAAAATGTGCAAGGTGCTGTTCAAAATCTTCAGCAAAATGCACAAGGATATGTTCAAAATAATCAGCCAAATGTTCAAGGTGGTGGACAGAATCTTCAGCCAAATGTTCAAGGTGTTGGACAAAATATTCAGCCAAATGTTCAAGGTGTTGGACAGAATGGTCAATTAAATTCACAAGGTAATGCACAAAATTTTCAGCAAGCTGGTCAAAATATACAAAATGTAGCAGTTCAGAATCCACAGCAAAATTTGCAAGGTCAAAATCTGCAGCAAAATGTGCTGGGTGTTGGCCAAAATATACAAAATGTAGCAGTTCAAAATCCGCAGCAAAATGTGCTAAATGGTGGCCAAAATATTCAGCAAAATGTACTTGGTGATCAGAATCTTCAGCAAAATGTACCAGGTGGTCAAAATCTTCAGCAAAATGTGCAAGGTGGTCAAAATCTTCAGCAAAATGTGCAAGGTGGTCAAAATCTTCAGCAAAATGTACAAGGTGGTCAAAATCTTCAGCAAAATGCACAAGGTGGTCAAGATCAACAAAATTTAGTAAACAATGCCCAGATTTATCAACAACAAAACCAGCAACAATTTGATAAGGGTCAGCAGATTCAGGTCCAAGACAAGCAGGTGCACAATAATCCAATGCTTGGAAACCTTCACAACTTGCAACAGAATGCCATAAATGGTGATAAGATAGATGATAATATTCAGTTGAAACACAGAGGGAAAAGGGAGAGTGATGTACTTGAAAATAATGTTGTTAATGCTCAGCAAGAAGGTATAGTATCAAATAATGGTGTTGATACTGCAAACCAAGGTGGTGTTAATACACAGATAGACTCACAAGACAAGGTAAATGCTGATGTAGCGGCAGATAACAATAACAAACTTGATGAAGATGGGGAAACGGATGTTTCAAACAAGGGAAATAATGGACAAAGAGACTTGAAGCAAGTTCATTCTTATGTGGAAAAGGCTCAGTATGGTAGTGACGGTTATATAAATGAGGTTTTAAATGGATTGAAATACAAACATATAAATGATGTTGGGAAAGAAGTTGTTGATAGAATAGATGTGTTTAGAAAGGTTAATAGAAGATAATAGCTTCAGGTGTGTGCATTGTAAGCAATTTGCAAACTACTCGAATACTGTTTGAGAGATATGCTTACATGCATTGTTAAACAGGACACATTATAATGCAAAGTCATTAGTTAACTAAACTGGTATTTTGTTTAGAAAATAAGTCACACTTTTGCCATGATTTAATCTTAACTTTTTTTTTTAATTGGTACTTTTTTCTTGTTTATTTATTGGATTTTATGTTAAAAATATAAAATTATTTAACAACAGTATATAGTCTTGTTAGGCAGAATATGGTCACCTTAGTGCAGTAATGGAATAACTTGTATTAAAGTATATAAGGAGTTAACCCGTTATTGCACTAAGGTGATGATATACATGTATATACAAGTTAAACTGGCTCTTTGTTCCAGCATTTTCCCAGTGTCACCACAAATCAGATTATCAGATACATGCCCAATGACAAATACCCTTATTTTTTCCCAATCTTTCAAAAATATTTCCAGTTAAACTGGAGTTTCCCATATCATTACTTACAAATTTGTTGAAGTTTATTCCAGTATCCTAAAAGATCAATGCGTGCAATAAATCTCTCCAATTTAGTATCAATTTGATTTTCCTAAGATGTGACAAGTTTCTAAAATACTAGAACTATGCCAAAAGATACCAAATTGAGGATTTTAAAAGTTTCAAGTACAATGTATATTTCGTAATTTGGCAATTTTATGTTACTGTACACACACAAGTCTTTATTGCCAGTAGCATACATGTATTTCAGTTTAAGATTAAACTTTTTGTTGTATTTTTCAAATGATGTCAAAGATCATCAGGTCAACTTGTCTTTATTTTTTTGAGTCATATGATAATGTCTTCTTTTGTAGGGCTATCTTCAGGTCAGCTGGGGTTTCTTTTCCCCCAACTGATATATTTACAAATGACTCTAAGATTTCAATGAATCTTTACAGTAGAAACTACTGAAACTACTGAAGTTCTCCTCAATTTTGACTTTTACTAAAGAGCGTTTGCCTTTTTCACAGTTCAAAGCAGCTTGCAAAGTTCTTCTGTTTATGATGTGTGGCCTCTCAAGCCTGGGATCATGGGTTTGAGTCCTAATTTTTGTATTTTCTTCAATATATCTAAGAAATATTCTAAAATAGATTTTCTAATAGCAAATATTTATTTGTGACTGTTGTATTTATTGCTCAATGTAAATAGAACTCTTTGTTTCTAGAAAGGAAATCTTGACTATGGGATTGTGGTAGAATTTTTAATAATATTTGTCTCATATTGTTTTAACTACTTGATGATGATGTCAATTCTTCTTTGTCAAATGTTAAGAGTTTTCTTCACCAATTTTGGAGATTATCTTAAAAATCTGATGTCAGTATACGCTCAAAGCAAATATAATTCATGTGAAAAATTGTTCATAAACTAAAACATATATGTATATTGCTGCATTATTTTTGAAATCCTTATTGAAGTAATTTGTTAATCTAAGATTTATTTCTTTGATATAAATCCATATATTTTTTTGTATATACAACAATATACAACATATACATATACAACATATACATTCATTGTTAAGCGCATGAGTTTGTTTTAGATGATTTATGTATGCAGCTGTTGGATAATTGTTAATTTAATTATTTTATACATATGTGCTCTCACCATTGTTAAGGATATCATACCATTTACTCATTGAAGCTTGCAGTTTCACAATGTTGTTTGCGTAACTGTGGGTTATTGTGGTCACTGACTGTCCGTGCTTCATTTTCCATTGGTCTGTCTCACCACGCTGGATTCCAATGTTATCTGTGACTTTGGATTCTTTCCAGCTATCCATCTAGTTTAGAGACTGTCAGAGGTTCTACTCGGGTGACTGTTTGTGCCAGTTTCAATGCATGTTCTTCCTCCACCACTTAAGCTGGAAAATGGAGGGAAAAATGACGAAAATTACTATATTTTCATTCAGGGTTTTTGATTGGAACTATATTTGATAAAAATTCCATAGTTCTCTATAACCTCACTTTCGTTTATTCATAAATATTTCAGTGACAATGCGTCTTGTCAAGGATTGATTTTAGTTGAAATACCACCCTGTGAGAAAATTTAGGGTTTAGAATTTTTAATACAAGTATCCGAGATTAACACCTTCCTATTTATAAGTCTAATAGTAGATTTATAATTGTCTATTTAGCCAAAAGTTTCGCATAGCCACAGGTTTTAATTTTGTTATATCCAGTGTACCCCTTTTCACCTTAAAGCTTCTATATTTTGTCCCACTTTTCACTGGAAGACAGTTTCTTTTGTATACATTTAGACAGGAATTATCAAGGGGTTTTCTAGGAGAAAATATGTGTTTAAAGTTTACTAGATGAATATTCATAGAGTCTCTTTTAATTTGGCTTTGATTGACATAAGAAATGTTGAATCCTGTAAATAAAGAATTATCTAGAGAAATGTACAATGCTTTATTGGAGTTCCACTGAGGTCCAAAAGCCTAATATTGGGGGGCATTTCAAACAGACAGATATACAGAATTAAATAAGAAATATACTCATAAATAGATTGAAAATGTTGTTTTTGTGCTGTTCTTAACCCGAATTTTGTGAAATGCCTTGAAACGCTTTTCAGTTTTGGGTCATTTTTTCACACTTTGAATAATTATTTCCTGACACATCAGAGTGAGTGAATGATCTGGAATTTTTCACACAAAACCTACATCAAATAGAGCATTTATCTTAAGGATTTATTTCCAGTCCTGTCAAAAACGCTCCGTGGAATCCCTCTGAGTCACATTAGCTTTTTTCCTGCTCTACGTTTGCATAAGGATGTTCTATTTGTCCATTTACTCCATCCCAAATTGGTCATTCTTTTTTTCAATGCTTGATGTTGCTGACTTCAGATAACTTGCCTCTCAATTAGCTGTTGTTGTGGCAAATTTATTAGGCAATGATTCAAATATGTATATAGTAATAAGTTGAATGGGTATTAAATATTAAGCTACCAACATTATAAGTATAGAGGTACAGAGTCTGATCAGACTGCATGGATTTGCATGTTGGCCTTGCTCTATATTGGTAACTAATGCTTTTAGAGGGTTCTTATCGCAATTAAACCCATGGTGATAGCCTCAGGGAATATAGAAAAACTCATTGTGGGTTCCACCAGTTTATGGGTTAAAGTTTGAGTAAATAGTATCACAATATATTACAGTTTTGTTTAATTTATTTATTTGATTTAATTTTTATTTTGTGGGGGGGGGGGGTTTGAGGGCCTTCTTGGCTTAAGGTTGTTCACTTCAAACCACTTGCCTCTCACTGCTGTATGTCGGAGTCATGCCAGAAAGCAATAGCTAGTCGGTTGTTCTACTCAGGTACCCGTTTGTGCCTGAAATGATGTGCAGAGGGGCACCTGAGGTCTTCCTCTGTCGTCAGGCTGGAAAGTTGCCAAATTACCTATACTGTGTTGGTCTGACATTGAACCCAACCAAAAATATATAAAAAAGGGAATAAAAAATATGTTTTTTTATTCCACATAGTGGTTGGATGGAATGGAAATATAGTTTCCAAGATAAATTCAGGTGAGCATGTATGTGCCATGATTTTCTATCACATTGTTTATACTCATTTATGTAATTGTTTTAACCTTTAACCTGCAAAATCTTTGAAATGGACTTGTCCAGCTTCTGTTATGGAACTGTCCATTCTCACTTTTTGGGAATAAGATGAAAATTTTCAGGTAGTCAGCCACCAGTATATAACCTGGTGATTTAGCCTGGTGATATAGCCTAGTCATATAACCTGGTCATACAGCCTGGTCATATAACCTGGTCATATAGCCAGGTTTTATACGGGTGGCTTGTCACAAAGGCTTGTCACTTTAGATTCAAGCATTGAAAGAGTTAAATAATAAAGGGACCAAATATTTATATTGTTTAGTTATAAAAGATAATGTGTTAAAGATATGTGTTGTTTTAGACTTTTTTCTTCCTAATGATTTTTTTGCTGCAGTACAACAAATATTTAATTTAGGTGTGTTGTACTTGATTCTCATGTTACTTTTGTATATGTGGTTATATTTCATGCACAATCTTTAACTGATTAATCTTTTTCATATTAATTTGTTTAGTTGTGATAAAGATGATATTTACTGTCGTGTGATATGGACAAAGTAAATAAAATGCAAATATAGCACTGTAGTTATAAAGATTTTGTTGCAGTAATACTGTATACAGCAGTGGTGTTGCACAGCAGTTGTGTTGCAGTAATACTACATATAGCAGCTGTGTTGCAGTAATACTGTGTACATCAGCTGTGTTGCAGGAATACTGTATACATAAGTTGTGTTGCAGTAATACTGTATACAGCATTTGGGTTGCAGCAATACTGTATACGGCAGTTGTGTTGCAGCAATACTGTATACAGTAGTTGTGTTGCAGCAGTACTGTATACAGCAGTTGTGTTGCAATAATACTGCATACAGCAGTTATGTTGCAGTAACATTGTATACAGTAGTTGTGTTGCAGTAATATTGTCTACAGCAATTGTGTTGTTTATTTTTTTGAGTTCAAATAATTTGGTTTGATTCTTATCACTAAGTATACAAGCAATTATTCTGCATATTACAGATAGCTTGCTGTAGCGTTATACCATTAAGATATTCTTAAAGGTGTATGCTTGAGTCACATAGGGTTTTCTTTAATTTTCTCTATCATAATTTTTTTCATGCGGATATTTTTATCCACAATGTCTGTAAAAGTATGAGTGATTTTGTTGATAGTATTTAGTATCATAAATTACAACAGAACCACAACAGAAATATATATATATGAGCCACGTCACGACGAAACCAACATAATGCGTTTGCGACCAGCATGGATCCAGACCAGCCTGCGCATCCGCGCAGTCTGTTCAGGATCCATGCTGTTCGCTTACAAACCCTATTACATGAAGAGAAACTGATAGCGAACAGCATGGATCCTAATCAGACTGCCCGGATGCGGTCCTGGATCCATGCTGGTCGCAAACGCATAACGTTGGTTTTGTCGTGACGCGGCTCATATATGAATGTTGTTGACAAGTGTGAGATACATGATCCTATATTACATATATAGATCTAGCAGATAATAAATTGTTCTAAAACAAAATAATATTCATCATTTTAAAAATAGTATTCATCATATGAATATTAATTTTAAATCACTTAGAACTCTATCAACATTTTTTTCCAAGAAATATTTATATTTAATGCTAGCATATGTCTTTAAGCAAAGAGTACTGTGTTTTAAATATTACACGAGATTTTAAATTTCTTCTGAAAGTATTTTTGTATTATATATAAATTATAGCTTAAATCTTGAATTGTTATATTTATTGTAATTGCAAAGCAAATAATAAAATGCCAATAAAATCGCTTGTCTATATTTTCTGTAGGCTTTTAACTTACATATACGTAGGTTCTACTCAGGTACCCGTTTGTGACAGAAATAGTACAAGGAGGGTTACTTGAGGTCTTCCTCCCACAGTAAAGCTGGAAAGTGGCCATATGACCTATGTTATGTTGGTGTGACGTAAAAAACAACAAAAAAATTACTCGTACGTAAATGTAAATTGAATTGTTTCGAAATGTACAATCAAACCTTGATTTTGAAGCACTTTTTGTTCTCACAATGTCTTTGGATCTATGGGGCTTATATTAGATTAATGATAATAAATGGTTATAGTACAGAGTCACCAGCTCATATGTGTGAATATTGTGGCACATTGTTGTAAATTCCTCTGTTTTCTAGGTCTGTAGGTCAATATACAAATGACCTTGAAACTAGATTACAATAATTGAAGCTTGTCCATCAGTTATGTGGATGATTAAAAATGATCAAAAAAAATTTAAGATTATAGTGGTGATAAGTAACAGTGATGTACAACGGTATATTTGTAGGTCTGAAAGTTAAACAATTTGTGATCATGTTATAAAATTAAGCCTGCTGACGGCTACAGAATCAACCAATGCGACCAGTGCATACCAAGATCAGTCAGCACTTTTTAGCCATCTGATCATGATCTGTACACATTTTGACATTTTCCCTAAAAATAGTGAATGGATACGAGATTGAAGAAAGGACTAGTCCATTTAAGATGGAAGAAGGGTTAAACAGTAAGATATATAGGAAGACGATTTGGAAATTGTTAATTTTGTCATTCATCTAACTATTGATTTTGCACCACAACATTCATTGATATAAGTCAGAATATTTAAATGTCTCTTTAAAGTACGTAGCCACACAATTATAAGGCAGAACATAGAAATACATTTTCCCATCCGTAAAAACGCCTAACTTTGTTATTCTTGATAAGGTTGGTTCACGTCTGTACTAAATTACGCAGTAATAGCAATTAATGAGTCCACAGTGTATATACAGATATTGAAGAATTAAGAATAGTTTGGCCATTTTATTGCTCCTTGCCATAGTGACTGCAAATCACCTGTTTTAGGTTTTACATGCAATATTCCATACTTGTATTTATTTCACAACTTATAAAATGTTACAAATACTATTAGAATCATTGTTGGATCTGATCTTACCAATTTAGCCTTGCTTTCATTTCCAGGGTAAAAAATTTCCCTATAAAATCCATATCACACCCCGTATGGTCAATAGATTTCAGTATTGTTCTCAACAATGTATATTTACCTCATTTTTAGCTAGACTATTCGAAGAATATGAGAGCTTATAAGAATCTTACACCGGCTGCCGGTACAGACCGGAATATCTATCTCGAGGGTAACTGTTTACAGCGGTAACGAGGCTCTGCCGAGTTTCCGCGAGAGCTAGATATTCACGTCTGTACCAACAGCCGGTGTTTGATTCTTTTTCTTGCATATTGCATGTCAATTATTTTCGGAACAGAAATTATGAAAACTGATATTCTCATTACGCACTTTTTTTCTTATAGTAGCGTATGAACATACAACTTCATTCATAACGGAAAAATGACGTCATCCTAAGAAGGCGATTCATTCATAAAAGGCGCGCGTCAATGACGTCATTTAACGCACGCGACTTGTCTTACATGGGGGGTGTAAGACAGAGTTTTCTAGCACCGGTGAAAACGGTAGATAATCCTGTCTGAGATGCAAGAAATTGTAGTCGCCCCGGCGTCGGCGTCAGCGTCCGCGTCGGCGTCTGCGTTGGTTAAAGTTTTTTGTAAAGTCAAATATCTCAATTATTACTTGAGATATTCAATTGAAACTTACAATACTTATTTATAGTAACAAGGTACATCAGATTGACAAGTTGGATAACTCTGCCTACAATATTGACAGAATTATGCCCCTTTTTAACTTAGAAATTTTGGTTAAAGTTTTTTGTAAAGTCAAATATCTCAATTATTTCTTGAGATATTCAATTGAAACAACTTACAATACTTATTTATTGTAACAAGGTACATCAGATTGACAAGTTGGATAACTCTGCCTACAATATTGACAGAATTATGCCCCTTTTTAACTTAGAAAGTTTAGTTCAGTTTTTTGTAAAGTCAAATATCTCAATTATTGCTTGAGATATTCAATTGAAACTTACAATACTTATTTCTAGTAGCAAGGTACATCAGATTGACAAGTTGGATAACTCTGCCTACAATATTGACAGAATTATGCCACTTTGGAACTTAGAAATTTTGGTTAAAGTTTTTTTGTAAAGTCAAATATCTCAATTATTGCTTGAGATATTCAATTGAAATTTAAAATACTTTTTTATAGTAGCAATGTACATCAGTTTGCAAAATTGCATAACTCTGCCTGCAATATTTGCAGAATTATTTGCCCCTTTGAAACTTAGAAATTTTGGTTAAAGGTTAAAGGTCTTCAAAGATATTTACTTAAAACTTTACACATGCACTTAGAGTCATAATTGGAGGTTCATAATTGTATGTCACTGACTCCATATGTTCCATAACTCTATCTTGCATTAAGGCTGATTCATATCCCCTTTTCTACTTAGTCTCTTGGTTAATGTTTACATGCAAGTTTTACATATCTCAATAACTATTAAAGATATTTATTTAAAACTTCACATATGCATTTAGGGTCATAATTGTAGGTCACTGACAAAGATCCATAATTCTATCTTGCATTAAGGCTGATTTTTCTCCCCTTTTTCAACTTAGAAATTCATGGTAAAGTTTTGCTTGTAAGCTGTTATCTCAATAACTACTGAATGGTTAGTGCCTTTTTTGGGACAATTTTATGCATTCATATTAATAAAGCAGCGATTTACTTGATAAAACATCTTAATAACATATTATTACATTTCAGTCTCATCCATGTATACAATGTACAAATATTACAGCATATAAACATAGAAAATATATACATGACCTTTCATTAAATTTAAGGCGTGTTTTAAAGATAATTCACAAAGATGCACAATTTTAAAATTGTACAAATAGCTCGACAATTCGAAGGAGAGCTTATATTGTACTCACTCAGGCGTTGGTGTCGTATTTTGTGCAAGTTGGTATCTCCAAGGACCAAGACTACTGAAGGGAAACGGTTGAAACTTAACACACTTATTTGAGAGTATATTAGGAGGTCACTCTCGGCCCGTAACTTTAATTGGATTTTGATAGAATCATGGCCCTTTTTGAACTTAAAATAATTCTGCATCATCTGGGCCCTTGTTTTTTCTATTAAGCACTGAGAAAAGTCGAGCACGCTGCCCTACTGACAACTCTTGCTTACATTTTAAAACAAAACTAGAACATAAAACAGAATAAAATGGTATCAGATATTCATTGGCTCATTTTCGTTATGAAAATTCTGAAAAAAATTTAGTCATGGTTATGTTCTTTATAAAAACAATTTGATATGCTACTTCACATCTCCTTAATCACTGAAGGTATGGAACTGCACACATATCCGGAATATGGCTTAAACATGGCGTCCCAGCAACACATCACCTAGCTCCCACTTATGAATAAAGTTTGAATAACTCTTATTTATTCTGCGCAAAGATTAATTAAATATTAATATACTTCAGATTAAGTAATGTTTATGAAATCCTGAGTTCATAGGACTGACTTACTGAGCTGAAATAGATCCTTCCGCACATCAACGCGTAAATTTCATCAACGCCTAAATTTTAAATAAAGAACTTTTAAAATAAAAATTATAGCTCTGTGGTTCTTACACCGGTTGATGTTGTTGACTGATTCACATTATGGGTTCAAATGTCGCTAATGGCCATGGATCCTTTCATTTGGTGAAGTTATCAAAGTGGCTGACGGAGCTTCGGTGGCTCTATTCATACGCCTGCCCGTGCCAGAAATGATACATTGATAAACACCGTACCCTTCCTCCATCAGTAAAACTGAAAAGTCACCGTATAACTTTCATAGTGTCGACCGACGACGTAACCTTCCACTGTCAAGATATATAAATGAATAAATGATAAATATATACAAAAAAATAAGATATTTTTTTATGAAAAAAGTCCATGAAGTTGACATTCGTTTTAAATATATTTGTGTAATGATAGTCTATTTTTGCCAACGTATCGTCTGCGAGAAAGGGGCTTACAACTGAAGATTTATTAGTATACAAGTCTAGATTTCAAACCACTGCTCCAAATCAGGGAAAATCTGCAAAAATTACAATCACAAACCTTTTTTCAAGAAATACAAGCTCTTTTCTTGTCAATTTAGACTTAATGAGAAATTTCGTCTTAACAGCGGAATAAAATTAGCAGACAAATCATCAAACGTTTAGGAACTTTACTTTACTCTATCGATCAAACGAAGAAGTGATCTCTTGATATTAACAAAAGCAATTGCAAAATAGATACGCTTCATCAAAATAATGATGTCCGAAAATGAAAAAGCAACACTGTTTAGTGTCAATGCGCAGTTAATAATAGCTTACAGAGCATAAAGACAGACTAATATGTCATTTTACAATATTTATGAACATTTTGAATGATTATGTGGTACTGGAAACAGAGGTAAAAACTCGGAAGAACAGCTTAGAGGAAAATCTTGATAAATACGAGGATAATTGTGAAAATGTTCGAAAGTACTAACTAAAAAGTTTAACTTTAATGCCGGCAAATTAAAAATCGTAAAACGGCGCTTTGTTTGTGAACAGTATGGTAATTAACGAGATACAGTCAAGCCCGTGCTAAGTACCATCTCACATGTACATACCAGTATTTTTAAGCTTCTAACTACGGTGGCACAAAGGTGACATGTGACATTGTTTTTATTTATCTCGTGCGCACGAGATACTATGTCGGAGCCACGAGTTACTAAGTCATGGGATCGAGATAACTAACCAATCAGATTACACTATATATATTATGAACTTAAAAAAAATCTGTGTAAAGTTTTACATACAAGATTAATCTTTGAAAATACTGAAGATATTTACTTTGAACTTGTCTTTAGAAGCATATTAGAAAGTCACATTCCAAGACCCATCAGACATTAATTTAGACTATAGCCCTTTGTGGGGACAATTTTGGGATCGATTTGGTCAGTTTGTACGTACTACGGCCTGTTAACTTTGTTTATACGATAACATGAGAAGGAATAAGTCCTGGTTTATTTTATTGGTTAAGGACATTGCCAGTGGACAGTAGATAGCCTAGGATGTTTGAGGTCAAGGGTCAAGGTAACCATGACACTTCATGTTATGTAAAATCCTTGTCTGATGAATAATTTAGAAGGGTAGGCCATGGTATATATAACCTATAAAGATAAGTGCACCTGATCAGTAGATGACAACTAATAATTTCGAGGTCATTGGGTCAAAAATCAGGTTCACAATGTCGCTAATGTAAAATTATTGACAAATCAATAACTTGTATAAATGGCACTTTTACAGGCAGGTGAAGTAGGGGCATCCTTGTCCTGTAGCACATTTCTACTTACCAAGGAAAATTCATATAAATAGTTTATTCTGATAAGTTAATTATTTCGTGCACAGGTCTTAATTAGCTTGTTCCCACGACTTAGTAACTCGTGACCACGACATAGTATCTCTGCGCAAGACTTAACCATCTCGTGGCCACTACATAGTATCTCGTGCGCACAAGATAAATAAAAACATACGCATGTCACCTTTGTGCCACCGTATCTAACACATTCAATTTTGCATGTATTTGAAGAATAATTTAACATTTTATGGCCGAGTGGTTAAAGCGTCGGACTAGTAATCTAAGGATTGCTGACCGTGTGGGTTCAAACTATGCCAGGGACAAACCATTGTTTCCTTGAGCAAGAGACTTTACATTCATTGCTAAGTACTGGTTGGTTCCAGGAACGGATTCGAGAGTGTTTCAATAGCTTCCAACACAATCGAACTAAAATAAATTTGTATAGACAAATTTACACTTATGCATGTATGATCTCTAAATTATAGTTTATACTTTCGGTCGACGACCGTTCTTTGCAAATAAAACGATTTAGTATTTATTACATTGTTTTGGTCAGATTAAGTGGTTAATCAAATTCCCAGTTAATATTCCTCATTTCCACAATGTTCATATACAAGTGGGACAAGTAGGGGCCCGCGTGGCCTAGTGACTGCCTCTCAACCTGTGGATCATGGGTTCGAGCCCTTATCGGGTCACAATCATGTTTCTTCATATGATACCAGTACTGGTTTGTTCCATGAAGCTTGAAAGTAATTAATATAAGTTGCAAAACTTGTTTCGCAATCGAGCTTCAATAAATATGCTTAAACTAAGTGAGACAGTAGTGATATTTTCAGTAATAATTCAACATACGCTAGCACTAGTGGTACATTGGCAGCTGCTTATTTTCTTTTATATTCTGAGAACGGACAATAAGACGTATTATAGTTACGTCTGGAACATTGTGTTTTTATCTTTCATAGGCGAAACAAGAAACCCTGAAAGGTGTAACACGTTCCACGAAGAAACCAATACTTAAGTATTTTAAAACTTTGCAGAACTCAATGAAATGCTTTATTTCAATAATAAAAGATTGACACATAATATGGCTACGGTTTGTATAGCTACTGTTTGTATGGCTACTGTTTGTATGACAGGGACGCTAAATCTAGATGTCCTGCCTTCCATAATTCTCTTAGAGTTTCTGAAATAAAACAAGTTGAAATATAATCGTTCAATTCACGTAAAATATAACCTTTTTCGATACATTGATATACCTTAAAACATTGATATACCTTCGAATTCGGACAAAAACATTTATGATTCAGCTTTATTTGATAATCTTCTTAACTTTTAAACTGCGTGGCCGAGTGGTTACGCATCAGGCGGATTGCTACATGTTCAGCTTTAGAGCAGCATGGAAAAGTTACGTTGTAGTAAACTGATGTTTGACAGTTGGACATAGTTTGCCAAATACATATTAGTTTAATTGATTTTCCTTACTTCCAGTTTGGAACAGTACGATAATAGTAAATTGGTTTCAAACAATAAGATAATGAAATTGAGCAACCAACGCTGTAGAGTCTGCACGGGCTGAACAAACATGCTGGTACTATATTGGCGCCATTTCGTTTGGGCACTTAGTTCATGATATACTATAAGGGTTAACATTATGACCGCACAAGCAGAATTACAGTTTGTTATACATTACTATTAATTCTCTTTCTTACAATTTTAGATTGATTTTTTTCTACAAATTATAGTTATTATTAAAATTACGTTCTCTGTTTAGATAATTTGCTTTTAAAACTTGATATTTAACTACAAAAATGCCAATGCACACAATTAACATTCAAGATGATATGCAAGTATTGTTCAAACGTATCACATTATACATCATATCATAGCTGTTCTACAGGTCACGTGTTATTAACTCTTAAACTTTGATCTGTTTTGAATTTGAAACAGTCCATTTAAAGCTGCGAGCCTCAAGATGAAGAAAAATATTACAAGGAAATCAAACTTGAGATTTTATAACAAGTAAAATGGTTCAAGATAAAAGTAATAATTTCCATGTTATGTGCAGTTTATGACCGATTTTGCAGTGGTTTTTACCATATTTCCACCGCGTTACTAGTGCAGCAAGGACTATTTTTGCATATTTTGTCATCTTTTTGGGTATTTACATGGGTAGTAAGTGCTGTTTTCTACGTTGGCACATATGTGACATGTGTGTGTTTTTATTTATCTCGTGCGCACGAGAAACTATGTCGTGGCCACGAAAAACTATGTCGTGATCATGGATTACTATGTCGTGGCCTCGAGTTACTAAATCGTGGCCACGAGATAATTATGTGATGAGCACGAGATAGTATGTCGTAGCCACGAGTTACTAAGTCGTGGCCACGAAATATTTAAGTGGTGCGCACGAGATACTATGTCGTGGCCTTTAAACTTAGAAAATTTCTCTTTAAAGTTTTACATGCAACATTAAACTTTGAAAATACTGAATATTCACTGTAAACTTAATACACGTTTTTAAGATCATATTAGAAAGTCACTTTCCAAGGCCTATAACACAGACATTAATATTGACTAAATAATAGCCCTTTGTGGGGACAAAACGACATAGTATCTCGTGCGCACCACTTAATTATCTCGTGGCGACGACTTAGTATCTCGTGCTCACGAGATAAACAAAAACACAACATGTCACCTGTGTTTTCAGTTAATTAGAAAATTATTTTCTTTGTTCACTTCACAATATTGTAGTTTTAAAAACATCTTCTAAGTTTTCATGGAACTTAGCATGAATCAATAAAGTAACTTTGATATCAAACTATAAAACTTGAATTTACAACAGGATATATATGCAGGCCGGCCTGGCTCTATACTGACGACAAAGGCAAACTACATTGGATGCAAACAGAATCGATTACAGAATACGAGTCTGCAAAGTTAACATTATTTTCGTGAGTCTACCTTCAGTGCACATGCATTTTCTATAATGTTCTTTTGAAAACGTCTTACTTGTTAATGCAAAACATTGCACGTTGTTACACAAAGAGTCGCCGCAGCAAACGGAACATGATGCTAGTCCGGTACTCCGTTTACCTACTATCACGCCATGACTGAATAAATTACTATTTTCTATCCGAAATCTAGTTACGTCAATGCATGGCTAAAATAATAATGGTAATTAATTAATTTCGTTACCTTATGTTTAAAAAAAAACGGCATGATATCGCGTCATATAGGCAGCGGTTTATATCGAATTCTGAGCTTAGCAGTGCTTAATTTCATTGCTTCTGTATTTTTAATAAATAAATCAACCGAAACTGTATTTTGAATAAGAAAATCAACAGCATAAGAAAATCGACTCTGCTGCATTTTGAATAAATCTGCTGAATATGTCTATTTGTTTATGATCTACGATTGCTTAAAATCTAATAGCAACATTTTTAATTACAGTTAAGTATTATAGTCTGTCCCACCAAATTTGAATATTCCATTTTTTATTTAATATAATATTAAAATCATTTGTATAAGTGTCATGTTAACCCTGACGTCAATATCTCTAGGGATGTTTTTCATTTTTTTCATTAAGTCAGTAATATGGACACAATTTTAAAATTATATTTTTTTCCCATTGACTTACGTTGTAACCTGACGTGACGTCCATTTCAAAATGGCGGCGCCCAAACTGACGTCATTTAGGGTTCCCACAGTTACCGTGAAATGTACTCGATAATTATAAAAATTTGATTATTTCTATTTACTTACTGAAATACCAGTAACCGCTTTATAAATTCTAACATACAAAATATTTATATTTTATTATCATGATATCTTGTCGTAGAAATCTATTTTATATTCATTTTAAGAGAAAAAGAGCAATAAAGTAATTTGATTAGATAGCGTTTTCAATCAAGCGCGTATATTGAATACAGCAACCGGGAACACTAGCCAGAAGACTAAACAATGGCTCTTCGCTTATGTTTTACATAATTCTGTAGTTGTCTGAAATGTGTTCATTAGTATGCATAAAGTGTATTCAAAAATAACTAAATAAACCAGGTCCGATGGGTTGCCCTTCTTATTTCGGGCGTGATGTTCGTGCGCTAAAACTTTTCGTATGTTAAAAATCTGGCAAGAAATATAAAGAAAGCATAGGTTTGCTTGTATCATCAGTGTCTACTTTAACTAGCTCCCTGGCTAATGAGAGAACAAAGGCTCGTTCGCGGAAAAGTGTAAATTATAAGAATATAATCATGCTTTCTAGTTTGTGCAACGAAACGTAGGTCTATACCCTTTTAGCTCGTTAATACAAATTTAACTTTCCTCACAATTTAACAAAATGTCCAGAAATACTGGTAGTTGATGATATTGATAAGAATAAGTTTGAATTGGAGCCTTCAGTAAATGTCAATAAGTTTTTTTTTATGTATAATGAAAATTATTTTGATGAGGAGATCGAGCCAAAGAGAAACGCTGAGTGACGTCCTCAATAATTTAAGCCTCTCTTAAATTTGAAAATATTCAGTGAGAAAAACAATAGCTTTATTTTTTGCTGGAGAAAAAATACCGCATATTGTACATATTTTGTAGCTGAAAGATTAGGCCTAATTTTACAGAATTTGAAGTCTTGAATAACGAAATATTATGTAGGAAATCATTTCTGCGAAATATATAAAAATAGCTTAAATACATTAGATCAAAACGAAGGTTATATGTAAATAAATGGAAGAAGTATTGTACTGCCATAGATTCATGTCATTTATTAGAATCTAACTGTGTTTAAAATTATTTAAATGATATCAAAAGTTTTATTGTTGATGATGCAGTTACTGCAAAATCTCGGTATACAAAAATATTTTAAATGTCATAAAGACAAATTTATCTCAACGCTTAAAAGTATCTGTATAAGGTAACCTATGACTAACCACTCGAGATCTCTCAATGCCGCCACTGGAAACATCTATAAAAAGCGTGAGGCATTTTTGTTACGTCATATATTTCATAAATTGTTGTTGACGTAATAAAGTTTTTTTCGTCAGGAGTTATAAACATTGTGAATTTGACTACTGAAATTGATGGGCGGGCCATGGGCCGTTCTTAAATTATGGATTTGGAACATAAGTTGAATTATGATGTGTTTCATTTACATATTTCATTTGCTAACCCAGATAACTCCACATATAGATCAATGTTTTAATAATGAGACATATTAACAGAGTAAAAGAATCAGGATTATAGTTCGTAAATGTACGAGCCATCTTACATTCAATAAGTTTTAAAGTAGAAAATGGGATCTGCGGAACTGGATAGAAACTGGCAATGACGGAATCTTCATATTGCGAATTTGCCGTGACGTTTTCGAAATTCATAGGGATTCTATTTCGCTTAAAAGTAAGTGCCATTTCTATTTCATGTGAATTGATGTTCTGTTGATAATTATTCATTTATTTTTAAGTTTTGCATCATGCATCGCAACTAAACTGTTACATCTTGTAGATCCAGCTTTGTAAGATAATCATGAAACGACCCCTAAAACCTCCTGTATATTTTAGAAACATGACGCGTGCTTTCTCCCGTTCACCTTCAAATGAAGAGTACTTCGGCAATCCCGGGCTACGGAAAATACACAACAGAGATTTGCCGTAGAGTAATCAAAATTTGCTTTTACAAGAAAATTAGGCACTTAAGAGAAAAATTCTGAAAAATCTCGAGGGTGATTTTATTTAGTTTACAAAAAAAGTCTAATTTTTATTCAACCTCGTTTTGTTAATTCATACCAGGCAAAAGATCATTTCCATATTTAATGGTACAGACTATAGTTATTGTTGAAGAATGAATGAAACATTAATTTATGTATTATACCAACGTACATGTTTGTTTGCACATCCCATTGAAGAAGTTGTAACGTTATCAATGCCCTCATTCTGCTCAACATAACACACCTTTTTTGAAATATCGAGTAAAAGCTATATTAGTAATTAGTACCGTTTTAAATAGAGTCCAATAATGCAGTGAAATCTTGATAAAGTGAATATCTCATTTATAAAGTACCATCTTGTTTAAAATCAGACATTTTTTAATTACGGAAATTTCTGTTTTTAGAACTATTCTTGTATATTTGTACAATATAAAACATGACTTTGAGTCAATACAAAAGTAGGACCTAGACCTAGATCATGGCAGATCTCTAAACTGTAATCAAAAATGGAAGATGTATTTAATTTCAGTAATCAAAAAGCAAAAATTCCAAATATTTTTACCTGATCCGGATTACATGTCGTCACTGTATTACATAAGCTTAGGTCATTTATATTCTTACAATCAAAGCACTTTAGGGGAATAGGCACAATACTGTCTGGGAACAGAATATTAGTAATATTTACAGATAGCTACATATATACATTATTGGAAAACAGCTTAAATGATATTTGATTATTTTTGTTCTTTTTTCTGTAAATGAATTCTAATTGAATTGGGATTTGGGCTTTGAAGTTTCAAAAAGGTGATTAGTGTGAAAATTGAGAAAAAACAAACAAACATTATTCCCAAGATAAGTTTGGTATAAATATATATATCTTAAAGTTGTAGTAATAAGTTGTTTAGCTTGTCTAATTTCCTTTTTGATTTTAAGTAAACAGTTTGAAAAAGTGCAAAGGTACTTACCTGCTGCAAATGCAGTACTCGCAAAAAGCAACAACATAGCTGTAATGAAAATCATTACGACATTAAGTTTTAATACCAATTTAAGTTTTATACATGTACTTAACAATGCTCTGCCAACTTCTCACACCTTAATGAACAAGCAGTTTTATTGTCTTAAAACATACTTACAAAGCAGTTAAATGATGACATAGTTAAAGAAAGACCTTTCTATTAAGTTTTGCTATTATCTTCTGTTATCATAATTGAAATACCGATTTTATGACGCTTAAATATCAACTTATGTAACATGTAATGAATTATCTTGTCTTTAGCAAACTCAATTCAAACTTACCGAAATCAAAAGTCATTTTAATGCCCTGAAATAGAGAGGAAAAGCACAAAGTTAAATCTCAATGTCTCAATTTTCAGAACAGATAAAGATAATGGTTACGTATAATATGTGACGTTAGTATGTCATGTAATCTAAAGATAACATATTAAACTTATATGCATTGTTTTCACTGATTTGCAAATACGTGTAATTAAAGGCACATTATACCTCAGAAACGAAAAAAATGCTTCTGTAGAAAGGGCAAACATTTATTTCTTATAACGTTTAAATAATGTTTTTAGGACAATTTAGATGCTTGTTACCTAAAAGATGTAGCACTTACTGTAAAAACAATGTCATAAAATAGATAGCAAAATATAAAAATGTAGTATTTTGCCGTCCATACAAAAAACTAAGTCTCTATAACTGAACTAATTGACAAAAAGACAACAGAAGAAATACGATGGTTCAGGTAATTTGGTCAATAAGTTATAAAAGTACCCCCCCCCCCCCCAAAAAAAAAAAAAGAAAAAAAAAGAGAAAAAATAATAAAATCATGTCTAGGGCAAAATGGGCATTTAAATATTTAGCAAAATAACAATGAAGATATATCATAAAAGTTATTGAGTTGCGTATACCCCTTAATTCCTTACAGGCCTCTAAATATAAAATGTGTTTTGTTTAATTTACTGCCATGTTATGTTATTCAAAGACGATCTCACCGGAATCGGTCAGAAATAGCTAACTTACTTTTACTGAGCAATCGGCATAAGTAGGCCTACACAATTTAAAGGAATAAAAAACAATTTTGAAATAAAGAAAAAGCAGCACCTCATTTGTAAATTTGTTTGTTGGGTTTTAGGTCGCGAAGACACTTTAACCATCCATGGTCATATGGCGACTTTCCAAATTTACTTGTGGAGGAAAACCTCTGGTGCCTCTCCATATATTATTACAGACACGAGCCTGAAACCTTGAGTAGAGCAACACAATACTGGCATGACAGAAAGATTAAAATCTTATCATATATATATATATATATATATATATATATATATATATATATATATATATATATATATATATATATATATATATATATATATATATATATATATATATATATATATATATATGATAATAAAACGCACATATTTCACGTATTACCAGTATTGTTAAATTATAGTGCATGGATATAGATAGAGAAATAAATTGACGGAAGCGGAGATAATTTCTACATATTTCTTAATTTACGTCTTGATACATATCCAAGACTTCGTTCCCAAACGTGCTGAGAAAACTTCCAATATAACCGCCCACTGCACGATGTTTCAGAATACATCTTAAGATATATTTTATTGGATACTTGAGAAAAAATGGTATCAGAGACTTGAACAAGATGTAACTGTGAACCATTCATTGTTTGTAATTTATACTTTGTTGGACAGACGCAGGGGACAGCGGGTCGCAGTCTCTTTTCTCAGCCTTGAATCGAAGCAGTGGTCACCCTTTGGGCACGTGTCCAAGATATTTTCTCGTTTGTTTTCGTATACGTTCCGACATATCATTCTTTGTGGCATTCACTACAGATATTTATTTTATTGTACTTGAAACATTTACGGAAACTGGGGCGTCCACTGGATCCGCCCCGTGAATCGCCAGTACCCTGTACACAGGCCGAAAAAGATTAACGAATTAAAGTATTGAAATCATTAACGTTGATATATGATAAAAATAAATATAATGGAACGTTATTTTTTATCAAAGAACGAGTAACCAGTTTCATCTACTTAATTTCTACTTTTGGTCTGTATTTTTGCATAATGAATAATAGTATGCAAGAAAGGTAAACTAAATAGACTTGCAAGGCAATTTAATTTCATCTTCTAGACCTAAACTGGTTTATAAAAGAAATAACGAATCTTGCACTGTGTCGTCACTTCTGTCAGTTTACTGAAAGAAAGGAGAGTAACTCACAGAATAAGAAAGTCATTGACTGTGACCGTGATCTCCAACCAGTTTCGTGATATACGAATTTAATCATTATCAGACAATTGGGAAACCAATTCAAAGAGAATTAAATTATTCAAAATAACCCAAATGAGGTTATAATAACATTACTGAATCTATGGACACAATCAGACCATAACCTAAGACTATTGTATCTTTTCTTACATCTATTACGCATCAATAAGAACTAGAACTATGCTTTAAAAAGTACGCTAAGAAGTATTAGATTGTAAAAAAAAAATGGAATTAAACCTAGTCATCATGTAACCAGTTTTTATTTCTAGGAAGCATTTTCTAGACCCAGTGCCAAACTTTTTCTTTTCAAAAATTGTGCCAAACAATGTTACGAAAAATGATTTTGTACATAATCACTTACTAGCTCGAGTCCCTTGTCACTTGAAAGAGAGAACTGTTTAATTTTGGACAAATAAAGAAGGTTTGTGAACCACATGGATTAATGAAATATATTGAAAACAGTATATTTCCTATATCATGTTTACTAATGTATTAAACTATACATGCTGGTTGAAAAAATTAACTTTTGTAAATATTTTTTCCTCAACATTTTGATACTATGAGGTTATTTCAATACTGTATTCTTTTGGACGACACAACTGTCAAACATGCCGGGTACGAGTCCAATAGAATCGGTATTGGTCTAATGTGATTTATAATGGCTTCATTATTACACACCACACTATTTTGACAGAACTTTGTTTCTCAAAGTACAATAAGGATTTTATATGAGTTTGTGTTCTCTGAAAATGTCATGAATTGTGTGTTCAACATATCAACAACAAAAGTTTGTCGTTTTATAAGGTTTATTTCCAGTTATTACTGGTACTGGGCGATCTTAAGTTTATGTCACAAAGTCTTGCCCCAATCTCAAATCTGAAAATTTAGTTTAAATATGATGACTTTAAGAAAAAAACAACAACTTTTTTAAGCCTTTTTCTGTAAACGAAAATGTAATCTGGATTTGCTCGTTCTTTGTTCGTTTACTTTTTATTAAAATTTGGTTAGCTCTTCGTAACGCTTGAATACGGTTGTTATTTTTCGGTAAGGATAATGTACGCCTACTTTATATACTCATTTGTATTAAACATGCACCAATCGTCGGTATGCGACAGTACATTTGAACCAGTGAAGTTTCTCTTATAGTTTTTCATCCGAGATGACCCATGTTCGAACTCATCCGAGCAATTACCGAGACAAATATCCTGACCAAGTTTGATGACAATTGAGTCAAAATGTGACAACCAGAGTGTTAACAAGTCTTTTCCATATTTGGGCCATGTTATCTAGTTTTTGACATATTCGACTTGACCTATAAATCATCAAAACACACTTTCAGACCTATTTCCAGGATATTTGGATCAAAACAGTAGCCACTAGAGTGCTAACAAGACTTTTCTATTTTTAGCTCCTGTGATCTAGATTTTCATTCGAGATAACCCATGTTCGAACTCATCCGAGCAATTACCTAGACAAGCATCCTGACCAAGTTTGGTGACAAGTCAAAAATGTAACCACTAGAGTGTTAACAACGTTTTAACAATCTTTAGCTCCTGTGACCTAGTTTTTCGTCCGAGATGACCCATGTTCGAACTCATTCGAGCAATCACCTTGACAAGCATCCTGACAAAGTTTGATGATGTTTGAGACAAAACTGTGACCGCTAGCTCAGATGAGCTCAGCTAAAAAGACATATTTTTGTCCCTATCTGCAAAGACGCCTAGCTTTGCTTTTATCTCAGAAAACTGCAAACTGTTGTTTTGACATTTATTTGTCTTAGACACAAAGGAGTAATTCTGGTGATAGAAATTTGATTAATCCCAAGTAATGATTGAATAAGGAAAGAAAGAAACGAAACCTGGTTAGGAAAAATCAAGGTCAACAACCTCTTTTAAACCAGTGTGTAAGAATTGGAACCGTTATTGCTTGATAAGGTTGGTTCATGTCTGTATTAAATTATGCAATGATAGCAATAAATGAGTCAACAGTGTATACATATATTGAAGAAGAACAATATTATTCGGCCATTTTATTCCTCCTGGCGATAGTGTTTGTGAATGGCGTGGCTTAGGTTATACATGTAAAAATGATACATTGATTAACATCCTACTCTTCCTCTGAAAAGTCACCGTATAACATTCATGGTGTTGATCGTCGACGTAACCTTCCACTGTCAAAATATCGTTATATATAAATGAATAAATGATGTTTCAAATACAAAAATTAAGATATTTTGATGAAAAAAGTTTAAGTCCATGAATTTGAAACAAACGTCTCAAATATAATTGTGTAATGATAGTCTAAAATTGCTAATGTGTCGTCTGCATTTAAGGAGCTTACTAATGAAGATTTATTAGTATACAAGTCTAGAACATCAAGTCACTGCTCCAAATCAGGGAAAATCTGCAAAAATAACAATCACAAACTTTTTCCAAGAAACACAAGCTCTTTTTCATTTAGACGTAATGAGAAAATTCGTCTCAACAGTGGAATAAGATTAGCAGACAAATCATCAAACGTTTAGAAACTTTCACAGGCTCAATCAAACCGAGCCTGCAACATTTTCAATTTTGTCGTGTTGGGCTTTCTTTAGGGATTCTGTATTTATCTATTTTACTATACTCTATCGATCAAACGAAGAAGTGATCTCTTGATATTAACAAAAGCGATTGCAAAATAGATTTGCTTTATCAAAATAATGATGTCCGAAAATGAAAAAGCAACACTGTTTAGTGTCAATGCGCAGTTAATTACAGCTTACAGAGCATAAAGACAGACTAATATGTCATTTTACAATATTTATGAACATTTTGAATGATGATGTTGTACAGAAAACAGGTAAAAAACTCGAAAGAAGAGCTTAGAGGAAAATCTAGATAAATACGAGGATAGTTGTGAAAATGTTCGAAAGTACCATCTTTAAATTAAAAATTGTAAAACTGCGCTTTGTTTGCGGTCAGTATGATAATTAATGAGATACAGTGAAACCTGCACTTATGAAACATCTCTTTGTAAAAAGACGCGAAAAACACACATACTGGTATAATAATGTTGCATGTATTTGGACAATAATTTGCAATATAATATCGAGCATTTTATGTATAATTTATACTTTATTTTTGCATTATATTGTTGTATATAATGAATAATCGTTTGTAAAAATATCTAAAGTATGATCACTTGATTATTATTTGTAATATTGGTCGACGAGCGTTCATTGCAAATAAAGCGATTTTGTATTTATTGCATTGTTCTGATCAGGTTAAATGTATTATCTTTATTCAATCAGCAAATATAAATATTCCTCTTTTCCCCAATGTTCATAATACAAGTGGGACAGTAGTGAAATTTTCAGTAAAATTGCAATATACACTAGCCATACATTGCAAGCTACTTTTTTCTTTTATGTTCTAACAGTTCTTGACTGATAACGAACAACTAAACGTACGTCGTATTATAGTTACGTTTGGAACATTGCGTTATTATCTTTCATGAGTGTAAAAAGAAATTCTAAAAGGTGTAACACGTTCCACGAAGAAACTAATATTCAAGTCTTTTAAAACTTTGCAGAACTCAAAGAAATGCTTTATTTCAATGAAAAGATTAACACATAATATGGCTACTGTTTGTATAGCTACTGTTTGTATGACAGGGACGCTAAATCTAGATGTCCTCCTTTCCATAATTCTGTAAGATTTTCTGAAATAGAACAGATTGAAATAAAATCGTTCAATTCACGTAAAAATATAACCTTTGTTGATGAATTGATATACTTCAGCTTTTTTGATATCATTCATAGCTTTTAATCTGCGTTGCCCAGTGGTCAGCGCATCGGACGGATTGCTTGACAAAGTATTTGATACATTTACTAACAAATTCCCTACTGATAAACCTTATTTACTTTACTTCTACATACATACATGCATGTACTGTACCGTTTAGAACAGCATGGGTAGGTTATGTTGTAATAAAAAATATGTTTGACGTTCATAGTTGGCAAAATACAAATTAATGTAATTGATTTGCTTTACTTTCAGTTTGGAACAGTACGATAATAGTTTGATCAGCTTCAAAAATTAAAATAGTGAAATTGAGCAACCAACGGCGAAGAGTTTGCACGGACTGAACAAAACATGCATGCTGGCCCTGGTTTTATATTAATGTCACTTAGTTCATAGGGTTAACATTATGACCTGACAAGCAGAATTACAGTGTGTACTACATTACTGTTTTTTACACAGTTGTTTCTCTTTTTCTTTTACAATTTTATATTGATTTTTTCTACATATTATAATTACAGTAATTATTAAGACTATATTCTCTGTTTAGATAATTTCCTCTTAAAACTCAATACTTAACAACAACATAATGCACACAATTAAACAATAAAGTAACTTTAATAAAAAATTAAAAACTTGAGATACAACAGTATATGCAGGCTGGGATAGCTCTATACTGATACCAAAGGCAAATCACCTTAAAAAATAAAATACAGGCAACGAGTCTGCAAAATCAACATCATTTTAGAGCTTCTTCCGTCAGTGTGCATACATTTTCTTTAATGTTCTTTCAAAAAGGGTCTTACTTATTAATGCAAAACATTGCATGTTGTTACACAAAGAATCGCCGCAGCAAGCTGAACATGCTACTAGTCCGGAACGCCGTTTGCCTACTACCGAACCAGCATGGAATAGATTACTATTTTGTATCAGAAATCCAGTTGATTCAATGCATGGCTAAAATGAGAACGATTAGTTATTTCGTTACCATGTTTTAAAGAATATGGTGGTTGATTTGAACCATGTCGTATTTTCGCTCCGTCGTACAACAGGAAAAACAAACACACGCAACAACAAACAACAACAACAGTTAGAACAACAAAAACTAATAAAAAATCACGAAAATACGACAGTGACCATTTTGTCGTAGTTTCCCTCCGCGATGCACCCGGCAAAAACACGAAAATACGTCAAAGCGATAACAAAGATAACACTTGATCGTGTTTTCGTCACAAATCAGCCACCATGAAAATTACATGGTATTGCGACATGTAGACAATGATATTTATTTTATTTCTTAGCCTTAATTAATGCATATGGCTCTTATTATAGAAAATCAACCTCCATTAAATTTTAATTATATCTTTTTATTTAGTATCTAAATTTAAGGGGAGCGGTGGTTAAGATGTCTGCCTCTCAACCCAAGGTTACTGGGTTCGAGCTCTACTTGGGTCCCGACTAAGTTTCCTCATATGGTTCCAGTACTGGTTGGTTCCCGGAAGCGGACTCGAAAGTCATGAATATAAGTAGCAAAAAATATTTGCAATCGGGAGAAAGTAAATAAGTGCAAACTAAAGAATTGGTAAATTTTGTTGAAGAATGAATGAAACATAAATGTATTTTTCATTTTCTGTATACTAACGTACATGTTTCCTTGCACATCCCATTGAATAGGTTATGCGGTTATTCGTGTTAGCCATCTCGTTTACATAACACATCTTTAATGGAGAAATTAATTAAGATTAATTGTCATGAGTAAAATCTGTATTTATATTTGTTTTATAAAGAGTCAAAATTACACTAGAGTATGAATAGGAGAACAAGTATTGAAATAATATACTAGTAGTTAAAATCCTAATGAAATGATTATCACTAAGTTGTTCCCTCCCAGAAGAATCGAATTCAATAATGTATCACTTCATTTCACATTACTTTTTGATCATAGAATTAACTGAAAGTCCTATTGTTTTGATGGTTTAGTTAATATTTATTATTGACCTTAAAAGTTTACTCAATTAAAATGTGATAGCGTATAAAAGATAGTCATATACCAATACAAAAATCAGGATTTGCTGTTTATGATGACCATGACTTACTACATTATATATCTTTGAACTGTTATCGAAAATGGAACATGAATTTAGTAAAGATGCCTCGTATATGCTTTTGTATACTACTGCATTTGTAGTACTGTTTAATATATATTGTGATATCTTAGCCATCATTTTTTATCTTCTAAATGACCAAAGGTATTTTGTTTATGCTGATATGACAATAAACTGAAATTAATGACTAATTTTATAATATTTCAATTTTACATTATTTTACCTCATCCGGGGTACATGTAGTCACTGTATTACATAAGCTTGGGTCATTTATATCCGTACACTCGAAGCATTTTAGGGGACTGGGTACACTACTGCCTGGAAATAAAATGAAATGTAGAAGTAATATTTACAAATAACTACGTATTGACAAATTACGAAAGACAGCTTTAATGATATATAGAGGATATTGAATGAGTGTAGGTGTAATACTAAATTTATTGAACGAGTTGAATAAAATCATATTATGCCAGCATCTAGCGAGCATAATATTGTTTTATTCAACGAGTTCAATAAATTTAGTACTGAATCTACAAGAATATAGCATTCTATTTATCACATATATAAAACAAGAACGGCAAACTGTTAAAATAGCAATTTTTCATTGACACGCTTACATAAGCGCCGTTCAATGCTATGTTTTATATAGAGCAAATGATGTCACTCCAAAATGTTATTACACTAGTGTAATACACTGTAATATGGTTTTTATTTGTTTGGGTCGTCAGACCAAACAAATAATGGTAGCGAAATTTCAGACCCTGATGTGCTTATTTGCAAAATCCGAAAGTAGTCCAAACTTTTCAAAGCGGTTACTTCCCTTTATAAGTACACTAAAACGGAAAAATCAAGGGGATATCACTGCGTAAAGCTTGTCAAATGGCAGGCGCATTAATTTTCAAGCCTTCTCGGGGAAGTAACAATGCTTCCCGTTTGGTCGAAGATTGCTAATATTGTGTTATTCTCTACAGATAAACATGCTTATATTATATAGGCTCCATGATTATTTAAATGTACATCAGTGTTAAACAACAGGTTAACCGTAAGCAATATATATCGAAATTAATAAGGTTACAAAGCCTTATTTAGAATAATCCGATTTTCTTTAGGCTGCTTTGTTATAACTTCCCCTTGGTGGAGGGATTACACGCTCGTTTAGGAAGCTAGGGGTCTAGAGTTCAAATCCCAGTTTTTCTTTTAAATTCTTTAAACCAAATAAACATTGGATATCAGTGTTGCAATTAGCCTTATAGCCAATTAACTATAGTTATAATACTTGAAACAGCATTGGTGGCACTATACAAAAACAAATTTGTTTATAATCTCAACCTTCACCTTTCTGACATTTTGAGACCCAAACAAATTCAGCACCATCTGTGCTTTGATTACTAAATGGCTTTATTACACTCCTGCGCCGCGGTTTATGTGATTATTGATTATTTTGGTTCTTTTTTCTGTTAATGATTTTTAATTGATAAACTGAATTGAGATTTGGGTTTTGCTGTTACAAAAAAGGTGATTGATGAAATAAATAGAGAAAAATCCAAACATTACCAAGACAAAATACATATATATCTTAATGATGAAAGTTGTTAAGTTGTTTAGCTTGTCTTTTTTATTTAAAATAAATGGCTTGAAAACAGTGCAAAGGTACTTACCGGCTGCAAATGCACAACTCGCAAAAAGTAACAACACAGCTGTAAAAGAAAATCTATACCACACTTATTTTTCGAACAATTTCAGGAATAAAAAAGCATAGACGGCAGCTTAAATCCTGTCATGCATTAATTAAAGTATTAAACATGTAATAAAGAAATTAAGTTTTATACATGTACTAAACAAAACTCTGCTAACTTCACACACCTTAATAAACAAGCAGTCTTACATACTTACAAAGCAATTAAATGATGTTATAGTTCAAGAAATACCCTTTTGTCAAGTTTTGCCATTTTCTTCTGTTATCATAATTAAAACAACGATTTTTAAAACGCTTTAATATCAATTTTTATCACATTCAATGAATTATCTTGTTTTTAACAGACTCAATTCTAACGTACCGAAATCAAAAGTCATTTTAATGCCCTGAAATAGAGAGGAAACGTACAAAGTCTCAATGGACAGATAAAGATAATGGTCAAGTGTTATATGCCACATAATCTAAAGATAACATATTAAACTTATATACATGTCCAAATACTTGTAATTAAAGGCCCATTATACCTCAGCAACGAAAAGAATGCCTCTGTAGAAAGGGAAAACATTTATTTCTTATAACGTTTAAACAAAATGGTTTTAGGACAATTTAGATGCTTATTACCTAAAAAATGTAGCTCTTTCTGTAAAAACAATGTCATAAAATAGATAGCAAAATGTAAAAAAGTAGTATTTTGACTTCCATACAACATACTAGGTCACTATAACTGAACCAATTGACAAAAGGACAACAGAAGAAAAACGATGGTTCAGGTAATTTGGTCAATAAGTTATAAAAGTGCCCCCCCCCCCAAAAAAAAAAGAGAAAAAAAATCGATATCATTTCTAGGGCATAATGGGCATTTAAATATTCAGCAAAATAACAATAAAGATATATCATAAAACGTTATTGAGTTGCGCATTTCCCTTAATTCCTTACAGGTCTCTAAATATAACATGTGTGTTGTTTAATTCACTGTCATGTTATGATATTTAAAGACGATCTTACCGGAATCGGTCAGAAATAGCTAACTCACTTTTACTTAGCAATCGGCATAAGTAGGCCTACATAATTTAATAGAATAAATCAAAATGTTAAAATAAAAACCAGTGGCACCACAAATGTAAATTTGTTTGTTGGGTTTTAGGTCGGGACGACACTTTAATCATCCATGGTCATATGGCGAATTTCCAAATTCACTGGTGGATGAAGATCTTCGATGCCTCACCATATATTATTTCAGACACGAGCCGGAATCTTGAGTAGAGCAACACAATACTGGCATCTATATAATAATAATACGCACGTATTTCACGTATTACCAGTATTGCTAAAATATAGTTCATGGATATAGATGGAGAAATAACTTGACACAAGCGTGAGATAATTTCTACATATTTCTTAATTTACGTCTTGATACATATCCAAGACATCGTCCCCAAAGGTGCAGTAAAATGCTCTTGAGAAAATATTTTGTTTCAACAAGAACTACCAATTTAACCGCCCACTGCACGATGTTTTGGAATATATCTTAAGATACATATTATTGGATGCTTGAGAAAAATAATATCAGAGATTTGAACAAGATGTAACAGTGAACCATTCATTATTTGTAATTTTTTCTTATCTTTATTCAGTTGTTAATATATGAATTGCTTTAGCACCATTTTTCAATGCTCTCCAGTGCTTAACAGTTACTGGTAAATGCATGTCATAAAGAGCATATACAGCATCAACGATTTTGAGTTTGTAGAGGAGATGATGAGATGAGAGATCGTTATTTCAACCCCCAGTCATGAATCAAAAGGGTGGGCGCCCTATGGTCAAGTGTCCAAGATATTTTCTCATTTGTTTTCGTAAACGTCATATGATGCATTGTGAATTCACTACTGTAACAGATATCTATTTTATTATGCTTAAATGATTTACGGAATGGGGCGTACGGTCGAACAGCCCAATGAACCGCCCATTAACTGTTACACATGCCGAAAAAAGAATGTAACGTCCTAAAGTATTTAGAAAATTTACGTTGATATATGATGAAAATGAGTATAATATAATAGAACCTTATTTTTTATCAATGAATGATTAACCAGTTTAATCTATTTAATTGCTAATTTTTCTATTTTTTTCTAAACGTTTACTATACATTACGAAGGATATTTACAGAATTTTCTATGCGTCACGTTGATTATTAATAATACAAATGAACTAGACTATAAAATAATGGCAAAATGTAAAGTTATTTTGACTTTTACCAGTACACCAACTACTACATATGGATGGGCATAATCTCATTAAAAGCAAGGAAGTAAAACTAAATAGACTTGCATTCAAATTGAATTTCGTTTCTTAGACGTAAACGAGTTTATACATGAAATGACGAATCTTGGACTGGTGTGTCCCCAATTTTGTCCGTTTACTGAAAGAAAGGAGAGTAACGCAGAGGATAGGTAAGTCATTGTCTGTGACCGTCATCCCCTACTAGTTTCGTGGTATACGAATTAAATTATTATCAGACAATTTGGACACCTATTCAAAGAGAATTAAATTATTCAAAATATACCCACAAGAGGTTATATAATTACGAAATTTATACACACAATCAGACCATGATCTAAGCTTATGATATTTTTTTCTTACATCTGCTACGCATCAATAAGAGCAAGAGGTATGTTTTCTGCAAAGTTTTAAGTGAAGTTATATAGAAATTAAAGTGACAATGCTCATTTTATTTCACTGGCAAGTTGAGTTTAAATAACTAATTTAATTCAAAGGATTCACTATTATAATTGTGAGTAACCAATACTTGATAATAAAATATTTGGATATAATAAATAATAAACTACCTAACTTATAGAAAGACTGTCCCACTCTTTTTAAAATTGAACGTTTTCAATACATCCCAAACGATATTTATAGAAATTGACCGTGTGTCATGTGAATTATTTATTACTTTTGCCTATTAAAATATAACATTGAACACAATATGGCAAAATATAAAGTTTTTTTTAACTTTTACCTATGCACTTACCATTTGCACTTGCATAGGCAAAATGTCACTTTAATATATAAGATAATTGTTTGTGTTTTCTTTCGTGTTTAGCACCAGTCAGTCATATAGAAAGCAATTTTTGTAAATTACCGTTCAAAATGATTAACATGATTCCAAGATAATAAGCTTAAATTTAGTCTCCTTCCTATATATGAATCCTTTCCTTACTCTCACACAAACAACAACAACAATCCAGTAATTTCTATTATGTTTACTCTCTTCTCTGTTTCAGGAAGTTTTGGAATAGAAACATTTATAGACCAATATTTGCATAACCAAATTTTCTACTTACCGAAATCTTCTTGAATCAATGATTTGGATAACTTAATAAACTAACGTTTTAACACAGACTTTCTGAGTAGGAAGTGTACATATATTTGCATAATTTCGTTAACTACATTTATTTCGAAACCCCCGTTTAGGATCATTGACTTAAGTTAATTGAATGAATTAACAAAACATTGTATTTGCTTGCAGAATAACCCATGATAAAATCAAATCTGTACATCGGGAAAGTTCGACGGCAATAGACATGATGTCTTTTTTTTCTCCAAAAAGTTGCAAAAAGCAGTACTAATACACGTACCTACATTTTTATATTAATATGAAGTAATATTGGAAAATACTGTTTTTCAACGGTTCTTAAAATTGTTGTAGAATATTTTAGTTACATCCCGTGGAAGCCAAATAAATAAAAATAAAAAGAACATGAGGAGAAAAATTTCCTCAGAATTTCTTTCGAGATATCTATAAACGCAAGATAGTATTGTTTTCTTTAATATTTGGATAACAATCCGAAATATTTTCAAGATTTACACTCTCAACTTCAAAAAGACCTATTAATTTCTTTTAACTTTAAAGAGGAATACACTATTATTGATTCAGCTATCACAGATAAATCATTCCAAAAATGTATTCTTATCGTTATATCTATAAACTATATTCCTGGTACAAATGTCTGCATGATAGCATTCCAATCCAATCAAATTCCTAACGTTGCTATAAGCTAGACAACACGAATGTATTTGTTAAGAGTTTTTTTTTGTACTTAACCATTTAGTTGTCATTGCTTTTTTTGAGTGTTTGCGAAAAAGTGTTATTTTGGCATGGTTTTGGTGTAAATACCATAAGATGAAAGCAATTATTTCATATTATTACCTCGTTTGACAACTTTTAGTTTTTTGTTTTTTTTGTAATAAACTTTTATATATAGGAGGGTTTTTATGTTTTTTTAGTTTGAGAAATAATTATGTTTAAAAATTGGGTTAACGATTTGAAACTGCTTTAGTCTAAACGTATAATTAAGAAAGGCAAACCCTCGGGAGAATTAAAAACGAGACACAAAAGGGCAAAAAATTTAGTATTTTAAAAACAAAAAAAAAACTTTCTTTTTAAGATTTTTTCAATTGCAGATTTTAATCAAAAATTAAAGTGTATGTAAAACCCCCAGAAAAAAGTTTTCTGAATATTGTTATATATATCATTTTTGGGGAACCACCAGAGTTAACTAACAGTCAGTTTTTTTTTTTCGGAAAAAACCCCAGGGTTGACTTAAATAAAAATTTTATGAAATTTCCCACCCATTCCATATGGAATTTTCTACAATTGTATTTTCCAAATTTTTTATAGAAATACGAGACGATGTGGGGATATAGACACATTTGAAGGCTAAATGAGTATGTCCCGCCAACAGGAGCGGTAAATATCCCAGTTGACGGATTATATCCATTTCCCGCGTTTAATAAAACCGTTTGAAATTTCATTACCTCGCCGACACGAGGACTCAGATTTGTCAAATGGTATACGTTGAAAGCCACGGTTGGTACTAAAAATAGAAGAAAAAAACCATCTTGAAGTTCCTAATGAAAGGTAAATAAATGTTGTCTAATATATATTTTGACGAAGTTACTGTTCATATTTTAATTATTGTAAAGTGTATTAAACTAACTTACAGCAAGCTCAGTTCTTATTTACATACACATGTACATGTTTAGTTGACTAAAATTATAAATAATACCAGTTTACCTGAAGAGGAACAGTTTTCTGCACTGATCCCTGTTAAAATAAAACAACAAAAAGTAGAATTTGTTTATAGGGCACGTATGCCGAAACTTCATTTGCCTGTCACAAAGGTATATTAACATTTTATGAAGGTCAAGAATCATATAAATAAAGTACTTTTGTAAGTAAGTTTAACAAATCTTTGACTGAGGAATCGGTTGTTATAAATGAAGGATTAAACATCAAGTGTCACCGTGATCTTGACCTAATGACTTTAAAATCATTGCCGTATTCTACTGGCTATTTACAACGTTCAAACCAAAATGGCATTGTCACCTCATCTTTTGAGCTTATGTTTTAAATCTATACAGGCATTATTTGTTAGTCACGTACAATGGCCCAACCTTAGTTTTTTACATACACAAGATATTCATCGAACAATAATCTTACACAAAATGTCTTCTTGACCCTGACCTTTTATGTAAAGTATACAAAATCGATAGGAAACACCTATTGGCCACGGAAAATATTCTTGCCAAGTTTTGCAAACTATAGATTTTAATTTCTATAGTTATTGATCGGAAAATGACTTTACATAAAGTGTCACTATCGCCTTGACCTTTGACCTAAAATCAATAGTGATCATCTACTAGTCATGGGCAATGTCAATGCCAAGTAACACATAAATCACACCTTATATCTTCGCAAGATATTAATTTGATTAAAGGAAAACCAAAACCCGAAAAGAAGGCAAATCATTTATTAAAATGGAAACAAGAAGCCCAACACAGCTCTACAAGTGTTTAAAAATTCAAGAAGATTAGTTATTTCGCATAAAAAAATGAAAATTGAAATTTTAATTAAATAATTAATTATTTTGGCCTTTTTAAATTGTTTTGGGAAGGGTTTTCATTATTTTAAAGTTTAAAATAAATACAGAAAAAAAATTTCCCCTTAAAAAAGAACTGTTTTGAAATTGCAATTTTAGAAGAATCGCCTTCGCATGCTTTACCCAGCGGAGAAGGTGGTGGGTTTGTGCAAGTTCGTGATTGTGTACGTAAACCGCCGTCGCAGGAAGCACTACAACTTGTCCAACTTCCCCATGTAGTCCATCCACCATCTGTGAAATATATCAACGCGTTATCAAAGTATATGAAACATTTACATTAATTTTGTGTTCTATTGTCGAGAAAAGCATTTAATTACTGTTACATCATTCTCATCTCAAGGTAATGTCCAAGTAAAATAAAAACTTACCAGCGCACGCTTTAACCATACAAACTCTATCATCCATTGTGTCTCCAAAACAGTGGTCTCCAAATCTAGAAGGGTATGGATTGGTACAGTTACGATGTCTTCTTTGTATACCAAATTCACAAGTCACAGAACACGCTCCCCAGTTTGACCATGTAGTCCAACCGCCATGTACTGACATAATTAATGTAACTTATGATGATTTGTTTTCCTTCACAAGCACAAATAAAACGTTCATTAAGGTCAAAAGTAAAAGGAGCTTGAATGAATTTTAGAACAAAAAAATGTTCTGAGACGTACATTTTTGATAGACTTAAAAGAGTATTTAGTTATAAATCCCGTGTTTAATTAGACTCGTTAAGAAGCAAAATGTTAACAACTTTAAAAAAGAAAACTAATCTGATGTAATAATTTCCATGTGATATATTCAATTTCAAAGCTTTATTCATGCAAAAATGTAAAACAATATCACTTGGTGTTGTCATAAATTTAGTTTTTTAATCCAGGGGGAAATTTTTTTACTTGGGCAAATGCTCGACATTTTCGAGTTGGTGCCCTTTCCATCGTCCGGCCTTTTTTAGCCGGGGCCGGGGTTGGGGACATTTCTTTTCTTGTTTTGTATGCCCTTTTCCCCAAAGTTACATCAATTCTGACCCTGGGTTTTACCCCTCGGCCCCGTTGTAACTTTGGAATGATGAAAAAAAAAAAATTCCCGGATTACTACTTAAATTTTCCCCAGTTTTTTATCTCAATGATCCCCGTAATCGAACATAATAGGATTATATTTTGTAAAAAAAGGGGAGATGTTTATACAAAAAGCATTTTATAATTCCAAATTTTATATTTACGACGAAAATTTTAATGAAAAATAATGGCAGATTCTGATATTATTTAATTTAAGTCGATCGTCCAAAAAAAAAATTATTTATTATTCCCTACTGGCGCCAAAAAATTTTTTTGTCGCAAAATTCGTATTCTTAGCGGACAAATATAACCTTAACCCCGGGTTTTACCTAGGGCGGGGAGGTCCCAAAAATTTGGACACACTTTTTGATGGTTCATTTTTCAAATTAAAAATGCATTAAAAATACGCACATCAAACTTTGGTATGTTTAATTATCTGCAAGCATAGATAAAATTTTATAAAATTTTTTTGGGGTGGGAAGAAATTTGTAGAAGAAATTTAAAAAAAAATCTAATTCTTTTTTTTTTAGACAAATACATCAGAAATAAAATTACACAACATTATGATAAGTCAAGACATGTGTGTGCATGAGAACTACGCACATAACTAAAGATTATTCTATCATTCCATTGGAATGGGCTTTCAGATTTTAAGGACACAAATTTGTAACAAACAGATTGTTTCAGCAGATTAACAATACCCTTTTGTTATCTTTCTAAAGAATACAAAAATGAACATACGTTTGTTGTGAATACAAAGTTGGTTATTACATCTGTCAGTACTACAACATTCGTGGCAATTGGTATCACGTGCGCTTATATCGCGGCCAACAAGTCCTGCTCCATCGAAATGTGATCTACATTGCTGTGAAGAGGTAAGAAACCATTTGCTTGATATATGTTGGTTGTTCATTTATTCTACAACATTAACTGCAGCTTTCTTTTAATTTTCAAGTGATAGTTATATATATATTTAATCACTCTATCTCTTTAACAACTGCCTTGTACCAATTTTCGTATACATTCCTTGGAGACAGTATCCGTTAAAATGTTTTTTAAAAATATAAAATTAATTAATGTAGTTTCTTTAAACAAATTTAAAGTGAGTGTCTGTTGATATGAATCTTAACTAAAAATTAGTGTTTATTACTCTCTGTACCTGAAAAATAAAGTGATAAATAGGTGAACAAATCAAGCTATTTTAGAAATTCTATGTCCCATACTATCTTTAAATTGTATGTTAAAAATAAACTATAAATGTGTCCATAGGACACGTGTGCCCCCTAACTCCAATGTTTTGCCAATCTTATGACTCTAGGTCAAATATTTTTGGAGTACATGTGCCACAAGTTGAAAACTAAAAATCTTTTCCTAAGTAAAGGGCAATAACTTTACAAATACTGAATAAATCCACAAGCGAACCCCAAGGTGCATAAGTACATATATATATACCAACATTTTTGTAAACTTTCAGGCCTAAAAAGCCGAAAAAACCACATACAAAATCACAGTTGCATAGTTTCACAGTGATATTGATCATTATTCCTGTAAAGTTGGTTGATTCTAGCTCAACCACTCAAGGAAGTAATAACACAACATAATGAAACTGTTTTTACTAAATCAAGTGCAATATCTCTACCAATACTGGACAAATCTACAAGCGAAACCCAAGGTGCACAACTACATATGCTGACCAACATTCCTATTAGTCTCATGACTAGGTTAAATATATTTTGAGCTTCGCACGACAAAAATTGAAAATTGCAAATTTTCACTAAATCAAGGAAAATAATTCTAACAAAACATATAAATTGAAAAGAGAAATACTATGTGATGCACAACTTAACATGCTGATCAACATTACTGTAAAGTTTCATGACCCTAGGTCAAATACTATTTGAGCTATGTGCGACACAAAGTTGAAAATTGCAAAGTTTTACTAAGTCAAGGGCAAAAACTCTGACAAAACAGAATAAATCTACAAGCGAACCCCCAGTTTACAGCTTTACTTGCTGATCAACATTCTTGTAAAGTTCCATGACTCGAGGTCCCTTTTAAACGACGCGCGACACAAAATGAGAACTGACGGACGAAAGGACGGGCGGACAAGGGTAAATCTAAATCCTTCACCCTAAAGTAGGGGCACAAAAAGCCGTTGTGGCAGCTTTTAAAAGTTGCCCTGTACTTCACTTATGTCAGTGTTTTTAAAAGTTTCTGCTCCTTTGTGTTAATTGATTCCAGCTCGTAAGTGTCGAAGATTCAATACCCATCAAGCCTGTGCTAGGGGGTATGAGAGATGTTGCACTTTTACATTAGTTTAAACTTTATTTATTCAATAAATTGTACATAAATGGCATTTACAAAACATTGCACAACAATGTACATGTAATTAAGACTGGATTGGAAAACAAGTAAAACATTACTTATATCAATTCCTCTCCAGTAAGAGTAATTTTCAAGATAAAGATACAAAAATAATGTTGCGGTTAGATGTAAGCTCTTTGAATAGACAACAAAGAATAAGAGAATAATTGATTGTTGAATTATCACTGTAGAGAAACTAAGGTAAATTATGATGAAATGCTAGAAGAAAGGAATAATGTAAGGATATGATTGAATATATCGGACTTTAATAATTAAGATTAACATGTAAAGAAATATGAGCGTATGGAAAGACCAAGTTTATTTACACTCATAGTATTTCTTACCAAAAGCGCTTCGACTGTGTAATTAATTTTTTGACATTCTGAAAGAAGTTTTTGTTTTCATCAAAAGAGATGTTCGTCGTCGTAAAGTAGATAATTTACTGTAGCGGACAATCTAAATTAGTGAGAAATCTTTGACGTATACTTCTGTATTTGGTGCATTGCAATAAGAAATGAGATACAGTTTCTCTCATTCCGCATGTGCATGTTAGGCTTTCTACAATTGATCTTCTGAACAGATCCTCATTCAATGAACTACATCCTAATCTTAATCTTGTGTGAAGGATTTGTTCTTTACGTGTGTCTGTATTATAGTAAGACGGTGGTCTTTTGATATTCGGAGTTATTTCAGACTTGAATGAGCTTACAGTTGGACTAGCTTGAAGAGTATCAGGAAGAGAATTCCTGGTGCGAATAGTAGAAGGTAAAAATGATTTTGAGTATAAATGTGTTCTGGTTGGAACTTGAGTTAAATCGTCAATATGTCTAAGGTTATATGTAGTTTGTTAGGTTGGAGTTAGAAGATTTGAAAGATAAGGTGATATATGGTTTTTCATTTTATACAATAAGATTTATTTGAGTTTATTTCTTCTATTTTCTAACGATTCCCACCCAAGTTCACTGATGAGTTTGTTACTATTACATAGTTTGGTAGCACCTGCGACTATTCTTGCTGCTTCATTTTGAACGGATTCTATTTCCTTATTTAGTTCGTCAGTTAAGTTATCCAAGACAACATCAGCATATTCAAGAAGTGAGCGGACAAATACAAAATATGTTCTAAACTTATTCGTGATAAAAGAAATTTAAAACTTCTGAGTAGTCCGATTCTTTTCCAGGCCTTATCAAGTAATAGATGAATATTAGTTTCCGTACGGGCATCATGAGATAAAGTTACACCAAGATGTTTATGTGATGTGACGTGAGCTATTGGTATAGAGTTATAAATAAGTTAAGGATGAGACGGTTTAGATAATTTCACTTTTACATTATAAATATCTCATGAATAGACTCAAACTGTGTCAACAATTTTCATGTAATATTGTTGTTTCACTTCTTCCGAGGGATCACACCTTCTCCAGAATTTTATTTACGATGTATAAATTTGAATCAACCGAAACGTCACATAGATTTGGAAAATATAGAAATATTCTAAAATCATTATAAATTCTTTTTAAAGGGCATTTATTCATCTAAAGAAATGTGGTTCCAATTACCCAATTATACAAAGCAGTTTCATACATATTATAATAATTTTCACCCACCTGATTTTCAACACATCCTAATGAAAAAGTTGTTGTCTGTGCTGATATAACTGCATTTGTCAGGCATGACTGAATTAAATTAAAATAAAAAAATCAACGTGGTATGAACTTATATGTCTTATATTTCTGCAGATATAATCGATATTTCACGAAACAGTACATCAACAAATATTGTGAATGTGAGATTACGATAAGACGATAAGATACGAAATGCGTGCATTTTTATTTATCCTCATGTCACCGTAGATTGATAGACTAATGTTTCGATTATATCACAACTTTGTATATTAACGATACATTATTTTTCAAAATCACAATATGTTTTAACCAGAAAAAGAAGCTCTAGTTTCAATGTATTTCTGAAGCAATCAGACACTTTGTCTGTTACCTCGAACCTGCACCGGCTTCTTTACGCAATACCGTTAGGGCCATCGTGGTCATACTTTATAATCCAGAGGGCGACAATGGGACAGTGCGATAGTGCGATGACGACAATACGACAATGCGATGACGACAATACGATAGTGCGATGACGACAATGCGATGGCGACAGTGCGATAACACTATCGCCCTGTCGTCATCGTACTAATGCTTTATCGCATTGTCGCCATCGCACTATCGCACTGTCCCATTATTCATCGCACTATCGTATTGTCGTCATCGCACTGTCGCACTATCGAATTGTCGCCCTCTGTATTTTAACGTATAACCAGGATGGCCCTTAGGATATTCCTTACTTCTTATTCGGCGAGACTTGAACGACTTATTACCTGCCCGTTACTGCAGACTGTGATGTTATGACAGCTTTCAATGTCTTCAACATTTGAACAAGAGTAGCATTGCAATGAATCTGATGAAGATATTTGTACTTGCATAATTTATATATTTGTAGTTGTTGATGCGAAAAAGTTGACTTATTCTATCAATATTAATTTTGATTTTTCTAAATATCAAGTCAACAATATGAATTGTAAAATAACTTTGCGTATTTAAATTTATCACTTGTAAAATTTATAATTTATTTAAAAAAGTACTTCTTTTATATATTTATTCTATGATTATTAATTTATATCATAAAATTCAAATATTTGTAAATTAAGAAAAACAATACTTATGCTGTCTGGAACTAAAACCAATAGTAACAGAGTTAACATTTGCGTTTCTGAAATGAAATTAATGTCTTTTTTGTCAACATGGAAGCTAGAAAGGAAGAACATCTGACATCCTACTTTTATTTATTCATTATTAATACTAGTAGATCTAGTTTTCATTCGACTTTTAGAATTAACTTAAATCTTTATTATAGTAATCAACTTACTTGCGGTCTATTTGAAGAATGTTTAGTAGTTCACAGTGACTATTAAAAGTCTCAAGTGATCTAGCCTAGTCACCGACTATTATATGTGTATTCAGGTCAAACATGCGCATATGATAACGAGCGTGCCACAATTTATATTACTCACGATTACATTCAGACGGCAGAAAAAGAGCTTTAAATATTTAAAAGGTTCATTTGAATATTTATATGATAATAGTTGATAATATGCTCCAATCAAAAGTGTTGCTATTTCAAACTAATTTTTTTATTAAAACTTCAAAAATTCCCCCCGCCCCTTGATTGGGCAGTGAATCGCACTGCTCATCGGAATTAATCTTGACGTCATATCGTTTCTTATAACTATTGCATGTTAACCATGGACGGCAATTAATTGCATTAAGGCGAATGGTATGAGAACGTGAGACGTTCCGTCAACTCCTTCCAATTGACCTATATTTGTGTTCCTACATGTAAAACCTTTTGTGACCATGGGCCTCCTACAACAAAAGTACTGAGCCAAGTCGGCTTCATAAATCCACCTACAAAGAACCGCTTTAAACTATGAGAAATTCTTACTAGTCAAAGCACAGCTCTTAGGTTTTGGAAGGTTTCCGTTGTATTTTATTAAGAATCATGTTACAACCTAGACTTTGGGTGAAATTGTATTGTCGCCTCCAAATAATGTAAATTTTTCGTTTACTTTATTTGAAGAGCAGACTAGGGGACCGGATTGAGCTTGCATGTGCCAATGTTGAGTATTTTCTTTTTAAATGAACAATGTTTTAGAGGTAAAGATTGTGTTAAAAGCTGAATTTTGTTTTCTTAAGTGTACTTCTGCAGACAGTTTATGTGCTGACACACAAATCGTGTGACGCTTGAATTATGTTAGGTTATTAAGATAAGAGACATTAGTTAGGTAACTTTGGTCGGGGACCGCTTAATTTGTGCGCTTCAAGATAACATCACAAACCACATTTCGTTTCCAAATATTGCACTCGCCACCTAAACATGCATAGTGCAAAACAACATTAATGTATATATTTTGCTTTGGTATATGTTGTACCAATCAATCCTACTTTTTAAAAAAAATCCTTATATTTTTCAATCAATGCTTATTATATATGCGCATTTATTAATGGTAGTTTGATATATTTATTTAATATAACCTAGCCATATCTTATTACAAAACAATACGTGATATACAAATTCTCAAAAGACAAAGTTAACAGATATAATAATTGATAATTTTTGCTGTTTCGACATATTTAAGCATTCTTTCCAGTTGGAAGAGGTAAGCTGAAAATTCTGTAACATAGACAATAAAAAAATATTTCTTCAAAATGAAAATTTGCATACGTTCAAGTAAAAAAGAAATATTTAGCAAATCACTACTAATGACCAGTACTTGAAATTGTGCGAAATTACTCAAAAGGAAGTCGGCTACATTTAAATCAAGACAAATGCTAACCTAGAATGTAAATAACTGCCCTTACAAGAAATAAAACTTTTACATTCAAGGGAAGAAAACTCGAAAAAATGTTAGGTGACCCCATTTTTTTCGCGTTCTGTATGATATTCTAAGATCATGCCAGGTTTAAGTAGATGTTGGTTTTATAATTTTCGTTGTGCCTGTATGTTTATATGTAAATCCTATAAACAAACGGATGGAAAAATCGAATTCTTATATTTACCTCCTGCAATATTTCTAAGATACATGCGTATTTTATTTCAAAATTTGTTAAATACTATTTACAATGTACATGTTATAACAGTGCTACGACAAACATATTTTTTTAAAGATGCTCCGCAATGGTAAATAAAGATTAAATAGTCTGCGTCATTTGAAGTCAGTTTTGTACTATTTCATACGCTTTAACTTTCATAATATTCATTTCCTTTAGCTTACTGAAAAAATACATTATTACTTTTAATGAAAATATAGTTCATCTGGAATATTTAGTTCTTCATGTATTTAATGATATGATTTATAATCCGACATGGATTTTCACTGCAATTTTAGTCTAAATATTTAAAAAAAAATAATAGTAAGAACATCAAATGAAAATAACATTACTTTTAACATTATCAAAACCTGTAGATTTTCAAACACAAATTTTAACGCTAAAGAAATGCATTAAATGTCCTTTAATTGGGTATAAAAGTATTGAGTACAGAAGTGGAAAAAATATTTGCACATATGCTCTTTAAGATTTAACATATTCGGACATGTTTATCATTGGTATCGATCGATTCTATACCAACAAATGAACTTCATTATTTGTTGATAATTCGAATCGCTTTATAAACATTACACAGAGATCAATGAACATTGAATGTTGTGACTCTATGGAAGAAAAAAGTGAATAGCTATCACTGGCTAATTTCACAAATTGCATAATAGGTAATTGTAATAGTGGTATAGTTTTAAATTTCAGTATTAGTTCTTACCAGTGTCCAAAAGCCCGCACATGTGTATGGGTATTGTATTTACAGGAAAAGGTGCCCCAAACGTGTAGCAGTCTAATATCACATGCAGTATCTAAATGAAAAGGTGTATCCCGAGGTACAGTGTTGATTCTTCTTATATCATTGTTGTACAAAAGCATTTTTATATTGAAGTGTTCTAGGTAGACAAGAATTCATCCTATATAATAAGTGTATTTTTTTGCAAGATCATACCAGATTGCACACCACTTTATTAAAATCTACTTCTCCATAACTTCAGCAGCAACAATTTTGTGAGTAAATCAATCCCCGGAAGAGAATATCTGACAACACTTAAATTGCTTCTGTGTCAAGGACCATTGTAACGTAATAGTCCCAACATGTCCCTGATATCCCTAACAAGGACACCCAGAGACACTTGCATCTATATTATTATTTCGTATGTTGATATTTTTTCCACTAACGCCATGACCTAAAAATGCTCGCAGAGGCAACAGTTATTTGTGGAGAGAGATTATTCAGTTCTTTCTTGTGTATGTTATATACATTTATCTGAAAATTGGACAACCTTTGACTGAAAAATAGTAACTGATATTCATTTATACACAATAACTGAGATACAAATAGAAGCGACAAGGAACGGTGCATCGTGCGACTGACAAAGTCGTAATATTTATTGGTTTCCAAAATACAACAGGAAGTTATCATTTTTCGAATTTTCCAAAATGTTTTCACCTTAAACAATAGTTATTACAAAATATCAAAGTGATGTTTATATTTGCATCTCATTTAACCTTTTACCCCATGAGCCTATTGTGAAAAATGGCCGTTTTCATTTAAAAGCCTCCTGTTACAAGTTCAAACTGCTATAAAACTATGAAAAATGCTTCAATTCTGATGAAACTTGGCACATATTTTGCCTAAAACATAATCCTCTATAACAACATGCTCAATCTTAAATTTCCTATTACAATTGCAACGGAGGAACGTCTCAAAATTTCGAAAAATCACTATTTTGCATTGTTTTTTTTTCTCCATCAAAACTGATTTCAAAGTGCTGCACTTCTCATTGCAATGAAATAGAGTAAAAGGTTTTTCAGCGTTGGTTACAAGTTACCTTAAGATCGACCTGAGGCCATTTTTAGCTATTGCTATTTTTCGCAGATGCAATTCGCCCAATCAGAAATTCTTAGTTTCCTGCTATTTGAAAAATTAAACAAATTTTCCACAGCTACAAAAAGACCTTTTGCATGCTTCATTTTCAAAGAAGACAATTTGTAAAAGATTACATTTACCAATTGCAAAGGGAAACAAAATGAAAGTTACAGTCAACGCATTCGTATCGGCCGTATTTCTTAACAAACAAAAATACTTAGTTTTCAGACATGTTTTATTTAATTATATATGCTTTAAATATTTATTTATTACAGGCAAGGGCAAAAACGCCGATACACTATCAAATAGAACACAGTTAATACATACTATTAATAGTAATATATATATCTATTAGTTTATCAAAATGTATCAATCTTGATGTTTTTGCGACTGGTTTTCGCCAGTACCTTTTGTTAATATTATTACGGGAGTGGCATCATTTCATCATACTCCTCCTTACATATTAACCGTTGTTTTTCTAACATAAAATCAGTACAACGGTTTAAAGGGAGTAGCCAACCTTCTAACTGAGAAAACCTGCAATATCTCTAGTAAAGATATTCTCTCAAACTTCATGTTGAATTTTTAATCAAAACTGTATTGTATAGCATTCTTCGAGTTGACAAACATTATATAATAAGACAACATTAAAACCTTTGTTGAGACTTAAACCCAGCATTTGCTGGGAAGTAGGGATAGTTCTCGTAGACTGGAAAAGGATTGATGTTGAACATTGACTTGCTTTGAATTCAATACTCAAGCATGGTGCCTTTATGTATACAGTATTCTTGGCTTTTTAGAAAACATTAAGTAAGTATGCAATCGGTCTGCAGTAAACTTAAGAAGTTACATATAAATGGCATGAAGTTGTGTGCACTTCCTATATCTAACTTTAATGAGGTTGGGGTTGTCTTCAGGCTGACAACAGATATTTATGTTTTATGTTCTAAAAGGTATCATTTTTTGCCATATATTTGTAGAAAATTCTATGACAAAGATATGTCAAGTTAAAGTAAGTCTCTGATAAAAGATGTGATTCATGCCGTTGATCGACTTTGTTCCTTTCGTTTTTAAATCCACTTTAGCATATACGTAACTTACAGGACTTCCTTTATTGCATACATTTTTGCTTATCAAAGTTAAGTTTAACTCAATATTAAATGCCATATCTTTAGAATCAGTTTACTTTAAACTGAATGAGCGTGATTTTCTTGTTTGTTTGTTTGGATTTTTACGGCACGTCAACACATAACTGGCCATATCGTGCCGAATGCTGTAATAGGCTTATATAGGATATATGTTTGTTTTGCTTGTAAGATTGAAATATAATTTCACTGAGTGAATACCAGATGCAATATTTTCAGGAGTGGCGTAGCCACGAGAGAAAATATAATAGCTGGTGTTCACGACTGAAATATATTTCAATCTTATATGTAAAACAAATAAATTTTCTTTTTATTTCATGCTATTTAAGTGATTTTAAGTATTTTATTAC